AGGATTGTGCATTTCTTTTTTGCCTTAGCGCATACCTCGCATATGGCCAAAAGTAGTGATAGTAACTGATATGAACCAGAGACGTAAATAAGATGACTTTCCACCCTTTAAGTAATTAACATGATGTATTAAACGCTGCCAAAAGGTGTAAAGGAATCTGTAGCGAATACTAAAAGATAGTAGTGTAAACATAATCTAACAACTTGGCATCAGTCAACAGTTTTAATTCAAATCTCGAGGCGACAATCACTTGATTAAGTCAAGTGTACCCCGCTTCTATCCCGCAAATTACTCATTACGCTGTGCTCTAAATTTGTTTGTATATTGGGCAGCATTGGCAATGTACCATGGAAATTAGAGAGCCAAACTCTCTATATTTCGAGGGACCTGGTTTTTTCAATAACTCATTTCATAGACTCTTCAACGAGAGCAATCAAAACCTCTTTCTGAAATCACATGGCATTCTTTTTCTGATAGCTTGCCATCACACTCAAAATATAACAGTGTATGACTAAAACGATATTTTAGCAGGAAGCCCACTTTATCAATAAGTGCTCTTAATTGGTGGGCTTATAATATTTAATTACAAGTCCTTTCTTCTTAATTACAACAATAACTTTGACAGTAAATGGTTTAACCCGAGTCCATTTTTGTTGGCTTGACATCTCAAAATAAATGAGAAGGAATCTATATTTCTTTCGAAGCCTTTTTGTTTATTTTACTAAATGTCTTTTTAGAGCCACATTGAGACATTCATTATTGGGAAATCAGGTCCAGTTGACAGCACATCTGCAATTAACTTTTTAGTTGCCAGTAATTCAAACGATAACACGTGACAATTGCTCAGCCGCTTGCCAAATATTACAATTCAAAAATATAGAAATCACCCACATTCTATTGTACAGGATACGAATGACAAAAAATACGGTTTTATTTCAATGTCGTTTTTGGTTTATAACTTAAAACATTTGCTACGACTGATAAAAGGGTTATTTCCTAAAGGTTTCCTCTAAATCTGAACTTAGAACTTTTGATATACTTTCTTTTATAAACGTTTTTTTCCTGTCCATTGGTGATATGTTAAGTATAATAATATTTTTTGTAGCATGTAGTATGCTGATAGCAAACACTGTTTAGATATTAGGTTTGAACAAATTAAGAAATTAAAAGCTTGTAAAATGACTTTAACGGTGTTTAACCCTGGTCAAACGTCGAAATTTTCCTTGTATGTACGAAACTTAATACCCGTTTGGCTCGACCCAAATGATATAAGCTCGACGGCTGATTCAGACGTCAAACTTTATTAGTCGGACTCAATTCATAGTCGAAATTCCCATGTGGGTCACTCGAAAATAATTCATGGCTCGACCCAAATGAGATGTGATTTGTTCACCCCGTTCCATTTGCGAAGTTTGGATTTTAATTTGGGATCTTCAAACGTCTCTGACAATGAGAGAGAGACTTGCGTAAAGAAAGCAAGTTCTACATTGTTTAACCTTGTTCGTGGGTGGATGAGTTCATGTGCTCGCGTTTGTAGTGGGCGTTTTCTGCTTTGGTTGTGCCACATAAATATTTCACTTAATATTCTCGCACAGCCCAGGATGCTTTTAAAGAAGTTGAGATGATTTTTAACGAAACTATTCGGAACGAATAAGTTAGAAACCTGACCAATGCGTAAGAATGCTGGCCATGGTTTCAACATCGTTTACCATCGCCGAAGACTCGACTCAGAAAATATGCACCAAGAGAATGCGTGTAGCCACGGTTATTAAGAAATTGAACTATTAAACCTTTATTCTTCCAAAAATAGTGTTCAATTTCGACTTTATACCTTAACCGTTCTTTATAATGAAAAAAGAAAGAAAGAGAGAGAGAGAGAGAGAGAGAGAGTAGCAAAGAAACGAAGAAGAAATAGTAGCATAGTAAAGAAGAAACACGACAAAGGATCGTCATGTCAGCCTGTGAATTCCTCTTCGAACATTTCTCAGAGGCACCCAACGAGAATATAATTCAAAACTACTTAAACATAGAATTGTTAAACGTATTTTAGTATTTAAGCGGTAGATATAGGCATATTTTTATCCCCTAAAAATTTTTCATCTGTACGGATTTCCTAGCTGAAAGTCTAGTGATCCGAAAATTATAGGGATCAAAACTTACCTTTTCGAAAATTTCAGCCAGAAAAAAGGCTCCCGAAAATTCTAGGTGAGCTTTTTAGGGTAAAAATCCGTTAGAAATAGGCAATTATACCATTTTTTAGATGTTCAAAAATCCTAGGAGAGGCAGGCAAGCAAGAAATTTTACAGCAAATGTTCTGAAAATTCTAGATCTCAAATCGTCTTCCGAACAGATATTTTTCCGAAAATTGTCGTTGGGTGCCCCTGATTTCTCTATTTCTTTTCAGTAATTTTAACCAGTATTTTTTTTTAATTGGGATAATTATAATAACTAATCGCAGTCAAAATAAAGTTTATTTGTATAAAAAATCTTAATTTAATTTCGGCCTGTTCTGTTCTTACATCTCGTCATGTCAACCGTCAAGGAACTAATAGAAGCACCTTGTTTTCTGAAACGGTGTTGCTTGTTTGGAAATATATACTTACGTTGAGGCAAGCTCGACATTTTCTTTAAATTGAAGATAGCAGCAAACTATATACATTTGTCAGTTTGTCACGAGTCATAAACAGAGAGGGTTTAGCTTTTCGGCCTCATGCCTACTCTTTTCTTAGGAAACGATCGTACATTAAGGCCCAAATTATAGCACACCTCCAATCTATAGATCGTCTTCACATGACGCCATGGCGGCCATATTGGTGTCCGAAAACAATGGAACGGCGGCCATGTTGGTGACTTGGTTTTTCAAACAAATCTCGTGGGAATTGAGCTCTTTTGTTATGGAAACGCCTTATTTGGTTTCAATAAATTTGCATTGATGCTGGCCACGTGAGTAAAACACTCTATAGGTGAACGCTAACATGTTTCACACAAAGCCACTTGTTCTACGCGGTACGAACGACAGGGACAGACTCGGACCACACCAGGCCTGGCTGCTCGGCAACTGAAGAGCAATGGCTGGCTCTGTAGTAGACAGATGTTGTTTGTTGTGTTCAATGATGGTGCCACTAGGCTTTCGAAGGATTCGATAGATCCACACTCAAAACCAGCCCTAAAATGAAAAAGAAAAGGAATTTTCACTAAGTTCATTATAGACTGAGATAGAGTCAAGTTTGATGTCTGTACGTACTTTAATTCATTAGTTCTAGGAGCGTCAGGGGAAAAAACAAACGGATAATCTCCAATCACGGCAATGGTGTAGTGTACAGCGGCTTTCCGTGACTCGCATCCGGGACCTGCATGCAGGACTTATAAAAATCGAGAGACCGCACGAAATGTGCTGTTACTGAGTGTAAGGGTGGCCATGATTAAACGATTAAAGCATGTTACTGTAGCCCACGTTCGATATATTAAAATTCTAACATGACTCCGGGATTTTCTGGTCATTTTTCTAGATTTGGTTTGGTTTTCTTTGTGCTCAAGTCTCTTTTGAGAATTGCTAGACAATGAATTCTTGAAAAATTTGCAATTTTGACGCTAAAGCCTCGGTGTCATGTCAGAATTTCAATATATCGAACATGGGCTATTCCTGACAGAACTCTACGGCGGTTTTCTATACTAAAAATGGTCTGGAATTTTCTCTATATAATAAACCTCTTAAAGTCAAAGATGCTTAGCAGCGCTACAGTTACCTTGCAAGAAGTGTTGCTTTTGTATTTAAGGACACAAAGAATTGTGGTTCGCATATCAGCTTTTTCTTGTGGCAGGTCTCAAGACACGATTCACCCACCCCTCCGAGCGTCATCTTCAATTCACTCAACGGCGGCCATCTCGATGGCTTGCAGAAGTCCTGTTGAAAATAAGATGATTTTCTTGATATCTTATCTTTTTTCTTACTGTAAAAGGCATAAAAATCCGGTATTCAGTTCTTCCTTTATTACGCTTTCTCGTCTTTCAAGTCGTAGTCTCGCCGGTTCCCCTTTTCTTTCCAGTAACGTAAAAGCTTAAAGCTTGGTTAACTCGTTTCCAGGTTCTGACAAGAATTGTGCACCGCACTTAGATAACGAATGGAAATATTTGGATTTAGATGTGAAGTTTTCCACTTGCCTGAAGAATGAAGGACAGAAAGTAATTTATCACTTTTGAGAACGTTATGTATACCTGATTTTCAACATAAGCATTAATTCTTTCCAGCATTCCAGCATGAGTAAATTCATATGGTAGATGAGGCTCTTCCTGAAATGTAAATCAGGTGTAATTTTAAGTTCAGAGCAGAGCAGTGCAGAGCAGAGCAGAGCAGAGCAGTTTTGAGCAAGCGAGGACTGAACTCTTTATCGCCCCGCTATGGGACAGCCTCAAATGATGTAAAGTAGAGAGGAGAAGTGTGACGTCATGTTACCATGGTAGCAAAATTTGTGTACCTCAACAATCTTTCTTGACAAAGACTGCCATTTGCCGATTGTCGAACGGTGGATGAAAAGCATGGGCTACCATTTCGTTCCGTGAGTGTAATCATGTACAGGAAAGTCATACATGTAGACTTTTTCGTTTTTCCTTCCACCTTTGCAGGAATATAGTTTGTTGAGATCCAGAAATTTTGCTACCATGGCAACGTGACGTAAAGACTTCTCTTTTCTATGCCGACCTCCATGCTTCGACCCTGTCCCTTCTCAACCAAACAGAAGAACAAAAACAATAATGGCTTCACAATTTTAATGAAAGCCCTTTGCCTGCAATTTACCATGGTTCTACAACTCAGTTCTTTTCCATCACAGCATTTCATTTCCCAAAAGAATAGTTCAGTAGACCAACTGGTTTGCTTTCATTACAGTCCATTATGGGCGACATAACAAAATATGAAAACATGCTGTATGTCTTGCAACTTTTGAAAAAGTAAAAAAAAATAGATTCAACATAGAAAAAAAGATAAAAAGCAAGTGCCTCCTTACTTCTGCACTAATGATTTCCTTCAAAGCTTCTTCCACCTCTGTTAAATTATGGATATCCACTGTCTGAACGAAAGGTTTACCAACAAACACCTCCGCGTACGGATTTTGAGATGTAATCTGAGTGATTGAAAATGATCGATGTTAAAAGTTAGATAAGATATATTGTAATTGTAGTTCTGGTTTTATGAACTCATTCAAATTTAATACCAAAACGTGACCATTATATCATGCCATGCACTCACTTCCTTTCCCTAATGGGATGAAATGAGTCTAAATGAAACAAAAGTACAACTTTAACACGTCTCCAAAGTAGTACGTATTTCACGGGTGAAACAGTAACTAGTTACCTTTCTGTTAAAGGGTTTTCCGGCGAAAAAGTTTGAGTTTGTGCGATCGAGAGGTGGCACGTACTGAAAAGCAAAAATCGAGCATCGATTCAGAAAAGAAATAAAACATTTAGTCTGCCCTTTTTCTGAGGAAGACCTACATCACTTATCTGGTCTGTTACCGTTTTCAAACTGGAAAGAAAATAACTTCTGCTGATCCAGAGCCTATCATTCATGAGACTGGCACTTGCTTCTACAGCAACCCGCCTTTGATATGTCTTGGCTTAGTCTGGTGATTTATGCTCATTAATCACCAATCATCATCATCATCATCATCATTATCATTAACATAATCATCGTAAACGTTACGTCATCATTTTTCATCATCATCATCATCATCATCATCAACGCCAACGTCACAATCATTATCATTAACATCATCATCGTAAACGTTACGTCATCATCATCATCATCATCATCATCAACGCCAACGTCACAATCATTGTAATCCTAATTGACCTTAACACAGAGGTAAGGATGCCATTATCTCTTTACTATACCTTAGGATTAATATAGAAACATCCATTAGCCAAGGCCTCAAGGGCTGCTGGTCCTTCATAGGGTTGGCCAAGACCCACAAACACCTGAAAAAGAAGCCAGGCAAACCAGTTTCAAGTTTTTCAATTTCAGTTTAGAGAAAACCGAGTTCTGAAGATGCTCAGAGTTCCGAATGAAATTAACGACAGATGAATTACCTTACTGGAGTCTAATAAATCTATCAATGTTGTTATATTTACAATCCCGTGATTGATGACATATTCAGGAACACGGAATTTCTTTCGACTTTCCTGTGGAAAATAAAAGCACAAAGAGAAAATTGTTGAATCTTTATGAAAGTGCAGGCATGTCTAATCATAGCTTTTAGTTATCTAAAAACGTGGGTGATATTTTACTTATTGGTGTCTGGACACCGGATAAAACACTCCGTCACGCGTTTGACACATTAATACTCGATGTTTTTATATCAGAGAAAACATCCCTTCTCATTAAAGTGATATCTATTCTCGGAGTCTGGAGATCAGATAAAATGCTTCCACTCTTGTTGGACATATTACTTCCCGGCGTTTGGATACGAGATGAAACACTTCTTCTTGTGTTTGATGTATTACTTCTCAGTGTTTGGATATCGGATGAAACACTCCCTCTCGTGTTTCGTATATTTCTTCTCGGTGTTTGGATATCAGATGAAACAGTTCACGTCGTGTTTGGTATAGTAAATTGTGAAATTAGACGGTGGTTATAACTCATTAGCCACAAAATACTGACTTAAAACGAAAAAGTTAGTTTAACCTCAGACGATTTGGAAGATGTATAATTGTGAACGGGGCCTTGCCTACGTACCTTAGTACCTCCCAACGTTGCGTGAACTTCGTTAAAATAAGTCTTCACTGCATTAATGTAGTCTCCATGCCCCTAAAAATGTTGACAAAAATGGAAAAATAATTTCATGAGATACGTTTATTCGCGACAACGTCTCAAGCAATTTAGATAACGAAAAGGATAAAATACTCATAGTGATTCAACAAGTCATACTTACCTCCCAGAACTGGGGATCTTTGCCATAAACTAAAGCTGCTTTTCTCGTTTTTGTCTTCTGCAAGGGTCCTTTGACTTTTTTAGCTCTTTGTGGGACGGCAAAACCAAGAAAGGAGTTATCTGGACTATGGGCTACAGGAAAGAACTGCCAATTAATTCTGACTCTAATTCCACAATAACAACCATGCAACATTATTAAGGGTGGGGGCAGAGGTTACCAATGCAGGAAACCTCAGCTAGACCCTTCCAATACAGCGTAGTAGTGAGTACCTTTTGTACTTTCAAAACTTTTAGATCCTTTTTAAGGTACTTACGATACATGGTCATAAACTGACGTAGTTGAAGGTCGATATCTCCCCAGGGTGACCTACCACCAGGAATCTTCCCCTTGTAATGTTTGTAGTTAAACTCTGCATCTGTTCCAAAAGAGTCTAACACACGCATCTTACACCTGTTATCAATAAAAAACTTCGTTTATGAAGAAGGTGGAATTGGAGAAGGTGTCTTGCCTTTAACTGGCAAGTAGTTTACCGGGATAACCATAAGATCGATACTTTTTGTCAACCTTCAAATCAATATGTTAACGAGATAGCTTGCTTAATCCTCGCTAAATGATAAAATCTCTAACATTTGATAACTTGTTTTTGCCACTACGACATTCTCGCTAAAACACGTAGAATGACGATGGCTATCACATTTTTCCGCCAAAATGGCGTTGGTTCGCACACGCGAACTACTTAATTAGTAGTGGGAAAATCTCGTTTTCGTAGTCGTCCTCGTCTTAGAATCTAAAGCTCTGTCTTATGCTGCCTAGTCCTTATTCTGCGCGGCCTATGTGTTTCGGGCCTCGTCAGTTGTCCAGCGAATTTGTCTCGCCGTTCGTCTCGGAAAACGTAACCGCAATGCATCGACCAGGAAGGTCTGTAAAGACCCCATGCAGGGACTAGACAAGATAATGTCTATGGCAAATAACTCAAAGAAATACAAACTTGTGCAGCGAATAATCCGGTCCACTACGCTCTGCTATTATCAAGACTCCCATGATATCAGTAAAAATAAGATCCAATCCATCGGTTAACGTTTCACGAACGCAGCCATCAGAAGCCGGATTAACTAGGAGACTGGGAACAAAACCAGAAAACATTAAAATCGGTTACCTAAATGATCACTAGTTTTTTAATTAGGAAGATCCCTGAGTCTTAAGTAAGATTTGATAGTAACGCTCAAAACTGTTGCACAAACACCTCATATAGTCACTCTTAGTGACTCTGACAAGAAAGCATTGCATCGATGGATTCTTCTGAATCGTGTCATTAAGGGGGAAAAAAAAGTCGAAACGTGTATTTTTGAGTGGTTTAAGGAAGTAGGTCGAACCACGGGCGAAAACTTGTCGCACTTTTCAATTGTTCTTAACAAATGGGAAGTGATTATATCCCAGAAATGCAGGAGAATTTTTGGAAATTTCTTTTTTAGTTAATCAATAAATCATGTTTCAGCGTACGTGCATTATTAACGCTCGAGGAATTTCATGAAATATCGTTCTGACCACTCTTCCCGCGCGTTTCGTCGGATATTTTATAACTCATGTCCGATGGTTTTGTTTTCTACTGCTTTTTTTACCTTGGAATATCTCCCACTTGAAAACCTATAGTGAGGTCATGGCCTAAAATGTACAGGGCACTTATCAGGTCGCACCATTGGACCAGTTCACCTAACGGCCCTCCCATAAACGCGCCGTCTAAGAAGAACTTGTGCTCTCCCATACCAGCCAGGTACAAAAGGATCTGAAAGACGAACCATGGCCAACAAATTTGGCAAAAAGACCTTTAATTAGGTATAACGGCTTAGTGTTCATTATTAAACTATGACTTGTGACGTTATCGATGCTAATTAAGTTTCACTTTGCAATGAGTTTCCATGGCAACTTTAAAAAGGGAGCCTAAGACACTACTGACAGAGATGGTATCACAAAAAGTATTAGTCTCGCTTCCGGTTGTTTTTACTTCCGCTTTGCTCACACGTTGTAGGCTTTATGCGCGTTTCTACGGTAAGGGCCAGAAGAATAGCGTTTATTATATACCTTTTTTTGTTTCCTTTCAGAAAAGCTAGGCTTTAGTTGTAGCTCTCCAACAGCCCGCATCCAATGCTGCCATGTTCCAAGAATTCTGTTCCGTATCCAGGTAAACCTTTCTCCTTTAAACTTATCAAGAAGCCCAGTGAGATCGGTTTGAATTGTAGCCTTCGAAACAAAAATCAGAAATGTCATAGACAATATTTTTGGCAAGTACGTAACATTTTAAGGAAACGTTTGCATGAGTTAAGTCCAAGAAAGAGCCACAGAGGAGGCGAAAAAACTTGGACATTTGAGCAAAATGAGGAAAAGTTTTGATTGGCTTCGGTTTTGTTTTGATCCCCCGCCCCATTTATTTTGTGCCATAAAATACTTTATCTTTTACTTTGTTTGGGAGAGCGAGAAGCCAAAAGAGGGGGAAAAATCCAGTTTTTACTAACAGCATGTTAAGCAGTCCCCATACTTCACTCCTCCACTGTAGTTTGGTACGAATTTTGCAACTTTAGAAATAATGGTGTGAACTTAGTTAATTCACTGCCCTTAAATTATGTTGCTTCACCTTTTTCGGTGGTCCATTTGAAACGTCCAAGGAGTGGTGACCACTTCTCCATGGCAAGACTGGGCACCAGGCCTCTCTCTGAAAATCAACAATAACAATCGATGTGACTCACTTGGTGAGTTTCGTACGTTCTCCAAATTCACCCACTAAAATCATAGGAAATCCTTAGAACGAAAAGGTGCGGAGTAGATGCCTTACCTCGCTCAAATACTGAATAACAGAACAAATGTTTTTTGGATCAACTTTGTATTTCTCCCCATGGCAGTTTTGGTTCCACTTCGTGTGAAATTCCTGAAAGAACAGGTATTTTGCCTTAATTCAAAGCATATACATTAATTTTATACCATACGAGGGTGTAACACCAGCATTTTTTGAAGGAAAGTGGGTTGTCTAAAATTAGCCTCTTAAAAAAGTCTAGAGATACAGCAATTCAGAGGTCATAAGCATGTCACGTGCATGGGAACAATTTTTCCCAGAATTATTATTACTCAGTAATTCTCGCTTACAGTACTATAGCCTGTGCCAGGCGGTAAGATAGTAGGGATGTCGCGAAAACAAGCCAGGCAAAAAATTAGACTCGCGTGATCTGGAGAAGGGTGCCCTGGGTGCCAGAGGCTTTAACCTATAGTACCCAGGGTAGGAGAAGGGAGGGGGTTGTGGCACACCTCCCATCCACCCAACCCCACACCTTCCGCATCTTTCACAGCAGTTTTCACGATCCCTGAATACTCTTGGAGCCCCGGGGGAGAGTTACTCACTATAATGGCCTATACAGGAAGGCTCCGCCCGAAAGAGGTACCGTTTTCTGGCTTCAGATATATAAAAGGGTAGGGATTTTACTAGTTGAAGTATATAAAAGGGTAGGGAAATTTGTTCTCTTCAGTCTTGAAAAGCCCATAAGGGGTAACAAATGCATTTTATGGCTGTGGAAAATGTTCTAGTTTTGTGGTCTATTCATCTTTTAAAGAAGGTGCATTTATAGTAGTTTGAAGGGATACAAAGTTCTAAACTAGGTATGTGAAGGGGGTGCCCAGTTGTCAATAGAAGGTATACGAAAGGGGTACCTTTCCTGCTAAAAATGGTATATAGAAGAGTACGAGGTTGGACCTCGGGGCGGAGCCTTACGATAAAAACCTTGGTTGAGTACCCCTTTTCCCGCCCCCCTCCCCACCAGGATGACAGGACCAGACTTAACTCAAGCTAAAAGGCTACTATATTATACATACTTTTACCCAAGAATGCCCTCATACAAGAAGAAAAGATGAGGCGAGCAGGGTGTTTGAGATGTTCCTGAGCAAATCAAGCCTTCCATTCCCTTGCACCCCTTACACTATCGAAACTTTGATATAGAGGCCTCCATACCTGTATTTTAAATTCGCATAAAGGAAACAAATGGTTCCTTGGAATGGAACACGTGATTAAGCCTTCACTATGGTTGTTTTTTGCATCTGCGTTTGGAGAAATGTAAAAGTTAGTAGGAAAGAAAAGGGTAGATGGAGCAATAATAGGGTTTTCAAGGAAACTAAATCTGAAATAAATAACCCGTCAATTTTTGTACGGTTTGCTGCAATACAGTTTAACCTTTATTTTCATATTAATGCAATTACATAGAAACTAATTCTACTAAGCTATGTTCACGCAACACTGGATAGTTCTGCGGCGCCGCGAAAATCATACCGGATATAGTGTGCGTAGCAGAAGGCATGCTCCAAACTAAAACCACTGCTACAAATTCTTAAGGTGTGTTCCTTTCGGCGAATCCAAAAACCGATTTTTAATCCTAGATTTGCCGGATTTCGCGTTCGGAAGGAACGTGAAATCCGAAATTGGGTGTGTAACCTTGGTAACTACCTTTCGCAAACTCGTGTAAAATGCATGATATCTTCTCAAGAAATGACGTGTTTTCAACTGTTAGATAAATTTTGCGACTATGTCGTGCAGAATTTTGTGGTCGGCAGTTCGAATAGCGACGATAGAACATAAACAGATCAAGAAAGAAGCGCGTTAAAGTTGAAAAATTATGTAAAGGTTGTCGGCTCAGTTTGATCCAGTTTCGTATCTCGATTTTTTATGTAACACGATCGAGTGCCTATCCCGTCTACAAACGAGTTTGTAGAAAGCTAGCAGTTCATTTGTCCCTTTAACTTATTTGTATTTTAAAGTAATCTTTAGCGACCAATGGTTTAAGTACATGGATATTTTACTGTATCAGGAACAATCTCCCAGCGTTTTCTGATTTTTTACGACAAATGGCAGCAACTAGGAAACTGTACATGCAGGAATACTTCAATTGGAAATAACGCTACGGGTAAATATCGTCTGACTAATTTCGAATCCACTGTGAATGGAACAGCGTAGGTCACTAATCCGTTAATCTGGATTTGGATTCTTCGGATTTTAAATCCAATAGATCCTTTTTCAGAAAGGATTCACCAGATCAAAAATCCGGATTTGGATTTGCCGAAAGGAAAGCGAAATCCGTTTTAGGATCTAAAACCGTTTTTGGATTCACCGAAAGGAATACACCCTTAATCATGCATGCATGTCGGTTGCTGATTTTACACAGGACGATGGACTTTCACCAGTGTTTCTCCCAAACAAATGTGCAAATACTGGGAAAAGAACGACGCAACCGCTGGATTTTTCCTCACTAACTGAAAATTGTTAAACAACTGTTGCCGCAATTTTCGTCCGGCTGTGGTAAACTGAAAAGATCGCAAAAATCAGCGAAAAGACAAAAATATTTAAAAGTACTACTTTTGCCTCGTACAGAATATTCTTGGTTTAGATAAGTACCATTTGTTTTGGAAAAGTGCAGTACATTCCAACGTGAATTTCCCGTGAACACAAAAGCTGGTCACGGCAATATTGTGCGCTGCAGCACATAAGAAACGGGTTATTCAAATTCACTTTAATGATGGATATTAAAAAAAAATAAAACTGTAAGAGACTTAGTGTTCATTTTTTAAACACAATGCGCCTAGTAAATTACACGTCGATCACACGACAGGATATGAAATGCAGCATCGAAGAACTCGTATGGATAAATGATGTATTTTACATCCAAATAGATAGGAAAGACAAAAAGGGCAACTGATATTGACATACTACGTTTAAAATAAAAGATTCTCGCTTACCTTTGAAAAATATTTGTGCTTGTATCTTCGCCGCAAAGCTTTTTTGAGCCTTAAAAGGTACCTTTTTTTCCTCTACACGGGACGTTATATTGAAAATACTTATTTGAGTTGTGAAGAAGAACAGGGCAAGAACAGACCAAATGAAAATTACAGTTTTGCTCGAGAAGATCCTTCTGGCTTTCATTTCAGAGGGTATCTATTAATGCCAAGTCATTTTGACAGTCATTTGTAACTACGGGCGTTGTTTTGAGGAAAACAATAAAGATATTTCTAAAATTGACCATATATCTATGGTTACAGCTCATTATTAATCTATTGAAGGTTCGCCAGTGTTTCTCTAGTCAAGTTATCACGTAGGTCTGAACTGATTATTGTTTTTTGCTATTTGTTTGCCCGTTTTTTGTTATTGTTGTTTTTTATCCAATAGGCCAGGCCACGGTGAGTTGCCTTAACCTCTGTATTAAGACGAGAGCAAGTGCCTTTAATAAAAAAGGTTTTTTTTAATTAGCAAATGAAACTCATTTTCACAAGAAATTAAAGGTTTCGCATTAGCTTGGCCCGAGAGGCGCTCTTTCCAATTAGTACCCAGTCCCATGACCAAGGCAAGAGTGTATAGCGCTCACAATTTTGATAAGGTTGCGAATATAATCACCGATTATTGACCTCAGTCTTGACATTTTGTTGAAAAGTTTAGATGTTGTCTCTGTAGCCATTGCCTAGTTAGCCTTTAGCCTTTTTTTTTCTTCGAATTCTTTATTTCACACTCACTATTTTATTCCTTTACTACCCTGTACCGTGGCCACTGTAAAATGGGAAACAAAACAAAAACGCGCAACTTTTTTTGCCGCAAAATTGCTTCAAAACGAGTTGGAAAAGTTGCAAAGTTGCGCGTTTTACCACCCACGTTGAAACCTCTCGTGGAACAATTAGGTTGTTGGCCAGTTGCGTGAATACAGACACGGGGTTTACGTCACTTATTGCAAAACGCGCAACATCGCTGTCCAATCGTTTTGCAGCAATGTTGCAAACGCTAATCAAGTTGCACATTTTTGTTGCCGGTTTGACCATGCTTGAGCTTCGGTTAACATAAAAGACTCCTTTTTTTTGGTTTTGTTGACGTCAGTGTTAACTGTCTAACTGCAGGCTAGGAATCCAAGATGGTCGCAATTATATGCAACCCCCAAATTCCTGCCCCACCCAGGGGGAAAAGATAATATTTCTTTGAAAAGAACTGAAAATCGCACCAACGCAGAAACGCCGTAGACGAATGAGCGAAACAGAGTCAGCTCCACAAGTTTTGATTAAAAAACAAAGGACCAATTTCGAAAACAGTTAAAAAGAAAGAGAAGAGAAAAAAAATAAAAAACAAAAGAAAGAACTGGGAGAAAGAGAACCCTGGGAGGGAGGAACGAGGGTTAATCTTCCTTTTTGACTAAAGGTGGACTGCCTCCGAGCCTTTTCCGTGTTTAGAAAAAGTGGTAAAAAAAAAAAACAAAAACAAGCAAATGGTCACAATCCTATTGTGAGAGGTAAGTGTTGATGTTGGCTCAGGGGAGGGGTAGGTGGGCAGTTTCCTAGCAACGTATAAAGATCCAAAAAGGATTTGATAAAACGGTACCCAATTCATTTTGGATTCTCTAATCTTTCTTAGGTTTAACAGCATGTGTATGTGTACTAATTCATACATTTGAGGCCCTCTCAAGTCAAATTTTTATGCTATATATTTTATAGTTCGGGAAAATGTGGAATTTGTTAACGATGAAAAAATACCTCAAACCCGGACAGAGAGAATGAGAATAAAGACTGTTTTTCTCTTGTTGTTGTTGACACCTGGCCGGGTGACAAATACGTATCCGACCCAAGAAGTGGCTGCCTGAGGACGTTTGGAATAGCCCATTTACAGTTACAGCTGGAAACGAGGATGGAGTTGACCTTGTTTTGATACTATTGCTGCTCCTTTATTATGTAAATCATGTTGTTGCTAAGCTAACTAGTATTTCCAAAATTTTCATTAGGGAAGGAAGGAGTTTTGTATCAAAACGAGGTCAACCTCAGCCTTACGTTCACTCAAAGGCTAGGACACCAAGCCCAGAACTGTAAAATGGGCTATTGACCCGCGGCAACAAAATTAGATACAGTGTCAATAAATTGTCGAATGGATTAATCGATAAATGTTCCATATGTAGGCGTTTCGTTTTTGCTCTAAAGTATAAATAATTGGCCTAATAAAGGTGACGGTTCTTTTGAGCTCACAAATATCAAATAATAATGCACGACAAATTCAATTTGAACTCGTCAGCAATTGTTTCCAGTTCAGATAAAGGAAGAAATTGAAACCGCTTACCTCTTTCCAGATAGGGAATTTTGGGGAATTTCTTTAGCAGAGTCTTTACCCCAGTTCTGCTAGTGATACTGTTGTCATCGTATGGAAGAGTAACGTGAAAAATTCCTATTTGAGCGATCAAGAAAAAAATGCCAAATCCGGACCAAACGAAGAGTACTGTCCTTTTCATGAAACATTGCATCGTTTAAGCTTCAAATTGGCTTCATTGTATTCTTGCGATGCGGATCGTTTTCAATTCAAGCTGAGTTATATATCAACTAATTGTTATCGAAAAAGACACATTTCTATGGTAACAAATATTATGAGAATGCTGGTTTTACAACTAATAACGGACTTGCAGGTTTATAACGAAGGATGAATAATATTTAATTTTTTAAAAGCCCAAAGCCTAGTCTCTGAAAAAATCCCACAGCTTAATAGAAAAACGACGAATATAGTTTTAATATTCCTCTGTAGGCGTCAAGGTCCCATGGCCTTTGCATATAATTTCGTTATGACCGGTGGAACCTTTCCAGTGTGCTATTGGCAACGATATCTTTCCTTTAAAAGCGTCTGCTCCCTTCATTTTCTCGGCGGAGGAAACAGGAGCCGAAAAAAGTGTCTGCTTCCCTCATTTTCTCGGCGGGTGAAGCAAGAGCCGAAAAAGGATCTGCTCTCCGAAGGCAACCATTTGTCTGGTTTTGCCTTCATTAGAGCCAATTCTTAATGCAGCAACTAATAAGTATCTATTTAGCATCGGATTTACCGGGTAGATTTGGGCTTTTTTAATTATAGATTGAAAAAAATGTCCACGGCCTGCGAAGGGGAATCGCAGCTAAACTACCTATTTTTCGTTTTGGTTCCATTCTTTCCTTCAATTTTTTTTTCAGTCTTTTTGTTAGAAACGTTTGGTAAAAATTCGTGGCGTGTTGGGCAAAATACGAAACAAAATTCTCTATGAAGCAAGTTGTGCCCTGCTGGTCCCTAAGCGCCACTTACAGCGCGAAAACAGGAAACGCGGAGCCCTGGGATAAACCCTTCCCACGATACCTTGCGTGCCTCGTTACCCTGAGTTGGGAATTGTGCGTAGGCTTTGACAGATTGTGCCACCACAATTTGTTACATGCTGTTATCGGTTATAAGAAGCAGACATTTTCACTCGCCATGTTTTTAATTAAATTCTTTAATTTTGAAACTGAAGCACTGCCAGCATATAAAATCAGCAAATTTAGCTTGTTTTGTGGCGAGAAGCATATTAGTATGCGTAATCAAATGGTGACGAGTGAAATTAGGGAATAATTTGACGAGCACACCATTTGATTACCTATTAATATCATGGGTGACAAATTACCTTAGCAATCGAGGATTTTTGACTTGTTTATCCTGGATCGTATCGATCGATCGTGAACTCCACTCTCTCAAACGTTTAGAGCTGAAATTTGGCTTAAGTTTTCAGAATTTTTCGACAACACACCTCTAAGAATCCTTCTTGATGTGCTCTTTCGTGTGTTCAGGTTTTCTAAAACGTCTTTTTATGCCCTGGCATCTTCATTCATGACATTTTAAAACTTCGTCGCCAACGTACGGCAGGTTGCCATGGCAATTTAGTAATTTCACATGTGAAATTACAAATTAACGCTGAAATTTCGCGCCAAAATTAAGGAGTAATTCGTCACCTATGATATTAGCAGTGTTATTGCTCAATTCACTTGTCTGCTGATTTAGTTTGTTTATACGTTGGATACTAGATGGGGTCAATCTTTATCAGTTGCCATTTGCGCTTGAAGACACCGCCCGCATAGGGATCTGGATGCGACTTGAAGTGACCCAGGAATCTCCACGTGCTGGTCTATGTCGCATAACAAGAGCCATATATAATTAGAGTGAAATTTTATAATGGTCTAAAACACAAAGATTTTAGCTACTATAACTTTAGCATGTTTTCCAAAAAAGCATAATTGATGAAAAAATTTGGACAGTGCCGATAGAATGAAATTAAATGCCGCTTTTTTAGGAGCAAAATCTGTAAAAACTTAGTTGTGTACAGAGCCCAAGCTCCAATTATGAAGGTTCAAACGTACAATGCTCTAACACAACATTTGAATATAAACAATAGCCAATCAGAGCGGGCGAAAGATTAGTTTTAATTTCCATACTAAGTTCACTCATTATCGACAGCGGTTTTACCATGCAGTTCCGAACAAGATTCATTTAAAGCGACTTTAATGCTTTAAAATCGGTTTAAATGGAAGCTACTAAAACTCCGCTGAAAGGATTGCAATTATTGCCGAACCGACTCAGATAAGAAGAAGCTTTTCTCGTGCTAGGTTTTTTAGCCACGAAATCAGCACTTCCCGCTGTTGATCCGTGAACCAATCGCTGGCAGCAGCTGTCGCAAGAAGCATATGAACATCTTGCCAAAATGCCGCGGAATTACGATAGTAGTCATAGCAACGATTCAGACAAGTGAAAATTCGTTGGGGGTCTACGTAGGGAGGTCTTTGGAAGAGAAACCGGGAAATAAAACTAGCCAGTTCGATGACACTCCGAGGCGAATATCCGTACCCGTAATCTGAATCCCAGGCCGGATGAAGTTCCTCGTTTGCTCTGATTGGCCTGATTCGTGTTTTGACTCTCAAATCTCGTAAGTTGCGCTGAAGTTTTTTTATCGTCTCCTCGGCTATTTGTAGGGATTTCTTAGTCTTGGCCAATTCGTTTTGCAACATTGCTATTTCCGTTTTAAGATGACTATCGAACGAGCTTTCATGACCAACTTTACACTTGCTTTGGTGCTGGTGCAGTTGAATTTGTGGAATCATCTCAAGACAACTGCAGCACTTGACGAGAGTGTAGCCACAGTTCTTTAAATGGCTTTCCATATCACCTAGTCTCAAAACCATTTGACAGCCATTGGCGGAGTTCTGGCACTCGACCGAAAGCCCTTCAATCACTCCTCTCAACGCTAATACAGGCGCGGTTCCAGGGAGACTCACTTCCTGCCGACATTCGGGGCAAGTTTTCTCCTTTTTAGCGTACGCGTCAGTCACCCAAAGTTTGATACATTCTTCACAGTATGTATGTCCGCAATGCGTCACTACTGGTTTCTTAAACACTCCTGTACATATCCCACAAATGAGGTTGTGATCTACCCGAGAAATAAACATATTTGTCATGTAACCCATTTTGCAAAATAGATCACTTCGATTACGTTCGCCGCCTACGATTCTTTACAGCGAAAATACACACTTCAAGGCGTTGGCGTAAATAAAGTGATTTGTTTTGAGGTCAAGCGTGGTTTTAAAAACAATGGCGAACACTTTTGACAAAAGTTTCGCGTCAATAATTGGGCTATAGCTGCTTGTGGTTTCATTAACCCACAGCAGGTCACCTGACAGGTGCATGTTAAGTTTCGTGGATCAAAAGGAAGTTTTTAAATAAACAGAATGGGCTCAGTAGAATTGTCCGAAAATAATCTCAATGATTTAATACACAATGAAAGATCGCTGTGCTTTCTCGTTTCTCGTAACATCGAGCCTATACGTGCATTTGTTGATTCCTTGCTCGAATCTGGCGCGATGCAAGGTGTGGTCGGTCGAAACGAAGAGGTGGAATGTCATGTACCGTCTGCTTCGATCAGTCTAAAACAGTTTTACCTGAAGGACTGATATTTGTAGATGTAAGAGACGGAATTCAAATCTAATTCAAGGCAATCCAGATCCTTTTCAAGTACTTCGTTTAGTTTTGCCATAAAACGATCAATCCGTTATCACTTTTAATAGTAATAAACACGCAAAACGCCTTAAGCTGACATTCAATGGTTTGCGCGTGGTAAAAAAAAGGAACATTGTAAAGAGGAATTAAATGAACCATTGGGGAAGAAGTTGATTTAATAGTTTTAACGAAAAACTACGTTCTTGGCGTTTATGGATTGTTATCAAAAGTTAAAAAAAACCGTTTTGCTACAGTTTTGGTTAATATATTATATTGCTTTTTGACCCGGCTTTGACTCGAACAGAAAAATGACAAATGTTTTAAAGTGGATTGACGTAACCCTGGCAAGATCGAAGATTCTAAAAAAAATGAAATTGTTTGAATTTTGTGTGTGCAAAGCCTCTTGCGGACCTTTAAATTTAAAGCACGTGACTTGCTGTCATGGCGACTTCCCAATAAGGAGCCGCGCTTTGAGATCTTTGCGTCACGACACTATTCCTTGATTGAAGTTGCTAAATGAAAGTTCGTGATGATATATTGGTATATTCCTTGTATGTAACGAGTTGGATTTCATCCAAGTAACGGGCTCCGTTCCTTTGTTGTTCAAATGATGGGAGATCTTGGGTGAGGACGCGTTATTCGGCGCGAATTGATGAGTGGCTTTGTGAAAAAGAGTAAGTCGAGTACTCGCTGTTGTCCAAGGATTACAGTTTATTATGGCGCGATATGTTTTTGTGTTTTTGTGTTGATTGCGCCGCTTAGAAACGCAAAAGAGAATCGTATCCGTTCATTAATTGGTTTTGTTTCTACCTTTGATATAGGACAATCTGCGTCCTCCTTCGTTTAAAGTCTTATCTTTGTGACTTCGTTTGGTTGATAATATTTTACTGATACTACAGGCGAGCTCAACAGCTCGCCGAGGAGATCGGAGTTTCACAAATGAATAAATTTGAAAAACTGGGGAAAATCGGTGAGGGATCCTATGGAGTGGTCTTCAAATGCAGAAATAAAGAAAATGGACAGATCGTGGCGATCAAAAAATTTGTCGAGTCCGAAGATGATCCGATGATCAGGAAAATCGCGATGCGAGAAGTTGGAATGCTCAAGGTATGAGCTGAAATTTTCTTCCTTCTCCTGGTGAATTGATTTGTACGTGTTAATTGGTAGAGCATCTTAATAATTTATAAGTTTACTTCTAGGTGGAAGTCTGTTTCTCTTGTCAGAAATTTTATTACCTTACATCAATTTCTTCCCTTGTTTGCTGGTTGCTGGCACTTTGAAACCTGTACTAAACCTGTAGCCTGCCAAGGGAAGGAATGTTAAGCTGTGAAAATCCAGTAGAATTTTTCTGCAAAAGAATTTAAGCTGAGTTAAGTCTACTCATCTATTTTACATTTACTTCACCTTGCCAATGAGGATTAATTCTTGATGTTTTTTTTGCTACACAAAGCAAATAAAGGATTATAGGTTTTAAATTGAACATATATAACCCCAGAAATTCTACAGTTGTACTTGGTAGTGGTACAGTAGGTCCTTAAATGAACAGTTGCTGTCAATCAATAATTAATCCATGGTTGTCAAAGCATCTAGTTCACTTCTTATAGTTTTGGTTGAAATTTATTCTCCTGTGTCACAATATTTCAAGGGGAAATAAAAATCTCTTTTTTATTTCCTTATTAGAACTTACGGCATCCAAATCTTGTAAACCTACTGGAGGTATTTAGAAGAAAGCACAAAATCCACATGGTGTTTGAGTACTGTGATCATACGGTGTTGAATGAGCTTGAAGCCCATCCAAGAGGGTAGGTTGAAATCTACTGTAAAAAAAAACAGTGAAAAACCTACGATTGATAGGTCGCTTAGAGGAAGGGTTGTTTAGGACAGGGGCTCTCTCACAGGTAATCAAGGCTTCTGATAGATTGTGGAAAAAAGTCAAATTTCTCAAGATTTTTTGGGGCAAATTTGCAAAAAAATTGGCCAATTTCGCAAGAAATTTTGCGGCAAATTTTGCCGAGAAATAACGGGTAAAAAACAGCCAATTTCATTGCAATTTTTTGGGCAAATTTCACTAAAATTGATCTCACCAGTGCTGTAAGGTTTTTGTAACAGATATAATCATTTGCTCTTTCAATAACAATAACACCATGGCTAGTGCCCAGTTTTTTTTGCAATATAATGCACGCCTGGTAGTTTTGGGACGTTGTTTGCTCAAGATAAATTTAGACGTTCGAGGTGAATATTAAAACAGGTCCAGTGGCCGATATAAGTATCAAATATGTTGTACAAACGTGTATTTGGTAATATTGTGCATATTTTGGTGAATATTGCGGGATTTCACGAGAAATATCAGGTAACTGGTCTAATACCTCTGCCAAATATTTATAATTTGCAAACAATTTCTGAGTTCACTACAGGCAGTGCCATTTACTTAAAGGGTTAAATTTTTACTGCAACAGAACAGAAATGGAAACAATTGAAATTAAATAAAATGCGTACAGTAAGATTTTTCTCTTTCTTACTAATTTATTTGCCTGGGACTGATTTTTCATAGAAAACGTGTGTGAGAATTAAACTGCATTCCAACAAAGTTCATGGTATCAAATCTTTCTCTTGGATTCTAGCAGGAGCTTGGAAATTGAGTTTGTTTGACTTTATTGTTCTTTTTTATTTGTAGTGTGGAAGAAAAAATGGTCAAGAGTATTATTTACCAAACTCTTCAAGCAGTTAACTTTTGTCATCAACACAAAGTGAGTGGTTTCTAAGGTTACAGCGTGTTTTCAGAAGAGGGAAATTTTGAGAATCATGACATATTTTTTACTGCAAGGTGTAAAAATATGTACATTGCAGACTGTGCTATAGTGGGAAATGTACTGGCAAACACAGATAATAGGGAAATATGGTAGTTTCCTTTGGGGCGTGGGTACTCCACCAATGTTTGGGAAAAGGTGAGCTGCAGATGGTTTGAAACCCTGACCCTGTTCAGGACAAAGAAATCCTAAAATACACACCCTGTTTAGGACAACAACCTCAATTTTATGACCCTGCTTAGGAGAAAATACGTGCTGTCTTGTTTTAAGGCCATTTATTGACAATTTTATTGCAATAGACCAAATACACATTATATTAAACAATACGGTTTGTTTGCTTGGAAGTACAAACAAATTTCATCAACCAAATCAAATCAATTGCGCATGCAATACCCTTTTTATGATTAGAACAGACTCTGTTTAGGACAGCTGGGAAATAATATACCCTGTTTAGGACAGAGAGGAAAAAACCATACCCAGTCCAGCAGCACATCCCTGTACAGGTCATACAAGAGAGCACCCCCCTTCCCTCCCTGGGTAGTTTCCTCTATGTTGAGCAGCACAGTTAGCTCAATTTGTTGGGTTTCTGACTGTGGCATGGTAGGCATAGGTTCATTTTCCAGCCAGACAAACACTTAGGTTCAGACGCTATACTTCACATCAGCTAAATCAAATTCCACGTCAGGCTGATCTTTATTCTGAACTAAAATTAAGAGAGGATGCATTTGGTTTGGCTCTTGTGAAGTCCAACCTCTAAATCAATGCTGGTCCAGAGCCATTATTCTTGGCTGGGCCAGGTGTAAAGAATGGCTGAGCTGACCCAAATCCAGTTTTGAGATGTGTCAGATGCCATACTTCGCATGAACTTAATTAGCTGAATTCAATAATTGAATTAATGACTCAATTCAATGAATTAACTGCAGGGTCTCAAAGTCTTAAAAATAACTTAGGAGTTCTATCTTTGATGCAGGCGTGTGTGGTGGCATGGTGAATTCCAGACCTGGAGGTGCGGAGTTTAAGCCTTGCCCATCCAATGTTTCCTTAGACAAGGAACGTTACTCCACTTTGTCTCTCTTCACCCAGGGGGATAAATGGGTACTGGTGTTATACTGGTGGGAGGTAGCCCTGAGATGGACTAGCATCCCCTCTAGGCAAAAATACTCCTAGGCATCCTTCATGCTAAGTGTTTTCTGTGTCTTTTTTCAGTGTGTCCACAGAGATGTAAAACCCGAAAACATTCTTATTACTAAAGATGGTGTTATAAAGCTCTGTGACTTTGGATTTGCCAGAATCTTAAGTGAGTTGACTTTATATTGAAACAGACAAGTTGCAGCAACACATTGCTTCGACACATCACAGAGACAAATTTCTTTGTTTGTACTGAGAATTTTTGTGAAAATCTTTGTCTCTTCAACAGAATTTTGTCACCGCAACAAATCTCACAAAATCAAATCAGACTGAATTTGTGCGATTTGTTGCAGTAAAATTCTGTTGCCGAGACAAAGATTTTCACAAAAATTCTCCAGTTCACACAAAGCAATTTGTTGCTGCGACTGTCACGTAACTTGTTTCAGCAGCTTATCTCCTGACCTGTACATATAGAGTGATATGTCACCAAGACATGTTGCAGTGACATAACACCCAGTGTGTCCTTAAAATGAGGCAAGTGCAATTGTCGCTTGTGTGAAAATGAGGTAAATTTGCACCTCAGAGAAAATGGTTCCCATTCTTTATTTTTTCCCATAACTAAAAAATAAACAACCTCCCATTGTATTGTTACTTTCTGTTATAGCTGGCAAACTGTTAAAAACTGATTGTGCTTCAATGTCAAGTGAACAGTCACCGTTAGTTTTAATATAAATCTCGGGTGTCTTTTTTTAGCAAATTCTTTAAGCCAAAACAACAGGCTCTGAATTGAAGTATGGCACCTTGTTAAAAGATTTGCAATGCTCATAATATATCATGGAACCTCTCTGTAATTACTTTATTTTCTTGGATTTTTAGCAAAAAATGATGAGTGTACTGACTATGTGGCAACACGGTGGTATCGTGCACCAGAGCTTCTTGTTGGCGATGTACAGTATAGCTTCCCAGTGGATGTGTGGGCGATAGGATGCGTATTTGCTGAGCTTATAACAGGGCAGCCATTATGGCCAGGCAGATCAGATCTTGATCAAATACACTTGATCAGAAAGACATTAGGTATTTATAAAGTACATGTATAGTACTGAATGCATGTACAGTGTAACTGAGGGTTTCATGTGTATTGAGGAACTGGCATTGTAATCAAATTGCACTGCCATCAGTGCTTGTGAAAACAGTAAACGTGATCAAAAATGTTGAACTTGTTGTGAAAATAATTTGGGTCTCTTGACATACTGGACTCCCCAGTCTTGTTTTTATACCTTTTTTAATAATGAAAATAACAACGATTATGATAATCAACCACCCAAGTGTAGTGAAACTAGAAATGAATGTTAGGTACAACAAAGAAATGCTTGCAAAAAAATGTGAACCCCCACTGGAAATTGAACCTTCAACCTTCCAGATAGCGCTTTACAGTTAAACACTGATGAACCTGTGACAGCCCGGCAAAATAGTGTTTTCCTTGGTTAACGTGTAAGTCCCAGAGTCCCATCAATAGACCAGTTTCGAATTAAAAACTACCGCTGAATACAAACATTAAATTCCGGCTAGTAAGTGTTTAAAATTTGAATATACACAATAGACAGAGTAATAAACAGGTCTTTTTGTCATTTGAATTTGTAAATATATTCAGAACCCTGTCAAGTCTTCCTTTAATTCAGCTGTCCCGAATCGAAACTGGACTATTTTCTTCTAACAATAAACAATCAAGAGAATAGGTTGTGAGAATTGATCTAAAGAAAAAATGCATTTATCTATTATCAAATTCTCTCAACTCATTCTTTATGGAAATGTATAGAGACCAGTTTGGAGAATTTGTATCTGGATATTGGGATTTAAAGGGTTAAGAAACCATTGGCAAGGCAAAATATTTAATAAGGGCTGCATTGCTCTTTTAAGTGAACACAGGCCATTTTATGAAACACAGGCCATTAACTAAAGGAGACCATCTGGGCGTGGCTCAAGCTTATATGCTAATAAAGGCATGTTTTGTTGGAATGGACAATGAGTTTTAGGTGATCTAACAAACAAAGTTGAAAAGCAAAAGAAGATATTCAGACCCTAAAAACCTTGGCGGCTTAAAATTTTACCATGGATAAACAAAATACCAGAGCTGTTTCAAAAAGAAATGGTAAGAATGTTTACAACAACTGAGAAGCAAAAGAAGATATTCAGAGAAAATAAATTTTACCATGGATATACAATACCAGAGCCAAAAGAAATGGTAAGAAAGTTTACAACAACTTACATTCAGTAGCACTCGATCTCTTTTCTCATGACTGCAGCATTACAGCTTTCATTGTTGTAGGAGAAAAGTTGAACCAAGAAGTACAAGTGTCTATTAATTGGTGTTCTTGTGCTGCAGTGTATGCAGAGGATGTAAGCACAGTATTGAAGCAATTTGATTTTGTTTCAGGACCCTTTAGAATCCAAATTCAAGCTACCAAGCACAGCTATGAATTTTATGAAGGTATGTGAATATACATTGTATAGTAAATTATCTACTACAAAGGCTACTTTTATCAGCATTGTCATAGTCACTATCATCGTAATCTTTGTCCTCCTGATCAGTCCTTATCATCATCGACATCACCATTAATTTTTCATGTCATCATCATTATCAACTTAACCATTATCGTTAACTAAATTCAATAGTTAAAGGTTGAAAGAGTAGTCATTGATTTGCTGTGATTTTATCTGCATATAGGGGTGTTTTGAGATGGATCCTGAACAGCGTTTAACTTGTGCCGAGCTTCTGGCACATGCATATTTTGATGATTATGAACCAATGAGAGCTCCTGCTGTTAAGACGAGAAGAACAAGGGTAGGTTCTTTCAACCAAACGCGAGAGTTTCAACAATAGAAATTCTCAAAAGTTCAACATTTCATTTAATACGATAATTTCATCCACAGATTCAAAAATTCGAACCACCTTATATATTTTTATAAACAGCACTACAGGAAAGAACTCCTTATATAGCTTTCATTTGAATGGTCGCACCATAGGATTTCATCCACAGACTCAAACGTTACCAGCATAATAAACAGTAAAGGAAATACTGCTCAGTAGCTTTCATTTTTGAACGGTCCATAGACTCAAAAGTTAGAACCACCTTGTACAGCATAATTCAGTCCACAGACTCAAAATTTGAACCACGTAGGATTTCATCCACAGACTCAAAAGTTTATAGAACCACCTTGTACAGCATAATAAAGAGACCACAGGAAAGTTCTGTTCAGTAGCTTTTTTTCAAATGGCTTCACGAGGATTTTGACGATAACAGCACAGTGTTTTAAACGACAAAAACTTCTCGGTACGTGTAGCTTTCATTTGAATACATTCAGTAACTCTAATAGATTGTTTTCTTTCCTTGCTTGTTTAGCAACGAATTAAACCTTCGTCAGATAATGAACCTCCCTCTCATCACTTACCTCAGCTTGCCACGGAATCACCAGCTCCGGATAGAACAGGTAAGGAAGCGTAAACTGAAGAATTTCTGGCAGTTCTTTGCAGTCATTAATCGGAACTTAGCATTAGGGAGCTTAAGCTACCACGACGACGACCACGACGACGTCCACGACGACAACGTAAAAAAACAATTGGTTGTATGAGCAAAACAACAGCTCTGCACGTGCATCACGCTTTTTAGTACATTTCTTTCACGTTCACTGCACGACTACGATGTCAAACCTCCCAATGCGACGTTTTACAGAAGACGTTAACATTTGACGACGAATTTTCCTCTCTCTTTTTGAACCTGGATAAAGTCCTTGAAGAATTCCACTGCGGGAAAACTCGCCTACATTTGACAAATTGAGCAAGTTCAAATGGGCGCGATAGAGTTTGAAACGACACAAATTCATTTTCATCGAGGTGGTGGTTGCGTAAGCTCCCTTTTCAGTACGACGACGACGACAGCAAAAATGTCATGCACGTGCAGAGTTGTTGAATCTGTTATTGTAGTTGTGCTGGTTGTTTTAATTCAAGGTTTTCTAAACTTGCCCATTTAAATGCAAAAATTTGGCTTTCTTGAAAGAGAAAAAACCTTACTATCATTTTTCTCTACGCTGTCAATCATGAGTGGTCGCCTTCATTCTATACTAAAGGTACGGTAGCCGCTGGTAATGACTAACGAAAGTATTGTGATAACTTGGAATTTGACAAATCGACGACAGTTCTTCATGGTCTGTACTCTTATCGACGTGTTGAAAACTCGAGTTACTGCATTAACAAAAAAAATTGCCACTCCATCACGTCATTTTCATCTTCAGTACTGTTATCGACTTTAGCTCTCGATCAATCAGTGCGCGAGAAATCGGTCAGTTATCGTAAGTGATTGTTCGGCTTTGCTCGCATTTTTCGCTCTTCGCGCATGGCTTTCTCAGTCCATCTAGAGGGCAACTAACTCTTCAGTTTTCCTTAATATACAAAAATTAATCTTGTTTACGGCAACCATGAACAGCATTTTTTAATTTTGTCAAATTTCAGTCAGTAAAGATTTCTCTTTTTTTCCATTAGACAAAAACAAGGACAAAGTGAAACATAGCAAGCTCATGGATCATTTGCCTTCAATTTAAACCTCCAATTTAAACGTGCGGATCCAGGTCCTTTCTACCCTTTGTGACGTCATTAGTTTTTAATGCTAACTTGTGCAGGGTGAAGAGATCTTTCAAACCATACCATCAAGGTATAGACGACATTATTTTTCATTCGATGGATCCTAAAAGCTTTCCTAAAATGTCTTCCCACCGTGAATAACTGCTGTGTCACTTTTTAAACAAAAACTATGTCGAAATTTTGCTTTCTGCGCATGCCCGAATGACTGATGGATCAGAAGGCCGCCAAGTGTACGACCTGTAAACCGATTTGTGGAGGGATTAACTGTTTCCCGACAGTGATGAAAACCAGACTTTCAGTTTTTGATTCTCCAGGAGCGAATGGGTTATAATTATTATTTTCATTCGATGGACTATGTATGCGTGAAATTTTCGTGACCAGTCTTTCAGTGATTTGTTATAATTATAGCTGGAAATTTTGAAGCTGGAAATTCATTAAACATCGCTGTAACGGGAGTCGTCGGTCATCATTCGCGGGCAACAGTGCACTGTTACCCTCTGACGTCATAGATTTTGCAATGTTGCCCGCTCAAAGATTTTAACAGGAAACAGTTTTATTGTTAGATGTCATGTGACCTCGAAGTAACCAATGAGAGCGCGCGCTGTTGGGAAAAATTTCCAGCTCTATAACATTAAGAATCATGATTAGGGGTTTGTTATGCTTTTAAAATTAAATCGTTTACTGCCAAAGAAAAAGAAACAACAATTTTTAAATCTCAAATTATTATTTTGTAACATAACAAGAAAAAATAGCTGTACCAAAGAAATATACATCTAGTGTTTAAATAGTCGTGGTTAATGTTATTGAAAGTTTATGAAACACCATGTACAGCGTAATTCCTCCATCTAGAAACTATAACAGGAATTAGTACAAGCTCTTAGCGCAACCATTTCTGGAATCGTTCTGGTGGATAAGCGTTACATGTACTTATGACTGGTGAATACCATTGACCAAACAGAACTAACACTTGTCCAGCCAAACATTCCCAGGAATCACTGCACCTGAAGCTTGTACCCATTCTCCACAGAGTTTCTGAAGTGAGGAATAAACAGTCATAGGAAAGTACTGATCACTTAAAGGTCACATTGTAAAGGCAGGGGTGTAGCGAGGAGGGTCCTGGAGTGCTCAATGCTGCGTAATACTTAATATTTGGGTGGGGTGGGGTGAGGTGGGGGTAGTCGGAAATCCATTCTATTAATGTCAATGTTTTAGTTTTTCAGTGTCGTAAATACACTGTACGCTCTCATGAGGAGTTGTTCTCGTCAGTCGTCGTATTTCATCTTTAAAGGGTGGCTAAAATAACTGAAGGATTTTTTTACGCGCTCTCTGTAAAATAAGTTTTTTTGCAAGCATAATTGGGTTGCGCTCTTGTTAGGGTCTTGTACGATAAATAACTTAAGGAAAATGTATTCCAAGAGACTTTTTGCCATATTTATATACTCATTTAAAAAGCATGTTTCGTTTTAAATTATAAGCATGAGTAAACGCATATTATACGAGTACTGTATAAGAAAAGAAAAACGTTTCACAATCCGACTGTAGTCGCTCTTCTTTCTTCAAGCAAAATGCCGACCTATAGAGCGTTGTCACTCACCTGGTCCGAATTTATTGGAACACAAGAAAGCGTTTACACAGGAAGAGAGTTCAACTCCCACGGAATTGGTTTGGAACCCCAACATGGCGGCCGCTCCATTGTTTTGGCACACCAATATAGCCGCCATGACGTCATGTGAAAACGCTCTATGGACCTTGCACTCTGACACGGGCTCACGTCGTTATCAATTTCGTTCCCAGGGTCGCTCTTCGCGCCTGGGAACGAGGTTGTGCCTTTCGATGGGTACTACCAAAGTTTTCGATGGTGTCATACTTTTCCGGGGGGGGCAAGAAGGCGCCACTTCACAAGGGGCTCTCTTTCTCCTGTCGATAGAAGTAGAGTTTTAGAGCTGTCTAACAGCGAGAAAGATGAATAATTGGTTGAGTTGAATTTTTTAATTCCCTGAACCATACAACAACCTCTCCCGCTGAAGAGGTTGTGCAGTCTAAGCGGTGCAACCAGGAATGGACTTTAAGAGAGGGGGAATTCTCCTCTTCTATAATTTGACATGAGACTAACTTCGTGATTGGAGTAAGGTGGAAGGTGTGGAGGTCCTGTGACGACCCAAACAGCACAAAAGTTTTGAAGGTGCAATCAACGTATCCTTTCGGTGGAATGTACGATACGGGACTGAGAAAGCAACCTGTAAATTAAGAAATTCTACAAAAAATATCCAACAAAACACAAGGTATAACTGGTTTTCAACCGCGTGCAAGACAGGTGTGAGTGGCCAAAACAATAAACAATGCGTAAAAATAAATTAGCTCCCAGCGGATTAGCCTCCCAATCAGGCTTTCTCCCTGATGGATTGGGAAGGATTGCGTGAAGAGCCAAAACGTTTATGGGAGGCCATCACGGGAGGGAAACGCCCTTGTTCTTGTCCACCAGCATGGCCGCTATAACCTCATCGTGAGGCGTCAGCTGAATACCAGCAATTTCACATTGTATTGTACGTTGCTACGAATAGACCTCTGTTACTGTAGCTTGCATATTTTGCTAGCCATGTTGGTCATGTGATAATACTCTAGGGAACTGTTTACATTCAAATTTTGTTTTATTCACGTGAATATGTACACAGAATTTAAAAAAGGGCAAATCCCCCTGAGGCCTTTATGTACAGGTTACAGGTTTATTGCTACAATTTGCAATGTCCGTCCAGTTTATTCGATCTAAGGGTGATTGTTTAACCCCTCCCGACTTTGCTCCGAGGGAAAAGACCCTTTTTACTCCTGCAGCGAAAATAAACAGTAGCGAGCGATTTTTCAACTCTGCAGTTTTATTTGCACCCCAGATTTACATTCACCTTTATCATTTAATCACTATTCTTCGGGAACTACTCCTAGAACATTTCACATCGTAAAAGTGTTTGGTAGCGGGACTAAACATTAGATACCTCTGACAACCACATTCCGTGTCCATCACGGCATCGATGTTTTCCTTTGTCATAATCATCACAGTGAGTGATACGCCATTTGTTCTTCTTGTAAACCACATCAACGTTGTGCTGGTGACCCGCTCCAGTTGATGTGAGAAGCATCTTGATGATGACACCTCTCTTCGCACGTTCTGTCTCCTCCGGTGTCAATGTGATCTCATGACTGTGAGCTCCTGGAGGAGTCTTGGTGGCGTCCTCCATCTTGAGCGTCAGGGGTTTACTGGGACGTTGCGTTGGAATAACACCTGATCCTCCTGCCAAGGGTTCCCTGTAGAAATAGCCGTACGTTTTGGACTTCATCAAGACGTCTTTGGTTGCCTCTAGTTCCTTCCAGACAGCACTTCCTTCTCCGTGCACGGGCATTATGGGATACCGCTGTCGCAAGACTCCCACTCCACTTATGGGAGGCAGAAAGATGCGAGTTCCGCTGGCTCGAGTGATTCGGACGTTGCCCTTCTTATCCAAAACTCCGACGCTGCTTCTGGCGGTGTCTGCGGCGTCCGTGGCCACTTCTTTCCCTGAGAAAAAGGCTGATGGCGTCAAGTAGTACTTTTTGCTGTTTACCCCATTGTAAGCCTTCTCGGGGGTTGTACCTCCGTTGCGACCATCTTGAAAAACAGTTTTTCCGTAGGGCGTTCTCTCATCCCCTTTATCCTCGATATCAAATGGGTTCCAGCGGTTTAAAGGCGTCAGATAGATTATTTCAAGAGGAAAGGCGTATGTAACCTTCTGATGCACCGTCCTGCAGTCTTTCGGTTTCCCCTTTGAACGCTTGCAGCTTCTTACATTCATTCCTGCCACTTTACTTTGAGTGGTCATAGCCACGAACAGGTTTTCATCGGAATAGCCTCGACGCCTCATGGATTGACCCATTGCGTCTTTCTCCATTACCCTGAACCAGCGATGATAGTAAGCGGAGTTCAGCTTTCCCTTTTTGTCAGGGTCCATGGAGTGGGCTGGCAGGTCAAAGGCTTCATCTGTCAGATTACCAGGATAGTTGTCTTTTCCAGGAATCTCACTCATTATCTCATCTAACAGCGTATACTGCGGTCTGTTGAAACTCTCGCCGGACCACTCATCGGAGTCTTTGGGATTAAGTTGGAATCTTGCAGCTCTGCTATATTTCTGCTCGTTATATACCCTTTGGAGAGGCAGCCTTGCATGGAACTCGTCAACTACACGGAACCTGTTCAAGGGAATGTCGCGGCTGATTGGATGGCATAGAATACGGTAATTCCACTGCGCAAAGACTGGAAGTGTTCCGTTGATGATGTCAATGATGGTCGTGGGCAGGAAGGAAAAGTTCTCAAGGTTGTCTTTCCTTCCAGTGTAAGAAGTAAATCGGACTTTCTCTTGCAGTTCGAACCAGGTTTTTGCATCGATAAAGTGCCTGTCACTGTCGAATGGCTCATCGATGTCCTTTGTTGCGGTGGTCCATGCGCCTTCTAAGTAGCAGAGTATTGGCTTGAAATACTTTCTGTAATCTCTTACACTATGATCTTGATCTTTCCAGGCCTTGAACCATTCGCGCATCTCAGCTATCTGCTCGTCCACAGTGGCTTTGTTTTTCACCGCTGGCGGGACGTCTGGAAATGGAATCGGCTCTGTCTTGTGATATTCTTTACCGGTTCTGCTAGGCATGAAGGTTCGGAAGTCGTTGTGCCTGGTCCTGAATTCCACTCCATTGAGAACTGCGATGAATTCTCCGAGCCCAACAGTGCGAACGTTATTGGCGTGCTCATGAATGGCCAAGAGTCTTCCAGCGTCACCGTGTGCTTCTGAGAAGTAGTTTCGGGACCCACTTCTGCTAACGCGTACTTGTTTCACCCCAGAGTCGCCATCAGATCGGATACGTTCTTCAACGAACATTTGTTGCATCATAACCTGGCGCGACAGAGCGCCCAGTATCTGGCGAAATGACTCCATTTCTGAGAGTTTAGCATCACTTACTGCGATATGTGTTGCAACTGTGGCGGTTAGGAGCAAAACTTTGAGTGCTAGTGCCATGTCTGTAAAAATACAATAAAAGGGTTATGACGAGGACATAGTAGCAAGCCAAGTTAATTCTGACCTATAAACAATTACAGCGCAGTTTCTTTTTACTTTAAAATGTTGCGTAAATGTTGCCTACTTAATCAAAGAAGTTCCCAAACAAAGACCAAGAACTGAATTACATATAAAACGCATCCTCAGGAATAGACGTTGCTTCAGTTCTTGCAGAAGTTATCTAAGCCTTATCTGCAACAGGCGGCTTATGCAGGGTTAAGTATTTCCCAGCTTAATTGATTCGAATTCTTGTACTGCTATAAAAACATGTTGTGAGAGAGTCATGCATGTGAAGCACGGAAAACCAAATAGTCTCCTGTCGAAGTTCTTTCAAAGTGGTTTTATTCATCTGAATGATCTCACGCACCATAGATTATTAATCCACAGATTCAAAAGTTTGAAGTAGACATGTCGATCGTACTTCCACTTGGTGGAGTAAGCGAAAGTGTTAATTCCGAGCCAAGTAGCTATTAATGTAATAAGAGAACACTAGCGACAGGAACTATCCAACTAAAGTTTTCCAGAATAACAAGTCCACAGAGCCCGGCCACAGAGAAAGGCCTCATAGTTAACTCTCCCACTTTAGAGTCAAATTCTAACTTTTAAATCTCATTTTGCGGATGGAAACCTGTGGTGTGAGTATTTTAATTCCGAAATCTATGTAAAAGTTTTGTACTCTCCCTTTTTTAGTAGTTGACAAAATTATATCTGTAATTTTCCTCAGTTTTTTTTAACTATAAGTAAATGGCTAGTCCCACAGTCATTCTCTTATCTCAGTGTATTTTAAAAGAGATAAATCATACATACCTGCGTAAGTTCAAATCCTCATCCAATCTTGCAGTGATCGATCGACTGCTTTAAGGAAATGGCGTCTTCAGTAAAAGTGAAGACAAGTGATTGTTATTTGGGCCAGCATTTGCTTTTCGTTTTTGCTACAAGTCAGCGCTAATCACTACATTATTGTGTTAAGGTCAAGGTCAAACTGGTTCATAAGTAGGTATTCAAAAGCCCCTGTTACATCTTATTGATAATTTTGTTTACAACGAACGAGACTTTGTGTTGATTGCTTCCTTTCGACGAGACTTGATAAACGCTGAATTGGACATATTTATTTCTCATTTGAAAAAGTGTACTGTAGGGATCGAAGGACAAAATACAGCTGGAGGGAAAGCAAACATGCAGTTTTTTTTCTTGTTTTTGTGTTGTTTTTAGCGATAATTGCTACTTTGCTCAACTGTTCGGGACTGTTCGCCATTATTCTAAGTCGCAACACTGGAATAAAACCAACACAGCTGGAAAAAATATTGTATAGTATTTATCCCTATGAAAAAGCTAAAAGGTTTCTTCTTCGGATTAATTAGATTGAAGTTTCACAACATCGCATGACAGACTGAGGGTATATCAACTGAAAACTCACAATGCTGGGGAAAAGGGCTGCAACTTGTTAGACGTAATTATCAATCGTTAAATAAGGGCTCTATATATTCGTACTCAGTATTCAAGTCATATATTCACATAAAAGCAACAACACAACAAAATGCGTACAGGATCGTACAGCATTTTTAAAGTGATCGAAATCAAGAATGTTTCCAACTGAACGACGAGGAAACAAATAAAGTCATGAACTGATTTTCTTTATTTGCGTTATTTTTTATTTAGTTTAATTTGTTTGAGGAGTTTCACTTCTCATTAACGGCAACCCTCGTTTCCATCTATGTTCTTGGCTTTCGCGTCGACAATTGCGATGTCACTAAAGAAAACTCTTTGTGAACGCTTCACCACTGTCCTTCTTAATGATTTATCAGCATTTTCCTTTAATTTTGTCCTAATTTGAACAACAAGAGACTGCAGCATTTATAACCTGTTTGGGGGTACATTTGTGCGCCAGCTTTCACGAATGAATCCCGAACTGAATTGGGAGAAAAATAATTTTGGTATTCTTCCATGTGTGCAAGACTTGAATAGCGCCACGTATCAGGCCCGGAGAGATTAGTAGTCGGTGGATCCGTGATGCATTTTTGAAAAGATGGACAGTATTGATGAATCAAACAATTCTGGATAATTTTCTGGCAATGTTGGTTTTGGAAGTCCAAAAATTCGCACTTCAATCTTGTCTCGTTTACCCACTCAGTTAATATTTGGTTCCTGTACGTCCTACAGGAAGTTATTGTTTCACAAGATTTAGTTCAATAACAGTCCCTTTATTAAACAAGTTTCACTAATGAGCAAAACGAAATAAATATAACATCACCATCAAAAAATTTTAATTTAAACAATTCTAAGCGGGACTTTTAGTATCACTCTTCCTTTAAGAAGAGACATTTTAATTATCAATCGCAGTTCTAAAATTCGAACCGCCAGGCTGGAAAGTCGCTCCACACTTAAAATTGTTTGGCTGATATTAAAAATGTAGATTGCTTTGCAATCAAAAAAACATGTCTCGCTGACGGATTAGTGTTCTGTCTCTCGTCCCTGAAGTTCTCACTTTTTCTCAAAACGTAAGAGTATCGTGAGAGTAGCGCGTGTGATTCTTCCCACTCTCGCTCTCCGTTTTCAGCCTCGCTTCAGACCTTTAGTTTCTGACTGTTCGCGCGTACTTGAATACGCAAAAATACGGACTGTTTTTGTAGTCTAACACCGAAACAGCATTCTTACGGAAAGGAAAGTGGAAAATTAGCTAAAATAGTTGTAAAGATCTGATGCCACTGGTCAGCATATTATACGAATTTGCTTGTAAAACGATCATGACAAAGTCAAAGTCGTTCTGTCGCTAATATACTCCACGGATCGGGTAACCAATTGTAGTCACGGTAAACCGGCTCGTGCGGGTATTCTGGCAATCTTTCTAGCCACAGTCTCCACCTCGCTCCACGTCAACCGTGACCGAAAATGTTGTGAATGCGAATTTGCAGAAAGTTAGAGAGCGTAAAGTGCTGCATCGTATCACTATTATCCTTCACCCATGGGCAACTTCTTGCATTACCCATGGGAAATCGTCACCCATGGGCAACTCGTTGCGTAGCAACACAGGCGACGCGGGCCTTGCACTGACTGCCGTGAACACATCTTGCTTTTGGGGGAGTGATATTAGGAGATGATTGGCGTCAAAAAGGCTTTACTGTTTCTTGGACTTTTATTTCTGTTCTCGTCTGTTCTTCCCTCAGTTATACCTGCTGATGAGCGGCGACTCGCCAAACTGAGGTTAGATGATGACCTTGCATCACCCATTCCTTCTAAAAACAATGGAGCAGACGGATAGAAAATTAGTTAAGGGAGCTTTAATGTATTATCAGAGTCTTCAAAATCGCGAGGGTGTGTGGTGGTTGGGTCATTTTGGGAGGCTTTTTAGGGTTGAATAAAGTATGATTGCAGTAAAGCGCTGGGTTGGGAATCTTCCGTTGTTCAATGCAAGGGGAGGAAAGCAGGGAGGGGGGGAGCGGTTGTTGGGAATAATTTGCAGATTCCCCAGCTCATTATGAATGAACACCCCCCTTGACGGTTTGACCACTTTAGGGGTAAGGTGTGGGAAATGACTAGAGGAAGCAATCGACTCTTAAATCTGTAGCTACTGATTAGAAAATGAACGCAACCGGAAATAACCCTTACCCTTTTGAAGTGGTTGACATTGCTCCTTCCACTTCCGTCGATTTTCCGCCAGTGCCGCTACCCAGGCCCTCTCCTTACCCCCAGATCCCTCTAAGCCAAGTTCAACCGCGGTTTGTGAAATCCTCGTTTCCAGTAAAATGTCCATCATCTCCCCGCACAATTCGAACGCTGGTAGCACGATAAATTCGATAAATCCTGGCAGAAAGTAGAAAATAAGATCGAGTTGATGAAACATTTCTGTACTGGAATGTTTGAAATAAGAAGACTAAGAAAGTAAGATGTGCCATGCTCTCAGAGAGTAGGAACGTTACGAAAAACAAGGTTAAAGAAAAATAGAACGCACCCTCCCCGGGAAGGGAGGCTGCGGCGGCGGGAAAAAATGGTTCAGACACTTGTTCTCTCTCCCCCAGTTCCCGCGCGTTTTTCGCATTAGTGTTAACGATTTCTGCGCATTTTTATCAGAGAGCCTGGAACAGGCTGAAGAAAAGTGAAAAGGGTGTAATAGACGCGTATTATCCGTTTTTTTACTACCTCAGAGTAGATAGTGTCTCTACCAAGAATCGTTTTTAACACCTACTGTTTCTGCGTGAGTATTTTTTCAGCTTTTCTGTACTGGGAATTCATTATTGTGAATTAACGAGGCTCGGTGGTCAAATGCAAACAAGCTTCGGATGTTTTATAGTAAAATGGCGACATAATGAAAAGCCTATCCACAATTAAAACAATCGCATTGAAAATGATTTTGCATGCATTGCGTACCTAACTGACTCTCCGGTATGCAGGTAACAGAACGATCACAAAGCGGTGAAATGGGTAAACCAAGCTCCATCTCGCGGTCTCCCTGAAAAAATACAAGAGCGTTAATTATGTAATTGCATCGATCGACAGATGTAAGCCGCTGATCACTGAAGATTTCTCTTGTGCGTGTCGTATGGTACTGTCATGTTAAACCCGTTTATGTTTTCTGCTTTATCAACGCACGCTTTGTTGGGTTAGTTATTTATTTACGTCCAGTAGAGTGAGAGCGAGGGTTGTATCGGAAAGTGCCATTTGGCCAATGCAAAACATTTAGAAGACTTTCACGATGACGTAAAATAAAATGTTTTTTACGCTTTCTCACGACTGATTATGAAGAGCGCTGCACTCCTAATCTCCAGGTTGCTATTAAGCATGCGCAGCAGGTACGTAGCCTAATCTCGTACCCAGATCTCTCACAGCATAAGACAGAGTGAGATCTGGGTAGGAAATAATATGTAGCTAGCATTCGTTTTGACTTCCACATCTCAACTCTCAAATCTTTATTTTAACACGGTAAAAAAAAAGAAAAACTAAGATTGAATAGAGCGAGGAGAATGCAATCTGATCACGCGCGCTTGGACGTTCTATCACGTGAAACTAAGGAAAAGTACAGCTTTGATCGATCTCCCCGCACTCCCAAAACTTTGGTTACTTCTAGCATAGACTGCTCACTGACCTGGCAGAAGAATTCTTCCATAATACGTGTCGTCCATTGACGATGTAAATCCCAGTCCTTCGCCGGGTTGCTGATATCAGCCACATGCAAAATGAATTCCAGTGCCTGGCTCTTTTCTACTTGACTTCAAAGAGAAAAATGTCTCAGTCAAACTAAATTTTTCCTCAACGCTGCCAAAATTTTAAGAACAGTAGAAGGTAACGTATACTGTCTAAATTTGAATTCAAAGAGCCAATAAATAAGGACAAACTAAAGGAAGGCTAGCGACAAACCAGAAGAAAGTAAAAGCGCTGAGAAAGTGGTGAAATATTTTCAGACAGCTTTTCGCGACTTTAGAAACGAGATGGGACTGGAACCGAAATGCTTCCCGCAATTGTTTGTGGGATCGCTATTTGGGACGCGCCGGTCGGCTATTGGCCAATTTTTTTTTTTTGCCAAAGCTAACTCGGCCCAGGTTCCCTCTCATTTTAAAGTGGCGAATGAATATTGCAATGTAATCTTACCATCCAAGCACCGTCAGCGCAGCTTTCATAGCTCGAAGCTGTTCAAAATGTGAAGACATGTCTGTTGCTAGGACCATGTCGACCACAAGTGTTCTTATATCGCTGTCGGATAGAAATAATGATAAATTACAGATATAACTCGCGCGGAAAACTGTTGGGGAAATTTGTAAGGAAATCACGATCTACTCTGTAGTGAATGGTATTAATTTGGTTAGGCAATTTAGAAGGATAAGTCAGCCAAGTAGCTTTATCTGGTTTGAAAGTAAGTAGCCTGGGAGCAAGCTCTCTATTTGAGAGAGTCGCGAGAAGTCAAGCGTGGGCGGCACGCGAAAAGACACACGAGAGCGAGGGAAGGGGTAAAAAAAGGGCCTCGCTCTCGCGTGTTGTCTCGCGGCTCGCTTTGCACACTACTCGAAATGGAGAGCTTGCTCACAGGTTAGGTTTGATAGCCAAAAGGTCTTATTACTAACCTGTACTGCTCGGGTGTTAAACCTGCAAGAATGTCTAGTTCCCTCTATAAAAGAGATAAGATGAAACAGAGAAAAAAATTTAGCTTTACGTTTGAAAAAGCAGAGTCAATTCGAATGCATACTTACTGATTTTAATAGCTTGAAGGCAGAGCACAAGTGATGATTTTCCAGCACACAGCGATCATTATACAAAAGAGCGAGTTCAGACCTGGCAATAAAAGTATTTTAGAAACTACGATAAAACACCTGGGGCTTTACAAGTTTTCTTAGTAAAGCGGAAAGAGAAACAAGAAATTGATCAGTTTCACCCACCAGACAGCGATACCTAGTTTGATTCGATCACAACGCCACTCGGTCGTTTGATTGGTTAGAAAGAGGGTGACGTCACGTTACAATTGTACCAATATTTCTTGATCGCAACAATATTTCTTGACAGAAACGGTCCTTGGCGTTGTCGAACGATGGAAGAGAAGAATGGGCTACCGAGTTCAATCAAGCAAAGGAAAGTCATGAATGTCAATTTTTTGGTTTTTCTGCCATATTTGCAGGACCACGGTTTTCTGCTACCGTGGCAGAATTCGGGCTTATTGTCAGGCACTCATTTTACGGCAACTCTTGGAGGAGGGCGCGCCGGAAGTTTCACCACTAGGGCATTTTTTTTTCGGCTTTCATTTTTACCAGAAGCCCATACTCACCAGTCCTCCTGCCGAATTAAATTTTCGTTATAGAGGGCATGGTGAGGCTTCAATTAATGATATATCGTGGTCACGCTGGTTATGTTTCAACCCATGTCGGAAAAATTTCTGTTGATTCGTAATCTCGTACCCAGATCTCGTATTGACGAAGTTAAAGGCGAGATCTCGCCTTCGGCTTCAACAACAAGAGATCTGGGTACGAAATTAGTTGATTCGTTGTCTGTAGAAATATAGATTTTTAGACTAATATTTAAACCTCGTTTCAGATCGTGTATTGCCTTGGCTATATTCGTTTCAAATCAAAACTGCCTCTGCGTTAAAGGTAAACACAAAATGAAATAACGCTGGGAACTAAAAACAAAACGCTCCCATCTATCTGCGGATTTTTGTCCTAGTTAACGCGAAACTCCTGACTATCCAGACTACCTGAACAAGAAACGTGATTTTCTAGAGAGAGCGTCAGTAACTAAGCTTGAAGTCCAAGGATCAACTAGGCACTATTAATTCCGCACAATACCTTGAATTGACATGAAAGAGATTCGTAGTTCCAGTGTGGTTAACGTCATGTATAATTGCGGAAAGAAGAAGCGCAAAAATCTCCAGGTCACTCATGCAGTGCTGCAACAAAAACATCCCGCGTAAGATTCGAATCTACATGAACCCTGTTATGCACAAAGGCTGAGACATATTAAAACTTTTTAAGTTTTTATATGTTTGCGATATTGTTGATCGAGCCTTAACTGGGAGACCCAGGAATCGGACACAGGCCTATTCATTTTTGACAAAAATGTTAACTTTGAATTTTCAAATTGAATTTGAATGCGGAGAAGATCGACTCTAGCGACGAGGGCACCAGGATGATGAGATACGTTCCCGGATCCTCCGATCTCAATAATAACGTTAGCCTGCGAGCGAACTCTCCGGGGCGCTCTGGCGGCGGGGCGTGAAAACGAAGGAGAGCTTGCAATTACGTCTCTGGAATTTGAATCCCACCTTCAATTCCCCGTGGTTCACCGTGGACTGAGCTGTTTAAAAATGTCCGCCAATCAGCGCGAAGCGGAAACGAGAGCGAACGTAAACAATCATTGAAAAACATGTGCCAAGAGTAATGACGTCACTACTTTTGTCATCTCCGCCAATCAGCATTTCACATCGACGTTTTCGATGCAGATTTTCAAATTCCAGAGACGTAGTTGCAAGCTCTCCTTCATTTTCCCGCCCCGCCGCCAGAGCGGCCCGGAGAGCTTGCTCGCAAGGTTACGATAATGTACTGCAGCGAATTCGCCACTTGTTACTGGGGACTGAAAAAAATTGGCCAATAGCTGACCGGTGCATTCCCACTAACGATCCTAAAAGCCTTTGCGAAAGCTAACTCGAACCAGTTTCTTTCATGGCGGAATTACTCACCTTGAGACCTACACGAGATAGAAAATAGTGCACCGAGTGCGTGACATCAGTTGCGTGAAGTTCGTTGTGGTACGGATTCTGGGGTCTTTTGTATCCGTCCTCGATTGCTAGTAAGAATCTGTCCAGTGTTGCCGTGGTAATCTGTCAAAGTAACAATAGCCTTTTATTCCCAAGAGCGCTCGAAAGTACAAACAAAGAAGGAAAAAAACAATAAATATTCTTAATTTCTTCTTGCAAACTGCTTAAAAACAAGTAGTGCCATCAGTGCCGGATCCAGACTTTGAGATAAGGGGGGCGGTCATTCAGATCCTTAGATAAGGGGAAGAGCAGTCTCCCAAAAAATGTTTTTCGGCCCTTCGGGCGTCAGTTTTGTCTAAAAATAAAGGGGGGGGGCGAGTCCCCAGGGCCCCTCCCCTGGACCCGCCACTGGCCACGTAAACGTACTGTCAACAAAGGGTGAACTATTCGTGATGAAACCCCCCGCCATTGTTTCCAGGGTCCAAATGTCTTCTATCTGCCTCGTCCTCAAGTGCCACTGACGCGCGGAAAACAAAAAGCATAAAGCATTATGGGAAGGATCATAAAGCGTGTGCAATGGATCTTTCCCAAGAACCCAAGCGCCTGGTATGAAAGTAAGAAGGTAAAGCCTGTAGACGAAGCAGCCTAGATCTAGTTGACGGGAGTAGGATCTTGGAGAGAGGTTGCCAAGCTAGCAATCGTGTTTCTTGCCTTGTTAATGTTTTAGGCGGTTTGCGCTCGAAATTACTCACTGGAATGATCGCGAAACGTTTGAGAACAAGAGTTAGTACAACGAGCTTTGCTTCTAATTATAAATTTCGTTGCTCACCTTAAATTTTGCCATTAGATCATAGCGGATGAAAAGTTCGTGACCAAGATAACGAAGCGTATGCCCTCCTGTTAGTTCATTAAACTTGAAAGGATCGAACGTCCAGTTGTCTAAAGTCTTGAACATGAAAAAAATACGTCTCATCAGTCCATTAGAAATGCAAGTGATAAAATAAATATACAGAAGTGTGGTGTTGTTCAAAAGTGTAACGTATTATGAAAATATAAGTGTTATCCAGCATGACGATAACACCCTCCTCAATCTGAATAATTCTTCACGTCATACGCGACTCAGTCTGATCCACGCAATAATTGTAAAATAAAAATGATATGAGATCTGTAAAATTGCTAACGTAGAAAATATCAGATTGCCTTTTGGAAAAACATATAACTCCGTTAGTACCTTGTAGTAAACTTGTACTTCCTCTGGAACTTGAAATTTAGATTTTTCAGCCATATTTTGATAAATTCTTGAAGAAAGAAAATGGGTATAAATCAGTTAATATAAAAGGCTATTTCCGAGTTGCTCCAAGCGTCTGTTTCAAAGCGAGGCTAAGTGCAAATCTATTGATATAAAAATGCTTTTTAGTCTCGTGCAAATAAATTTCATTTTCATAAGAAAGGTTTTGCACTTAGCCTCGTTTTGAAAGTGAGAGTTTTTGGACCTCAGAAATGGCGTATTTGCAGCAATTTTCGCTATCGCTTCTTGCAGTAAAAAGTTAAGGGTCGGTATAATTGAAGTTTAAGTGAACTGGGCTGGTGATGCTGGCTGATTGACAAAGCGAATTCTCGTCGCCAGAGCCCCTCGTCACTTTTGGTCACGTGGTCTTGAAAATTAAGTCTAGTGGCTCTGGGGACGAGAATAGATTAAGCGTTTTAGGGTGAGATAAGTACGCAAGCGCAGTGGCAGAAATTTTGGCGCTGTTTTTTATGGCCCCTAATATGAATCCAAGATGGCAGAGGAGGAGTCAAACAACATGCTTTTGCGGTTTTTGTTTTAACTAATGCTGGCGTTTTCACCTATTATTATCGTTTATTTTATTCTCTCTACTAACCTTTTGACGTACAAACTAGCTTTTACCGCCTGGACTACACTTCGAAATGTATGCCGTCGGGCCAAACTCTTTCTGCGCATGCCTGGAGTTGTCCTTGCAAACGTGGTCGCAATCCACTCCCGCACCTCCTCATTGACGTCATCAGAGTAAAAGCTACTTTCAAGCTCCTCGTCTATTTCACTTAAGGCGCTTGTGGAATTCCTAAAATGCAGTAGGAGAAAAAAGGAGAGAAATGTTTACGCCGGAACACCATGGAGGTCAAATTTTTTTTCCGAAATGGGTCGAAAATTTGACCGGCAAGGTGTGAACAGTCTATGCGTGGTAACTCAGCTTGGAGACGCCATTTTGGAAGTAGCACTCCGCGCATGGGCAGATACTAAAAACCATAGATAGTAAAACTAACTGGTTTGTGAGCTCCGTGTGAACAGAGCGAGAATACTAAACGGTCTCGTGTGAACAAGAAATTGTCCGGTCAAATTTTTCAGCCGGTCGAAACTTCGTCCAGTGACGTGTGAACACAACGTTAGCTGTATGTGTATACTAATTATATCACACGTGAGCTAACTGTAAATAGTGCAAAGTCTACATCAGCTTACATACCTGAAGTCCCTTCCCGGGGCTGCCGTATTTGCTTTGTCCAACATGGCGACTGCAATCCCTAGTTCGTGTTTCATATCGTTCATTGACAAAGATCTGCCTGAATCCAGTTGATCCATAATTTCACGCAATCTAAAAAGTCAAAATAGCATTTGTTTGAGTGACTGGGTATAAAACAGTCTTCAGGCTACAAATCGACTACTTTTCTCGAACCTTAGTTATACTGTTAATATGACTTAAGCTTAGCAACTGATTTCATGAATTTGACCTTCTTCTTGAAGTTGTCTCCACATAATTGAACCGCACTGTCAGCAAGTCCACAATTCCAGACATTACAGCTCCCATTCCTAAAGTAATGGTTGTTCCTTGCGGAGTGAGAGATTGCAAAGAGCCTCAATGTTTGCTCTATTTTCTATGACACGAGAAATCCACGCACGACAACTCGTACAGAACTAATGGCTCGAATCCAAGTTATAAATCAGTTCACACGCCTTCATTAGTTCTAAAGGAAAACATATTGTGACCACTTGAAGGCTAGCACGTTTGGTTTACTCTCGATCATGCATGCCATGACTAACACAAGACAAATATTTTTTGCAGTCCTTCCATGACTGCGATAAAAGAGATGTACTTCACACTCTAAGTAAAGGAACAAGTTCTGGAATGCAAATTATCGTAGGAGTAAACAGTCAATTAGAACTATGTTTGAAAGTTTGCTCTTTAGGGAATTGAATTCTTTTTCTTCTTTTGTTCCGAATGTGTACTTTTCTTATGTTTGCACGCACATGAAAGCAATATTAGGCTATAACTCCGTAACAATTATACTCTTCTTGCATCTCTTTTCAATAGAAAAAGAACTCTTTCTAGGATATAATCGGATTTTTTCAGAAAAAATGTACACTAAAAACACTAAAAACTGTACTTGTCTGCCTTCTTATAAGAGTTTATATGTTCAAATGACGTTTACTTTTGGGAAATTAAATGACGCAAATTCAGCACGTCATTTAAGGCGTACGGATTAGCACGTTGCCAATAGTGTTAAGCAATATATTCATGTTTGTTAATCTCTCACTTAAGATCGAATATCGATGCTACGTACACGCGAGTCCGTAAGTTTGTAAACTTGTACAAATCTTTGCGTTAACGACTTCCGTTTGCATATGCCGTGACGATGTTAGTATCTCGCAAATTGTTTTTAGAGTCATGTAGAGTGAAAAAAGAACCTGGCCAAGACGCTGAACAGATAAAAAATGCTCCTCCCTCTTACATCTGTATGCGTTTAGGAGCTTCAAGAAACTTCTGCAGGGTAATCTTTGTCCATGAAAGATTTGAAAACGACAACACAAACAGAGGAATTTATCGAAAGGTACTGATGATGAGTTGAAGGAGTCTTTGAAAAGTTTGCTAATTTTGGACTCAACGGGACCTTTAGTATAATGAGGCCATTATTTTCGAAAAAAGTAAACACCAAATCACAAAGAAACAGACAATTAAAGCTGTCAGAATGAACTGGCTATTTGCGGATGAAAACAAAAACAACAACTATAAATAGAAAAATGACTCGAAATTTAAGCGGAAAAAAGCTTGCTCAGCAAATGAAGCATACGAGATTATGCTGAAAAGTAGATGAAGAAAAAGAACAAGGAGAATGTAAGCAAGCTTATTATTGCGACGTAACGATGGGTTTTCGTCGCTACTTGTCGAATTCGCTACATACTAGTTCGGAACACGTTTGCTACACATTACGCTTTCTGTAAACCATTGAAAATAACCCCTTAATCCCACTAGCAATCTAGAAAATATAATAAATATCTAGTTCTTTTTAACCCTGCTTCCGAAGGTGCAAGTTTTGAACTTTGTCAATAGGCAGCTAGCCGAGTATGTAGGTAGCGAACTCGAACGTAGCGAATTTGACAAGTAGCGAAACTGGTGTAAAGCATGACGAAGCAGGTGCAAAATACATGATACGATACGTGATTATACACTCCCACACTTCAGAAAACACTCTTTAAACTAAAAGTTTTGGGGTAAACAAGTGGTTGATATGTGTTGTTTAATGGACAATTCACTCACGACAGCCGTTTCTGCAATGACGTGCCTACCACTCGAGGATTGACGAGTCTATTTTACTCATTTTTATTTTATAACTGGTTAAGTTTATTTTTTTTTTCTTTCCGAAAGAAATAGCGCAGGTTCAGAAATGCCCCAAAGATGGTCGACCCCCACCAAATCAAGGGTTAAAAAAAATATAAATTAATTTTGTTCATCAATAAATATGCATATAATTGAAATGTATAAACGAGCAATTGCCGGGCTTTTAGTAGAGACTAACAAACTTGAAATGAATAAATGGAAAATTTGGACTACCCTTCTCTCTAAATCAAGGATAAAAAAAATGGTGAAAATAGAGGAGGGCGTGAGGAATGGTTTCTTTTACATTTTATTCCCGGCGTCCATGATTAAAATATTCACCGTCCAAGACTACAGAACGTGAGTTTAAATTTAAACCCTAGGTTAGTGCAAACCCCGGCCTTCTAGTTCTATAGCTGAGTTCAGTAGCCGATTAGAGACTAATCAAATGTGTTTCATATCAACTTGGTCAGTTTCCATCAAAACATATTCCCCTTATATATACCTGGTGCGAATGATTCTCTTCTCACGGGAAAGAGTGACGGGACTACATTTTATTCATGTCAAAGGGTCGATGCCCATACAATTAAACTAAAAATGGTTAAACCAGATGCCTGGGTCCCCAACGCCTATTTCGTCTTCACGTTTAGTTCTAGAGAGGTTTGGATCACCCGATTCATACCGCTACTCTGCGACCTATGTTTCAAGACAACCGCAGTAATTGGGAAGAAGAACAAATAAGATATTTGAATGTTCAATCATTTAAAGCTCGCGCATTCCCTAACTGTAACTTGTTTCCTCGATAGTGTTTCGCGTGGAATAATCACATTACCTGATCTAGGCAGTACAAGGGTTTCAAGGAGTTACCATCTTTAACAGCCGCACTTTTTCGCGACGCGTCCATGCTTTGGGCCTTTTTCACAAAAATAGTTTCGCTTGAATGAAATCTAATTTGACCATACGTCTTATCAATTAACCTTTGCGTAACCTCATGGAAATTCCTCTCTGTTACTCTTGGATTGGTTTTCGGTGATGACATACTTGTATTTTAGATATCGATCCAGTTGACGTACTTCTATACTAAACGTATGTCAAAGGTTTCAATAAATTGTATTGGGCATCAGCGGAGGGGGTTTGAGGCAATTCATGTAAGCATTTTTAAAGTAAATTTTAAGACATCGTAATCGTTAGTTTCAGAATACACTGACGCTGCCAATGTGAACCCCAGTGCCCACATTCATTTCTTAAACGTACAATTTGAGGAAGTAACAAGCGAAAAATAAAAGATACCAATCATTTACCTTTTGGACAATATTCACACAGTCTTCAAAACTCTCATGAAAATCGAAAGATCTTGGGGATTATTCTGATTTTTGAATTTCAATTCTCCCATGAAGGATCCAGCTTTTTGGACTCCCCACATTTTCCCCCGGAGGGTGGACTCCGCATATGAAAGGGGTGGGGATGCTCGTCGGAAATTTTGAATTAAACCCCTAAAGGAGACCGACCAAAACACCGTAAGTGAGACCAAAATCCGAAATTTACATCCCTAAGCGAGACGAGGAGCATCCACATCCCTTTCATATGCGGAATCCCCCCCGGGCATTTTCACTCCTTACCCAAATATTTTTATTTTGTATGAATTCAGTTTTGTTAAAAAATCTAGGTTTTTATCTTTGGTGAGTATTTTCTTAAAAAAGTCGTGTCATACGACGATATGCTCAGATCGTGTTGCTTACTAAACATTTACATTGCGTCTAGAGTCAGTTTCGATTTTCACTTTGTGGATGGTTTTGGCAGCAAAAAAATGCACTGAGAAAAATCGTTTGCTTTTGCAACTGATTATGAAACGTTGCTACAAAGGGCGGAGTCCTTATTTGTAGCCCACAACAAAAACGCTGAGTTAACAGGGGTAATTGCATTACCCCTAAAAACCCTTTTTTCCGACAAATTTCAGCCGAAGACTCCTAAACACTGGAGGAGAAAAATGTGGATGTGTTAATTCTCTAACTCATCATTAATTTTCATTTCATTTGATTTCATGATAGCAGAGTCCCATATCTAAGAAAAATTGGTCATCTAGCTATCTATCACGTGCCCGTTCGCCCGTCCACCAGTCCGTCCGCACCACAGGGAACCAATGTGAAATCTCACACTTTCTAGGTAATGTGGGAGCCTGCTGTAACCTGATATTGCACACCCATGTTGTGGTCAATTGACAGATGTCAAAACAGCGTATTCGCTGACCAGTATCACATGACCGTATCGCGGGCTCAGGGGTCGACACATCGAGTTTTTTTGAATTTATCCGCTGACAAATTACTAGTTTTTGACTGATCGCAGTCTCAAATTTAAATGGACGTCTATTTATTAACGGGAGCTTCGCCTTTAGCTAAATTTTATATAATTATGTTACCTCGAAACAGCGAGAACTGAAGCTTTCTCCGAGGACGCACTCTCGTACTTGCGAATGCCATCACAGATGCACGCTTCACCGTCATTTTCGTTAGCTCCGCATGCGCTGTCACCAGGCACTTTGGTCACGTGAATATGCGGCTGGATAGATGCCTCTATTTTAAAAGCAAAACAAAATAATCATCAGTCACTTGCGAGCCGATTATCAAGTCCTTGGTATTGAAGTATACGTAAGAGAGGCTGTAAGAAGGCTCACACAACGCTTGTGTTTGTACAGCGTTTTCACTCACGAGGCCAGTATCTATACAAAAGAGGCGTTTATCTAATAAAAGAGTTCAACCCTACAGGATTTGTTTGGGGCACCAACATGGCTACCGTCTCATTGTTTTCAAACACCAATATGGCCGCCATGACGTCATGTGAAAACACTCTGTAATATGCGTAAGCCAGTGTCATTTTGGCGGGAAAACGTGGTAGCCGTAGTCATAGTATAGTAGGCCGCCAGTCTCGGGAGGACCGAGACGGTAACACTTAATTCCATCTGCCAAACTGACGTTGACACATTAATGATTCGTACACAAAGTAGGGTTAGGGTTAGGGTTATATATTTAAATCAAACAGATATTGGTCACCCAATCCTCGGTGGTGTAGAGGTTAGAGTGATGCACTCCAGATCGGATGCTCCGAGTACGAATCTCATTCATTCTGTCCTGAATTGTTTTTTCCTTAAAAATTGAAGACACTTTGACTTTTATGAACATTTCATCAAGAAATCTCATATTAGAAAAGTGAAATGTCTTGTGAGAGGAGGATGTCAGTTTGGTGGATGGAATCAAGTGACGACTCGGTCTCGGGAGACTTGGATTTGCGCTCTTGTCACGGTGGACTAAACAGCGTTCTCTGAGGCGGCATACTGTATTTCGCGGTCCAATCCAGTCCAGTTCAGTCCAGTCCTCGAAATACAGTATGCCGGCTGCACAGTCCAATGCGGGAGCGGCAGTCTCTTCCTCAAAGTTTGCAGATGTATTTGGCGGGTCGTCGTCATACCACTGTGGGTTTTAGCGAAAATATTGTGGTAGTGTCGACGGAAACAAGTTATCAATCGTTAGAAGCTTTTATCATTTAATATGTGATCGAGAGATGGCTTAAACTCGAATAGATTTTGTTAAATGTAGGCCATTCAGTGTGTGTGTTTTATGCATGGCATTGCTGTTAATAAAGTCGTTGTCGTTGCGGAGTGTGTCAATAAAAATAACCGTGTTAACTTTTCTGTAAAATGATCGAAGTTTTCTGGGGTTTCTATTTTTGAGAATACGCGAAAAACGTGCAAAGAGCACTACTCACTTGTGTGGTATATACTTAAGCGATATATAGGCCGCACTTTTTATTGGTGTACCGGCGAAATCTACAAACAATTCATGACAGAGGACTTGTGTATGAATTTAGGATGTATACGAATTATATAACCAAATATAGAGGCCGTTTATACAAAGGATCTTTACATTTTTCATAAAAGGTTCAGTGCTGTGAAGAGTCAACGAGTGTTCAAAACTGTAGAGAATCCTCATCAGGGCGACTTTTCCCCGCAACCGTTTTGTTATGTTAAAACTTTCTTTTGTTCGAATAAATTTACATAGCTGATGGCCCCTTGAGTGAAAACGCTCTAATAAGGAGACAAAATTGCATGTTGGACAGAAATTTTAGGCTGAGAATTTATCAACTGCTACCTGACATGACCTGAGAGCATCAACTGTTCTTCAAGTTGTAATTGGCACCGAGTTAAAGACAAAACCGTCCTCTGCTTTGTAGACGGTAATGACTTATTTAACCGATCTTCTTATATAATAACTTTGGAAAGAAAGTGCAAACAGATATACCGAAAGAGAGTTAAAGGAGAAAAACACTGAAAGAAAAACAAAATGAACTTTTCACGGGCGAAAATGCTATTTGATGTTGAACGTGATAAAGATGGGAATTGCTCAAAATGATGCAGCAAATGTCAGTCCGCTTATAAGCAGTCCATGCAAATTTATCTATTTAATAAGCTGACCAAAACTAAACAAAAATAAAACAATCAAAATTGAGTGAACAACGGGAAGAAATTTTAATTTTCTATATTTGAAGGTTTTAAAGGATGAAAGGAAATCACTATTCCAAAACCATTGCCAATATGAAACTGCCGATACTTCGAATCCAAGATTCAAAATCATCAAAGATAGAACTGGGAGATACAAGAATATAAGGCTTACATTATAATCATTCAAAGAAGATAACAACGAAAAATAATTGCTTTGGGTATAAAATAACTTGAATTATGCATTTGTATATTCCGTTTTTTTTTCCTCTTACGTCATCAACATCTTTTTCACTTCATTAAATAACTGGGCGGCTAGTCACACAAATTGATAGAAGTTAAAAGACATGTCGCTCGCGACAGTTAACTTTTCCAATATCTTTTGATACCTGAGCGACATTGCGTTTTCTTTTCTCTGAAAATATAACTTCTGGCAATTAATCCAAAAACTTCCTCTTCACCTGTAAACCATTAAATATCATCAGATTTCGATCATTTTCAGTCGCGAAGTCGTTCATTTTTTAAAGAGATTACCGGACTTTCAGTTTTATGATCAGATAAGGAGAAAATCCCATTTCAGCAATGACCTACATTCGTGGTTAACCGACATTTTTACTCGTTTGCAATTTAATTTTCTAAAGCCAGGTTTGATCGCCTGGCGGCTTCGTTATCGTAAAACATCTTACCTTTCCCAGTGATTTTACAAGCGGCAGCTGGTCGCACAAAAATATAGCCGCGGTATCTTGCAGAAAGCGAAGTTCGCATTTCTTTCCGCCCTTGGATGAATATTTCCTTTTTTTGGTGGCAAAAATTCTGCGTTAAAACGAACGCACAGTCAACTAATTAATGACCATGCACTCGGCGTCTTTGGCGACAGGAAGTTAAAATTACAGTTCCTTTAACACTCAATCCCATGGGCTATGAACTGGAAGGTGCTCGCCTGATCAAGATATATCGAAAAAGTCATTCTAGCGATCATATAGCAGCTTACAACCGGCGAATCTTTGATGACTAGCTTCTTTTAATTAGCAGGGTATTTGCTCGATGCAGATCTAATTAGCATCTATTTCTATGTGTCAGCTCTGAGTCAGTTTTTATTCTGGGAAACGTGCTTTTCGTGCGCCGAAAGCGTGAAAGAGCGAGAGCGTGCGCTGTGAAATCACGGTGTTCGCGCTAATAAAAACGCCCGCCCCGTTCTATCTGAAGCGACGCATGCCGCATTAAGCTGGCTTTTCGGATCTTTTCTCGTCGCCTTTTTGTATTGCTTTTTTGTCTGCACATAATACAGAATGCTTGTGCCGGCTGTCACACGCCACCAAACAGGTGTGGGGCTCACTCAGATGGTAGGATAAGAATCGCAAAGTGTTATAGTCTTCTTGGCAGCTACACTTGCTTTTGCGTGAAATGTGCGTGAAATGTCATTTAATAGCGTTTAAACTGCCGGGCTTCCGTCTCAGCGATAACAAAGAATACTAGTATTCATAAAACAATACCACCAAACTTCAAAATTAATGGATAAGAGAAACGTTTGCTGAATAAAATATTTTTATGAATACGAATATTAAGTATTTTCATCGAGGTCGACTTTTTGGGGTACTCATTAGTTTACGACTAATCTCGCACCGGGAAAGCCTATTTCAGTTGAAAAGTTCAATCTATCGCTCTTCTTTTTAAAGGAAAACTACCAGACGTTTTAAACAGCATTAAAAATTCTGAGGAAAGGTGTATGAATGGGTTTTCAACACAATACATTTTTCATGAATTTTATAAACAAACTGGTCTGAGCGAGGCGCCTGCTCGCTCAACCAGTTTGTAAAATGAGAAAAAGAGGTTGAGTGGGCTTACCTAAATAGTCATCCATTTCCTTCTCAATGCTATATTTGTGATTGTTTTCAGTGTCCTGCGACTTTCTACAAGCAGATCCCATTTAGGACGCGCGAGAAAAAATCTGTGATCAAGTTGCATACAAAGTAACCGATGCCATTAGCTCCCGGAAAATCGGCTACAGCTAAACATTCAGTTTCATGGCCATCTGCTTGATAACGATATAAAACAAAAACACAAATTTGACGTCTCCTCGCTTGCCTTCTGGACGAGTTTTGAGTTCGCGTTTTTCGAACCGCCGATAAGACGTTTTCAATTAAGGTGTTTTCTATGTAGGGAGCCTATCCGAGCGGTCAAGTTTTGCTGCTTGTTTTCCACGTTTTCACAGGAGACGGTTTTCCTTATGGGACATTCACCGATCTCGGCGTGATATTTTATCCACTCCGCGCGCTTTAAGCCACAAAAGAGAACAATTAGGAGCTGAATTGTTAATTAAGATGTTATTACGACATCTGAATGGTCAGATATTGCACCCTTTAGTTTTGGAGTTTTTGAGCTTGCTTTTTTTTCTCTCATTAACAGTGTCAAATAAGGGAATCTTTTAAGTACCATTCTACACACGTATAAAACGCAATTTTTACAGTTTCAAATGCTATGAAAGAGGCTAGCTGGATATTGCGGTCCATAGGAGTCCAATGCATGCATATCGCGATGAAAGGCTCGCTTACTTGAAGTCTATAAGCATGCTAAGAGCTCAGAATTATAACTAGACCCCTTCAAAGAAAAGCAAAAAAAAATTATTGGTTTTTTTATTAAATACGGGTAAGCCACTTTTTCGAAGGCTGTCCATATTTAACCTTGTCATTTTCATTATTTTCAAACGCCAGTAAATACTTCAGACTTTGATTGAATGCAAATTTTTATCGTTTCCTGGGGCTATGAAAGCGATTCAATAACAATCTTCAGTCCCTCATTAAATTTAAATGATTCCGTTTAAAATTCGGAGAAGGGTTTGAAACTAGTAATGGCCATAATTTTATCAGTCTAACAATACCAATCTTTCATTTTTATACATTATATATTTACACGAATACAACTTATGGCACTTTTATTTTCCCTTGTTACTAGTTTTGTTTGCTATTAAGTAATCTGTGTTGACGTTTATGGGTCCTACCAACAAACTGAGTATTTACTCAAACTGCCGGATATTTTTTCTTTACATAGTTTCTATACCTGACATATGACATTCTGTTGACATTTCTTCCAAACGACTGGCAACCGTTTGATTAACTAACTCATTAAAATTTTTGTGCGATTTATAGAACTGTTAAGCAACGTGGTTCAGCCCGTATGGCTAATTGATTTTTTTCGTCAAAACAAAAGGCCTCCTTTCCCCTGCGTAGAAGGCGCTTGGAAGTAAATGGCCGCAGGAAAGAACGGGGTGCGCGAGAGACACACGCAAGGGAAGAGGGAAACGATTTTCATGGGCCTCTCGGGCAGGCGCTCCCTCTCCCTCGCGCGTCTCCCTCGCGCGCCCGTTCTTTCTTGCGCCCTTTACTTCCGATCGCCTGCCACGCAGGCTAGACGTCATTGAATTCAACTGTTTTGCTCCTGTGTATACCGTAAACTTCCGCTTATAAGCCCCGCAGTTAAAGCCCCAACACCAAACAAAAAAATACATTTGGTTATACCCCAGAAATAAGCTTGTATTGAAGTGAATTTGATCTGTTACGAACGCTTTGAAGCCTAAGAAAGTGCGCAAACAAAAAAAGTATTTTGATCAGCACTGCTAGGTAGCTAGTCTTCTACACAGCCGTTTTTAGTGTCGTCACGCAACGCTCCTCCCTACTAGGGGAGGAGCGTTTCGTGACGACTCTAAAAACAGCTGTGTAGCAGACTACTAGGTAGCTTGTTTTGAAACGAATATACGCCCCTCGTTTATAAGCCTTACTTAAACTCCTAACGAAGTTGTATACGCTTAGGGCTTATAAGACGAAGTTTACGGTATCTGTTTTATTTGTTGGCTACATGTTGTACGAATTTTTGGCACGATCTGGGGGCCTTTAACTGTAAACTTAAACTTTCACATCATTCCAAAACATGATGACAAAGTCCAGATTTGGAAAAAGCGAGGAAAACTTGCAATAAATAACAGCAGTTACCACGAAACAGCAGCTAAGAAAAACCATGACTACCCTAACAAGTCATGTGATACCCTCAACGTTTGTAGCAGTTTTCTTCAAACTTTTGTTTCAGTTAAATTGCGTATAATCTCTTCTCTTTCAGTAATGGCTATTTGTTTACTCATAAGAAAAAATTTCGCCGATTTTTTCGCTGATGTTGAGAAACGTATATGACGCAAACAACTTCTAAAATAGTTGCAGTGTTGAGGAACTTTCACTATACTTGACTTACCTTGGCTAGACTGGTCACTAGCGACGAAGTTGTCCGGTTTTCATAGCGCCAGTCACCTTGTTGATGTAAAGTGTTGTTCGCCAACCAAAAACAAGTCCACAAACAAATGTGCGGTTTCATGGCTTGTACAAAGAGTTTAATTGCACGTGCAGTCTTAAACACACGTGCAAAACTTAAAAAGCACGTGCAAAGTGTTTACATGCAGGTGCAAAGTGTTTCAATGCACGTGAAATATGTTGTTTTGCTAATTTGGGAGTTAAAAAAACTTGTTTTGTTTTGCTTATTAAAACTGTCCAAGACACGTGCTAAAAAGCGTATCGTTTTCCTTCTTTCAACTTGAGTGCCCAAATTTTGCGGAGATCGTTACTTCTAGCTTGGTCCAGTCTCCGCAAGTAAACTACAACTACCAAAAAGCTTTTCACCTGTGACGCAATCATGTGCATAGTCTGTTAGTCGTGGTTATAAATCAGAGTGGATGTGTTACATATATCCTACTGGATAAACACCTTTAGAAGAAATTCTGGTAAAGTTATCACCGTGGTGGCAATCAAGCTAGTTTCCCGCGGTACTTGCCACGTGCAGCGCGTACGACTCAGTTGTCATGGTAGCTTCCTTTTAACATTTTGACGTTTCCATGGTTACTTTTCCAGGTAGACTAACCTCGGTGGGAACCTGAGCACTCAAACGCGCAGTTCCAAGGGAAAAGGCCTTACATATTAGGATAAAAGCAAGTGTAACCGCAACTATGCATGCAGGCTGAAAAATCTCTCGCCAGTTTACCAACCAACAGACAGTGTTTTTCTTAAGAAAAAGACGAACTTTATTCACAACAGTTAACCATATACAAACCTATTGTAGCTATATACAGATAAATTCCACAATAATTATACCATCTCTCTTTTCTCCCGTTTTAAAAAACTATCGTTTCTTTGCTTCAACTGGAGACAGCGCCTGCTGCTGAAGCCTGGGCACTAGTAACAGGTGGAAGGGCCGCAGGGAGGGAGGATGCGTCAACTTCTTGTTGTGTGAGGAATGTGCTGTCTCCCTGCGGTCCCTGTGTTTGTCTTTCTACACTTGGCAATGCTTTCGATTGGGAATCCGGAGGCATAGCCTCCAAAGATTGCACCTTTGGTCTACAAAGTAAAATTAAAACAGGTTGAAAAAATTCCTTTATGTGACTGCTCACTTTTGTTCCTTTAGCAAGAAACTTTACTTTGTGTTGCATTTCTCTTATTAGGGAGCTTAAGCAACAACGTTTTTGAGCGACGCACGTCAACCGGAAGTGGCCTTTTTTCATTTTTTGACGGTGGTTTCGCGCAAATTTTCAGTCAAATCGCCTCTATAACAGTAAAGAAGCTAAGGAATACAAATTTTATATCATCAAGGCATGTTAAGAGGGAAAATACCTCACTTCCGGTTGACGTGCGTCGCTCAAAAACGTCGCTGCTTAAGCTCCCTATTGGAGAGCTTAAGCAAACACAACGACGACGACAACGTCAAAGGACGATTAGCTTTATGAGCAAAGAAACAGATCTGCACGTGCATCACGCTTTGCAGTACATTTCTTTGACGTTCACGGCACGACTACGACGTAAAACCTCCCAGTGCGACTTTTCATGGAGGACATGAACATACGACGACTAATTTTCCTTTTTCTTTTGGAACCTGGATAATGTTCTTAAGAATTCAACTCCAAGAAAAATTGCCTATGAAGGAACGTAAATTCATTTTTTCAGCGACGTTTTCACTGCAGTCGTCATCGTCGTCGCTAAAGCAGTGCCGGATCCAGACTTTGAGATAAGAGGGGAGGGGGGGGGGGGGGGGGGGGGCGGTCTCCAAAAAAAATTTTTTTTTCGCCCTTTGGGCCTCAGTTTGGTCGAAAAACAAGGTGGGGCCAGGCCCCCCGGGCCCTTCCCCTGGATCGGCCACTGTTAAGTTCCCTGTTGTACATCCCTTGAGATAAGGGGGGGGGGGGGGAGGGGGGGAGAGGGGGCGGTCTCCAAAAAAATTTTTTTTTCGCCCTTTGGGCCTCAGTTTGGTCGAAAACAAGGTGGGGCCAGGCCCCCCGGGCCCTTCCCCTACATCCGCCACTGTTAAGTTCCCTGTTGTAGATCACAGATGTCACCATGGCGAGAAGAGTATCTCCTATCTCTTATCACATCTGGGCCCAGTTGTTCGAAGGTCGATTAGCGCTTAACCCAGGGTTAAATTTAACCCGGGTTTCTTTTTCTTTTGTTCAAAAGCATTTTCTCGGATAATTTTCTCTGTTATTCTAAGAGCATCCAATCATCAACTTGTTGACAAAAAGAATTAAACTGAATTTTCTTTTTAATCCTTCATATCTGAATTCAAATTTCACACTAACCCTGGGTTATCTTAACCCAGCTTTGAACAACCCGGCCCTGGACAAATGCCTTGTAGCACTTAACACCAACAGAAACAAGGACCACACAAAGCACTGATTTTAAAGGCATATGCTGCATACCTGTACATCCAAATATTGTTGGTAATAATAAAACCGTGCAAAAGTCGCCCAGAATATTATTGTTTATTATAACTTGAAATGTGCTCATGAGCGGGTGAAAACGCCTTTGCTCATTCCATTCATTCATAAAGCATATGCATACTTAAAAACCAAAAATATATATATCATACCTTCTTTTTTCTTTAAAACCATTCATTTTTGCGAACAACATTCTCAATATACGTTCGCGTTGTTCCCAGGTCAACTCGGCCATGTCGACTTTTCCTTGGATTCCAGTCCACCGCTCGGCCTCTTTAAGGTCGTCAAAAACGTTGTTTGTGCTGCTGTCTAATTGGCGGAAAGTTCTGACGCGCGGGAAATCGCCGTGGCCAGCATGTGCTTCGAGCATGCGCTGTTGGTAGGCGTGTTGAGCATCTTTTCGATATTGTATTCTACAAAAAACGTCACATTGCTACCTTACTGAAAGTTATGAACAGGCTTTTTATATTTAAACCCTGTAAAAATGACGCGCATTCGTAACCTGTAGCCATTTGGGTGAAAGAGCATCATTTTCGTATGGTACTGTTTATCATGCTGTACAAGGTGGTTCTACCTTTTTGAGTCTTTGGATGAAATCCTATAGTGTGACCATTCAAATGAAAGCTACTGAGATGTACTTTCCTGTGATGCTGTTTATTATGCTTTACAAGGTGGTTCTAACTTTTTGAGTCTGTGGATGACATAGTAAAGGGGTATCACTGCCCCAAATTAAAGCTGAGGGCCGTACTCTCTGTAGACGCGATTTCCATATTTTGTGCAACCCCAGGACATAAATTCGCAGAACTTCATTGCACAATGAACACACTTATGTAATAACTTACTGTACCTATTCCGAACGATCTCATTCTTGACATATTCCAGCGACTCCAAGAAAAACTGTTCCACTTCCGTTCTCTAACAAACAAGAGCAAAATACACATGGTAAGGTACATGGCATCCCCACCACCGAAAAAAAACAATACAGTTAAACCTCTCTACAACGATCACCTTGGGGACAGAAGAAAGTTGCGGTTATAGAGAGTTTTAAACAGGAGTCAATGTATGTCTTGTCCGCCAAAAAAGTGGCAGTTGTAGAGAAGTGGCCGTTGTAGGAGGTTCGATTGTACCCTGCGAACAGAGGCTACTTTTTTGCGGTATAGTAGCCTGCGTAGCATGGCGGTTTTGTCGGGAGCACGACTGAGCGGCGAAGCCGCAAACACGCGGCGCGCGCAAACGGGCGGCAAAGCCGAGACAAAAAGTTCAAGTTCAAGTTGCTCGCGCCCCAATCTCCTCGCGGTTTCTCTGCCCTCGCCCGCCCTTATTATTTAGCGCGCCATTAGCGCGCCCAACCAAAACCGCCACGCTACGCAGGCTAGCGGTATAGGGGAATCTTTGCTTACATGTTTTGCATTATTATCATATGCTTATCCTTATCTGATGACGCTAATGAATTAAATCTCAGACATTGAAAGGGTATAACAATTTCAGTTATCTCTGAAAATTTGAGGCCGATATAGCTAACAGTTTCGGAGAGATCTTCTTTGAAAACCCAAAAATTTACGAAGAATGTATGAGCTCAATAACGTTTTTACCACCCAGCAATTTCGCAGTTTTTGATGGCTGTTATTTCCTTTGTTATTGCTTGCAAAGAGCTGAAAATTTCTCGGCTAGCATAGGCCTCTTTTTACGGTATTCGGCGGGCGGAAAGAAAATTTCCTCCCGCCCGCCGAATATCGTGAAAAGAGGCCTCTCTACTAGCAGGGAAGCTGTAAATTAAACGAACTATTGAAAAAAACCTAACTTGTACCCTATTCCTATCAGTAACCTCACGTCCAATTCTCTGTTTTGTTCCAGTTTTTCATAGTTTTCCCCGTTCTCCGTTCCTCGTTTTACTAACATCCCATTTACTATCAGGCATAAAGCGAGTTTCCTCACGTGATTTACGAGCGTAATAGAGTGTCCTTACCTGATCTAGAATAGTCTTGGCCAGTCGCTTGACTCGATTCATCTCCCTTGTTTTTAGCTCAACTACTCTCTGTAACCGTGCAATCTCAGCTCTGAAACAAGTTCAAAAGTCATACATCACACTCACTGTGAAACTCACAAAACCGGGAACACCAGAAATATTTATGGAATTTTATTGTCTTGCGAGGAAATATGAATAAGCCGTAAGAAATCTAACCGACAAACAGCAATTGTAATTAGTTTGTGGTTTTATGGCTTAAAACGTTTGGCCTTATACTGGTTTAGCTACCTAGTATCAAATTCGCTATGTTCGAGTACGCTACCTAGATATTGGGCTCTACCTATTGTCAAAGTCCAAAACTTGCACCTTCGGAGGGGCAAGCGTAAAAGAACGGCAAATAATGATATAAATTTTAAAAAAATTTTTCTAGTGGTATTAAGGAAATATTTCTAATGGTTTACAGGAGGTAATATAGAGCGAAAAGGCAGTGAACTTGAACGTAGGGAACTCGACAAAAAGCGAAACCGGCTGTTAGCAAAATTTTGAAGTTACCACTATTTCTTTACCCTGGGGGCCAGAAGTTTTTCTCTCGCGTCCGGCGGGATGATTCGGTGTCGGTCGCAGGCCGAGAGATTGTCGGCCAAAGGCCGATGTCACCCGAAACCGGAAACCTCGCATGAAAAGTCTTAAACAGAATGTTCACAAACCTGCTGTTCCGCGTGTCATCTTCGGCTTTCCCTTCCAGGGCAGCTCGTTCAGCCTCGAATTCACGCACCACGTGACTAAGGGACTTCTCCAAGGTCTTGACTTTGTCATTAAGCTATTTATAGAAAATACAGAGTGGTGACGAAATGATGAATATACGAATTATATATATTGGAACCGCGGAATGAAGGACATGAAGAAATATATGAAAAGAAGATCATCACAGTTAAAGACCCAACTTATGTAGTTGCGAAAAAAAGGCTTGAAAAAAATTCAGGTTTGCGGGATTCACACTTTGAGATCTACAATGCCGGTGCGGCGCTCTAGCCAAAGCCAACTTAAGTGTGAACAGATATTATCGCATGGCACCGACGCTGGTGGTAACGGAAGCAACCATTGTCACCTGAAGGTTTATGTCGTCGGAAAGCGAAGCAGAGTTTTTTTTACCCTATTAAAGTAGAACCAGCGACGCACGTTAACCGGAAGTGGACTTTTTGCATTCTTGGAAAGTGGGAAAAAGAGTCACTTCCGCTTGACGTGTGTCAGTCAAAAACCTCTCTGCTTAAGCTCCCTAATAGGGAACAAATCTATACGCAGGTTAACACTATTCCTATGTCTTAAAAGGAAAAAATCAAATTAAGACACACACCTCAGTAATTTCTTTTTTCTGATGTTTACTTTCTACGATCTTTTCTTGCACTATCATGCCGTTTAATTCCTTTTGAAGAGAACACAAAAACAACAAAAATAAGAACAACAGCGTATAAAGAACAGCGTAAATGCATAGCAGTCAAAAAATGAACATTATCTGAGTATAATGTATTTAGTTCCTAGAGGAGGGAAATGCTTTTGTTCTTGACCACCAATGACATGGCCGCGCTGACGTCACGTGCAAACCAGCAATACGGGATGCCACGAGGTCTAGCATTTGCATTGTAGTAATTATAGACAAGCTGGCATCCATTTTCATGAACTGATTAAACGCGAGCGGTTTTATCTCCAACAAAAAACGTACCTTTTCAGCCAACAGGTCAATCGTCTTCTTATCCAAGCTTTCTTTATCCTTTCAGTAAGCAATAAAGACGGGACAGAATTTGTTATAGTTTGAAAGTTCTCTTTTATAACTACGTTATAAAATAGAAGGCCTTTTTCTCTGACCTGGTGAGAGACACGATCATCCTATTTTTCCCCCATAAATGACCAATATTCTAAGTACGGTTTGAGGGCGAGAGATTGTTGTTCCACGCTTCACAAATTTCAACCAAAGTTGAAAGTTGTCAAATACACACGTGTATTTTCTCGAGTATTTCGGCTTGTATTTTTTAACACGCGTGTTTCTCGCGTATTTTTCTCGTGTAATTTGCGTGCAATATCGCGGATTTACACGCAAGAAACGCGAGTGTAATGTTGCAATTCCCGCGGAATGTACTGTAAGATTGAACTTTAATTATTTTGGAGACATGTCTGCACTTCAGACTGTTCTTTAGTAGTAACGATGCGATTGTGAGTTACTTTTCATTGACTAACTTAACATAATTTTCATCAGCTTTAATGTACAGCATTATTTTGTGCCAGCTCTTGAATGGTGGGTAAATTGTACAGAAAAGGAGACTACAGTGATTGGAGTTCTCAGCGAAGAATAGGTTACAATGTCGCAATAAACATACCTTTTTTAATTCTTGCCCTTCTCTCAAGTGAAAATCCAGCGCAGCATTAAGTCTCACATTCTCTTTGTAAACAGACCTTGTTGTTTCATCCAAATTGCTACCAAAAATGAGTGAACAGAAGGAAAGGAATGTGAAAACCAAGGAAAATGGCAGTTTTATGAGATGACATCTTGACTCTGATCCCAGAGAGTATATCAAAATTAATCTTTGACATTGTTTGTCCCTATGTCTATGAAAGGAAGCCTTATACACATTTATCTTTCTGCACTGGGCAGATCTAGGGGGGTTCGAAAATTAATGGCATCATGCCAAAAGTTTTTCAATGCAAATTTGCACTGTTTTTACGCAGATTTGTCAATAATATTTTGATGTAAAAAGAACGGCACTTTCACTTTTAAAAATGAGATATTAAAACAGGCTGACTTTGCCTCAGAATGGCAAAAATCGTGTTTCCGAGGACTTGAAATTTCAAAATTTTCTGGGGAATAATGCTCCCGGACCCCCCTTTCATTGAATCCCTTCTGCTAAAAACCTGGATCCGCCCTAGCAGCCCATGGAGTACACTGAAATTCTACCTACATAAAATTAAATAACAGGGCACTGACTGAAAGGCATTATACTCTTTGCAGGATTAATTTCTAAGCCTAATCATCTTTTCTCCCTACTTAATACCAATCCACTAGGAAGAAGAAAGAAACTTCATGTACCTAATTGCTTCGGAGTGTGCTCTTTCTGCAAGTTCTGCAATCTTTTTACTCGCTTCCTGCTGTAACCGGACCTAAAGACAAAAATGTGTAAATTCAAAGAGTGTTTTCTAACTAAACAAATTATTCACCTACGGAAAGGAAAAAAGAGAAAACTGCTTTTTGTTTGTGTGACCTGATGCTGTTTGCTTTTGTGTGTTATATATATCACTATTAACTTCGTTATTAATCTACCCTGATACCATTTGACCATAATTTTAAACAAGCCTCAGTATTACAAATGTTTCACATCCTGTATGCCAATGTAAAATGTTGGTTTATTTTTCATTGACAAGTGTTTTGATAATTAGGACAAAGCACATAATCACTGTAGATCACAACTCATCAAAAACAATTCATTATTATTTTACCAAAACATTACAAGTTACATACACTGTATGTTCAACCACATGAAATAATGCCTGTACCTTTTCTTCAAAAAATTTGTGTTCCATCTGTTGCAATGTATCCTTGTGGTGTCTCTCAGTAGCAACCATGCTTTCCTTTATCTGTAACAAAAAAGGCCATAATTTCACTATTTTCAAAGAACAAAGATTTTTGATAAAAAATTACATAAACGTTGGGGATGAATAAGCAAAATGCTTCTTCAATCACAACTACAGGTAAAGCAAAGTCAAATATTATTCTTAAAAATTATACCTCATCCAGCTCCCGCTGCATTTGTGCTCTCTTTCTCCTGAATTCCTTGACAAGTTTCAGCTCAGATTGCATGAGTTTGACCTGAGAAGTGTTGTTATACACAAATATATCAACAGTTATGGTCACTTACAACTATTGCAAGTTTCCTAATGTCTTGACTCAGGTTCTGTGGAAATTCTAGTATATTTTCGTAAAATGTGGTGTCAGTTGCCCATGGCCCCTCAGAATTTTAGAAGATATTCCTTGAGAGATGAGTCTGCATTGTTTTTGAGAGATGCCCTCAAATGACACACCTTGATAATTATTAATAGCTTTTGAGTAGTTTCATGAAAAACAAATGAAGACAACAGTGTTTGCATTACATGTACATGAATCTGATCACAGGTGGAAATTTCAGAAAACTTATACAAAAAATCATTATGATACATTATTTACCTCATTTGTCTTTTCAGCAAGGGATTCTTGAAGCTGATGAATCTGTTGAGAATACTCATCCACCTACATGTAAATGTAACAACATTTATATTTGTTAATAATTTAATGCAAGAGAAGCAATTTATACATAATGCCACACTACCTACAGTGTGAAGGTATTGCAAAGGAAACTAATGCTAATATGTATGATATTGAATAATTGTTTCTGGAGGATTCTCCGAGATCTCTAAAGGTACATTATTCGTGGATGACAAGAGCACTCAGTGTAACCACTGTACACAGAAATGTCCACCTAGCTACCCCTCCCCTAAGCCAACATATTTTTGCCCTAAGTGAGAAGTAATGTTTGCTTAGGGGAGAAGTAGGTGGGCAGTTTCCCAGAAGCCTAAATTGATCCATATTTCCTAGAGATGCACATCACTGAGAAGTAAGATAGAAAGGAAATTCAATACTCCCAGCAAAATTAGTATTCACATCACATTTTAAATTATTGATGTAATAAGAGTTACTGTTGCATAGAAATAAGTAAAAACACACTCACAAGAGCTTGTCGTTCTTTCCTAGCCTCCCTCTTCACTTCTTTAAGAGCTTGTTGAAGCTTAGACACCTATATGTATTAAGACAATGCATAAAAAAAGTGACTGTTAGTTAACATTATTAAATACTTAACAAAATTAAGGAAAAGAATAGTTTTATTGTTAAAAATATAAAAAATAACAATATCATTGAAAAGAAAGAGGAAAAGAGAGTGACTCTCTCCTTTTTTGGCATCTCCTGGAATGAAAGAGTGACAGGAAGAGGAGAGAGCTGGACAACACTGTTGAAGTGTCTGCATTACAGAAGACCAAGGGATATATACGGTGTATGTTTAACCCTTTATTAATCCCTATAAGAGTGACCAGCATCAAATTTCTCCTTGTAATGTCAATGCTTTGTAAGACAAAGTGGTCATGAGAATTACGGCCATGATCACACAAGATGAATTTGCCCGATATTTTATCAACTTCTCCCCACTACTTCTCTAGGAAATAAATAGGGGCAAAAAAGGAGAATTCAGATTTTGATCTTAGGGTTTTAAAGTAGACTGCAAAACCATGCTTTACCAATTTCTTTACTGATTTTGAGAAAAAAACGACTGTCTGGCAGTCTAGGTTTGAAGGGTTAAAGAATGATAACCTCTGGCCATAAGGATAAGTTCCACAGTCTTATTATGCGACTGACAAGCACATGTAAAATATTTATGACAGACCTGCTCATCTTTCTTCGCATCTTCTTGCTTCAGGTATGATATCACATCAAGGGTATCTCGCTCAGTGCTTGACATCTGCATTTGCAACATGTCATTCTCGTATACCAACCGTTTGGCATTGTCTCTGTTGATATCAAAAGGGGACCAGTTTACAAAATGTTAATGGGCGATTCCAGAAAATATCCATACCATACCACGGACGGCTTTTAGGATTTCCGAAGGGGAGGGGGGTTCACGATTATGGAATTCTGAGGGCATGGGGGGGGTAACACATTTTGGAATTTCCGAAGGCAAGGGGGGCATAAAACATGGAAGCCGTCCATGGTTGGGTATGGATATTTTCTGGAATTGCCCAATGACATTCATTTAAATATACAACCTATAAGAATCCAAATAAAAGTCCCACCTGGTAGACCAGGACAACGAACTTCAATTCCTTTCATTCAGTCAAGTCCCATTATTGCAGACAACCTCAGGACATTGACTTAGTGTCTTTAATAGCAAGAATCTGTAATGATGGGGCTTTGTCTTAGTCAAATGTATCGGTTTTATTTTTGCTAGGGATTTAGGGTCTGCCTCTATAATCAGGGTCAGCGAGGTGTTTGTTAGAAAGGAGTTGACTATAAGCACTGGCCCAATAGGCAAGTTTTACAAAATGTAATTCTTCTACCTAAACAGGAAACTTACACATTATGCAATCAGTGCCTTGATATGCAAGTGAAAATTTTTCAGCTACAAGTACATGTCCGATGCAGAGCAGGAGTTCAAATTTCTTTTCAAGTCCTGCTTATCATATTTGTACCTGAACAATAGTGAGTTTATGTAGCAGGATGGCAAAAAGAAGAGGACGGCAAAATTCTTGTGTGCGACAAATGTGACAGGGCTATTACTTTTGTGTTTTGTCATGACCATCACTTAACATTATGTTTTCTGGTCTTATTACAAACACCCCTGTTTAAAGAATGGTGAAATTTGGTGGAAAGTTTGTTCAAACAAAATTACTGTCACGTTTGTCACACAAGGTTTACCATCTTCTTTCCTCTCCCATCGTGTTGTGTTAGTGCACCAATATCTAAATGATTGGCTTCAAAGAACGTGCAACTTAAACTTAACTAACCTGTACTCCTGACGGGATTTCTCCAAAGTTTCCAACTTAGTCTCCCACAACTTTGCATTAGCTATAGCATCCTTGAGAACAGATTCCTTCTTCGCCTTTTTTCCTTCCTTTTTACCTTTTTTCCTATTATGGCCAAGAGAAACAATTTGAGCATTACACATCCATAAAAACTCATAGTGTGCGTTACTTAGAGGGATGGATGCCCCATTTGGTTATAAAATAGATTGTGAAAACTCTCGTACTTTGATATTTTCGTACTTTCAGGGCTCAAAGGGTTTATCATTTTCACATTCTAAGGGAAATAGTTCTAAATAATATAAACAGAGATAAAAATAAGAAAGCCATAAGAATATTTGAAGGTGCTTTATGCAGACTAGACTGTTGATCAAATTCGCAAACCAGTGCTAGACCTGTCGGTTATTTTGTTTGACGGACAGGTCCTCAGATGCAACTAAACTTACCCTCCTTTCTTGCCTTTTCCTCCTCCTTTGGCTTTCTTCCCCTTTTTAGGCATTTTACTCCAACAAATGCCGTCTACTCGGCGTCTAAGCAGCAATGAACTAACTACTGGAAAATACCTCAAAATGGCCGACTCTTTCTGTGGTTTCGTTTCCAAGCAACGTTTGTTTATGTCTTGACGTTCTGTACAAATAGGCACTTACGAGGGTAGGGAAGGTGATCATAAGGACGTTTTTTGAAAAACGTCAGCCTTTCAATCTTTTTATGATAGCCAAATTATTTTAGCTACTCATCCTACAAAAACAATTTTCTTTTTGCGGGTTTTTAAGTCACCGACGAGGCTCTCCAATTAATTTACAATGTTAAGACGTTTAGCCACCCTTCCCATAAAAAAAAATTAGTGCCTCGATATGAAGTACCAAGTGAGCCGAGCGTCATGGGTAGGGGCAGGATTTTTGCGCAAGTAAAATTAAGCCTCGAGATGGCCTCTCTCGTGCTTCTGTTTTCTTCATTTTGCCATAAAATATTATAATTTTTTCCTTCTAAAAGTCACATTTTTGCTGTTGAAGTGACCATAAAACCCTCAATTACCAAAAATAGATGAGAACATTAAAATTAAACTACCCCTTCCATGATATAATTTTCTACTCTCCCGAGTAGGGTCTTTTGCGTGGGCACCAGCGTCCTGCGGTTCACTTCTAAAAACAGAAACATTACGTATTGAACATGGCGGATTGAACAGCTCAAGAAGATGGGTTGGTATATTTAGGTCTGATCTGAGCGCTTACATTGCCATTTTCACAATTTAGAGTCAGCTAACGGTTTGCTTTATTTTTCCTCTCTCGACATGCTGGGCTCAGGGTTCAACAAGCAAAAACTGAAGGTGAATTTGAAGTTGGCTATCAACCGACTAAAACTGTTGGAGAAGAAAAAGAGTAAGCCTTCAGTTATTTCGTATTCTATATAAGCTCTATCTAACTGTGCATTTTTAGAACTTCCAGAAGTACAAATTTTGCGTGTCAGTGTTGGATAAATCAAAGACGTTTTAAAACAATTCGCACTATTGGGTGACAGAGAAAACTGTTTCCAGGTTTATCTTTATTCTACCATTTTGCAAGGATGTCTATATCGTGGCTATATATATTCGTATGATTTTATACGCAGCTGAACTAGCACAAAAAGCAAGGAAAGAAATTGCTGACTACATCAACAATGGGAAAGATGAACGGGCAAGGATTAGAGTGAGTACAAGCGTGTGTCCTTGATTTAACCTTTACATAATTCCTTAAAAATAAATAACCTTTAGCTATGTGACCTTGTCATAGGCAAGTCTAACATATTATATGTCGCGCATTGTAGAAAATTACCAGTGAAGTCATCAGATTGTGTTTTGTGCCGAAAGTCACGCATAACTCATAACCAATTTGTCATATTTGCACTTTGTTGCACAATTATAGAAAACCTCCAATGCAATATCTGACCATGTTTAATGATCCTGTACAAATAATAATATTTACATAAAAACGTATTCCTCAAGATTAACATGATCTGTTTATTTCCAAGGATGCCAGATGTAAAAAAATATATCATTTTACTTTTTGTGTTTATTGCAGTATTGCTACATAACAAATTTTATGTACTCATTCTACATGTCTTTCAATGATGTAACCGACATAATTAAAAAGACAAGTGGTTGGGAAGTGAAGTTGTATGACAGGATTTTAGGTTTTCCTTGTCTTCAAATATTAAAGGATTGTGTTTAAAGGTGATAAAAAAGGGAATTTTAATGTTTGATTAACCTCATTTGTTTTGATTATCAGGTAGAACACATTATTCGTGAAGATTATCTAGTAGAAGCAATGGAGATGTTGGAACTTTACTGTGATTTGTTGTTGGCCCGATTTGGCTTGATAGAAACACAGCAGTGAGTACAATACTGTAGATTTAAAACCTAATTATTATGCAATACATCACACTATACAACCATACATGTTAGAGGTAAAAAATACATTGAGGTCAAGATTTTTTAATCAAGATTGTTTCTCAGTTTTCTTTGTCTCCTAGCCTTTATTATTCATGAATTAGGACTAAGAGACAAAGTAAACTGAGAATCAAACTAGGCTAACAAATTTTAATCTGAAATTTATTTTGACCTGTAACATATTAGGCACCAGTTGTTCAAAAAGGTGGATAGTGGTATCCACCAGATAGATCACTGTGCCCTGGACAAGTATCAGGATAATCATTTTTTTTATTATGTTCAGTATTAGCTAGTGATTTATCCAGAAAAACGTGATATCCAGCTTTTGAAAAACTGGGACCTGTTCTACATATTATGGGTTGGGAAGGAGTTTTAACCGTTTCACTGCCAAATGAAGCCAAAGGCAAATTTCGAGTAAGTTTGCAAATTTCATTTTGTAAAATTTTGAAAAACAAATAGCACCACGTGTAAGTACTGCTCAGTAGCTTTTATTTGAATGGTCACATCATAGGATTTGGTCTGCAGACTCAAAAGTTAGAGTCACCTTACAAAACTCCATCAAGCACTCTGGTAGAGAAAGGGTTAAGGATTATGATTGTTGTGGATTTGATGTTATCCTCAGCAGGACATTTGTCAATGAGCTTCTTAAATAATTATGATATATCTACAATGTTCAAAGGCATTGAACTTTGTGTAATTTCCATGATGAATTATTAAATGTCGTTCAAATGTGAAAAATGCTTAATAGATACTGTGAGGAAGGAATGATCGAGGCAGTAACAACTTTAATGTGGTCAGCACCACGTCTACAAACTGATGTTCAAGAACTGCGAGTGGTGAGCCTGTGCACAAATATTGTTTTGTCTGTGTCATATGTTGGCCTGTGCTTGTCTGTGTTTGATAAATGTTTTATAAACTTGACATGTAGCATTTTAACACCATGTATTTTCTTTTTCAAATAGATTGCTGATCAACTAGGATTAAAGTATGGTAAAAAATTTGCCCACGAAGCTAGCATCAATGCAAATTCCACTGTCAATGATAGAGTAAGCAACCTTTTCTTTTCTTTTAGTTCTACTGCATAAATGCAACACCATCATAGTGAATGATTTTTCCACGGGCTTCTGTCCTTTATTGTTACCGTGGAAATATCTTTTGTTCTCGGACAATCATTGGAATGAGTTGTGGACATATTTGTTAATATGTTTTTGTCTATAAGTCATTATGAAATAAATGCATTGAAAATTGCATAAATATTTTAGACTTATGCACCCCACCTGAACTCTAAGCAGAGATAGAATTTCATATCAGTGTAAACATAAATTAAATAATGTTGTTTAAAAATAATATAAATATGCTCTTATTTTTTTCTTTTTGTTTGCTTGTTAGCTTATCCTCAAGCTAAGTCCTAAGCCTCCACCAAAGAGCTTAGTGGAGAATTACTTAATAGAGATAGCACGAAGCCATAATGTAGCATTTGAGCCTGATCGTACTGTTTTCTTGGAGGTAGGTAATGCCACATATAGACTGCCTTATGAAATACCGTAAAATTCCGAAAATAAGCCCGGGGCTTATAGTTTTCAAAGGCCCTTTTTGAGGGGCTTATTTTTAGAGGGGCTTATATTCGAAGGGGCTTATGTACGCAAGGAAATTTGCGTTTGAAAATCGATTGGGCTAGCTTGTAGTGGGAAGGAAATTTACCATTTTTGCTTTGTTTTACTTCGTATTCGAGGGCAAATTCCAAGTACAAGCCCCCCGGGAGGCTTATATTCAGAGGGGCGATTTAATGGAGGGTTTTTTGCATTACGATTTTGGGGGGCTTATATTTGGAGGGGCTTATACATGGAGGGGCTTATTTTCTGAATTTTACGGTAACCCCCAACCAATCAATCATCAATTATAATCAGAAAAATCTCTTTATAAGAATGCCGTATTTTTGTAACTTTGTGCAAGTCAGAGTACATGTATATTTTTTTATACAAATGTGTTGAGTTTTTTAACAGTGGACCACTTAGCTGGGCTCAGAATTTTCTCTGTGCTTTTGGGTGATTGAGGGGGGCATAAGGGGGGTACAAATACCGCAAAACCGCACAGAAATACGTATAAATACCGCACAGAATAACATAAGAAACCTGCAAACCGCGTTGAAATTACCCGAAAATTTCTAATTACGGCAAACCGCTTGGTTTTGTAAAACCGCAATACCGCAACTTAAAATAAAAATCACCGCAAAACCGCACCATAAATCGAGCAAAACCGCATCACCGCAAACCCTTACACCCCCCTCGTGATTGGATTAGGGCCATCAAATGACACAAGTTTTTGATACATTTATTTTCCCACAAGAAATTTTATTTTTTCCTGTGATAATTGATCATTTGGACATTTTCAAATTTCCATATTCAATTATCACATCTCTCAAAGATTTCTAACAATACAGATTATAATAAATTATCAGTATACCACTTAAGTATAGACCAGACAAAGCATGATCGCCTGGTCCTCCACAGTGGGCCTAGAGTTAGGCACAAGGGAGGCCTTGGTACTTAGGGTTGTACCCTCAGTTGCATCAAAGCATGGACACAAGACAAAAAAACATGTTCTAATAGGGTGCTAGACATGACGTGTTTTTGCTGTCAAACATTAATTTGAAGTTTGACAGCCATTAAAGCAAACTATCGCACAAAAGGCTTACATGTTTTTGATCGGCGCATTCCACTCGTCTTTTATTTTTCTCAATTTTCAGCAATATTTCTCGCTCAGAAACAGCACACTTGCATTTAAGAATTATTCTTTGGAGTTTAAAATAATATATAGATTTAGCCAGGGCTAAAAGCGAGGCTCCCATTGATAAATTTATAATTTAAATTAAACAATAAACTTGTATTCGAATTCCACAATTCAGTTAACTTTAGAGCACATTTATGTGACTTTTGAGGGAAAGGCTACCTGATTTTAGAGAAAAATAATTGGCAAACAGCCCAAAGAGTGAATCAAATCTTACATCGAGTTGATAGCCTCATATGTACACCCAAAAACTGGTAATCATCTTCGGTCACATTTAAGAGCCATTGGCTCTTGATCACCGTAGATTAATTAGTGGAAAAAAAATCAGGCCAACTTTTTTGCGTTCGACAAGTTTACTTTGCAAAATCTTGTCAACAAATCTGGGTGCGTGTAAACCAACCTTTATAGCATTTATACATCACATCTGAGGTGAAACAGTAGTACGAGGCACTGTTTTTATCATACCGGCAGACCTCGGACAGAAAGCAGTATTTCACAATACAAATTACACGCATTCAATATTCATAAACTGTTAAAAAAATTTCCAAAATCACCTATACGGCCATCCGGTTCTCACTTTTGCAGTGCGACCTGTGGCGAGTGTTTGAATGAACATTAACAGAGTTACGCTCCAACATTATAAAGAATTTATTCTGTTTATTTTTTATTTAATGGTTTATTAACGCGCGGCATTTTGAGTACTGCTGCAAGCGATGTTCACTGAACGACTGAAAACAATCGGCACAACGATTAAAGTTACAAAAGAGACTACTAACAATCAATAAAAGAAACATAATTCGGTGAAACATATACAGAAACAACAATTTTCATTCAGGAAGACAAGTATTAAAGTATCCCTAAAAATCCTGAGTCTTCAAGCTTCAAGCTTAAGTTTATGTTTTAAGCCGGCTTCCCGGTGTTTGCTTTTTTCAAAGACGAACTCGAGGCAAGAAAATCGCTCAAAACTTTCTTTTCCGGCCAGAATTATAACTAAATATTCTTTGGAACGTTTTCTTTCTATTTGCGGTGAGAAACTGTCTAAAGGCTTTTTAAAGTTCTGTAAGCTTATATCAAACCTGATACTCGGTCAGATCATTGTCTCAAATCTTACAAACGTGCATAAACTAAATGACCGCATAAACTCCGCTCGACTTCATTGAATTAGATCCAAAAAAACAAACATCAAATATAATAATTTCTCTGGCTTACCATTTGAGATGCAGCTCCTGAAGAGTATCAAGAAAAGCCAGTATCGCTTCAGACTTTGCAATCCTCTTACGCATCAAGCAAGGTGAAAACGAAAACGATGCCATCCGAAATCGGATTTGCGACTTTGGCAAGCGACGTATTCCTCAACCAAAAACCCAATAAACAAACTAGCCATGAATAACAGAGGACTCCTGATAGCAGCTGAATTTCATTTTGCACATCCAGTGAAAAAAGACAGGTAAAAACATCACAAGTTGACACAAAACTCTGTCAGCTTCAACTGTCAAAGTAAACAAGATTCAAGATGCTGCATAAATTTTCCGAATGAACTCACCTGTCAAATTTTGACCAATCAGAGCATACAAATTGGACGTAGAGCGTGACCAACGCGTGACCATGGTGAGAAAAGTCAAAAGCAACTGTCTTCCCTGCCTGTAACAGCTGGCTGAATTTTCGCGTCCGAGGTCAGTTTGCAATCAAAATTTTAATTGTGTAGCACATAGACACAACATATTTCATATGAATTTAGAAAAAAACTTGAACTTGAGCCTGCGATCACTTGAAAACTAGTAACTTGTCAGCGGATAACTTCAAAAAAATACTTGACCTCGATGGGTCGACACCTGAGCCCGCGATACGGGCAAGTGATACTGGTCAGCGGGTACCCTGCTTTGACAGCTGTCAATTGATCAAAACATTGATGTCCAATATGTGTGCATTATCAGTTTAACTAGTAAAAATATGAGATTGAACATTGTTCGCGATCTAGTAAAACAAATAACTGGTCAGCGGACAGCTTCCAAATAAATCACGTCACCTCGACGAGTTGACACATGAGCCAACGATATGGTCATGGGATACTGGTCAGTGGCTATCCTCTTTTGACAGCTGTCAATTGACCATATTGTGAATGTCCTAAAATCCTATATTAAAGATGTGGACTTGCCAAGACACGCCTGAGACACCCCTCCCTTCCTTTTGATAGTCTCCCCTACCCCACCCGTACAATCTGTAGACGCGTACGTACGTACGTACATACGCTCGGTCAGTCACGTGACAACCAAACGAAAAGAGGTTGACCATATTCCATGAGTATGGGGCTCTGTCCCACGCGCGCTTCGCGCGCGCGGGAGCCCCGCTACAACTCCAGAAATTCTTCTTAACGTGTTGCCATGAAATTTTGTTCATTGAAAACAAATCAAGTCGACAAACAGCTGCCTACTTTGTAAGTGAACATGGGTCTAACGCCACCCAAAACTTCAACAGTTTGGTGGCAAAACATGTCATGCTTTCACCCAATTAGAACATGTTTTTTCGTCACACATACACGCTTAAATGCAACCAAGGGTATTCTGACAAGGCACATGGCCTTGTAAACAGTGATGTGAGACAAATGAAATATTTACAAACGGCACAAAGATGGGTTGAAAATGCGACAGTGATGCAGAAAAGCGTAAAAAGAATAGTGAAATGCCGACATGGACATGGCTTCCCCCTTAAGACATGAAACAACAGGTTTTGACTTTCTGACCAGACATTCGCACACACCCTAAGCGGGTTAAGGCTAATGAGCCTGTCCTTTTTAAAAGCTGAATGTTGCAGAAACAGAAACTTTTGACTCGGAGCTTGATAGCCATACGATGTATGCACCTTCTAGAGCAAAGAGCAATGATGTGCACATGTAGACACACCACAAAATATTCAACATTTCTTGTTCTGAATGTCTTTAAATAAGTGTCACCCCCAATTCTGTGTCAGACTTAAAAAGTAACATGGCCTCATTATTGGCCACATTACTATTTGATGAATAATCTGAAGAGGTTCCTTTTCTTCATCTTCTTAAAATTACAGTATTTTTTTTTAATATATTTTTTTTAAAGATGATGTAAAAAAGATCAACACATATTCATTCTCTTGGTAATTTCTTGCTTAGGAGGATGATTTACCAGAGTACGATGAACCTGGCCCCCCAAAGGGTAATGGTTTTGGTGGTAGTGGTAGTGGCGGTGGAGGTGGTGGTACCGGTCGCATTGGTTTTGAGGGGATTGCAGCAGGTTACGAGGCACCCAGTATGTCAAACCCCCAATATGCTTCGCTAACTTATCCACCATCACATGTAAGTTTTTCTTAAAGTGTACGGCCAGAATTGTTTGAATTTGCTGTTTATTATTCACTGTGAAAAGTTAGTACACGTTTGTTTTACACCCAGAAATCATGGACTGGTTGCATAAAGGCAACTTAAGATTAAGTGGGAATTGTTTACAACCACTCTTTAGTTCTGAAGGATCTCTCTTTGTGTTTTTTTTATACTGGTTAATCATCTTTTGGCCAATTCATTTGTGTTATAGTGCAAGCAAATCCTCCATAACTAAGGAAATGGTCACAGAAAATTCCCTGAGTGTCTTTGAACTCACCACCACCAACAACTCTGCAAGCAAACCAGTCTGTTGGTAAAATCAACTAATTATTAATATTTATTGTTCACTTTACAGGGAGGTGCACCACCTTACCCAGTGGGTCCCCCAGGGAATGCACCACCCTCCTACCCTGAGAAGGTTTTGCCACCGTACCCTGGAGGGCCTGTCAATAACCACAGTCCTACAGCTCCACCAGCAGGTGAAAATACTTTCAATAATTTTATTGAAAACTTTAAACCTACCAGTTATTAACCCTTTAAGTCCCAATAGTGACCAACATCAATAATATTTTCTCCTAACGACATCCATACAATTTCAAGAGATTAGGTTATGAGAATTAATCAATTGATCACCAAAGAGAAAATGCTTTGATCTTTTGTCAAATTCTCTCAACTTATTCTTTAAAGAAGTGTGTAGAGATCAGTTTGGAGAATTTGCTTGTGGATATTGGGGCTTAAACGGTTAACTTATGTTACCATTGGTTACATCTAAGTATGTACATGTGACCAAAAAACATGTTCTAATTGGATGAAAACAAGACATGTTAATTGCTGCCAAACTGTTGAAGTTTGGGGTGGCATTAGACAAATGTTCAATGCAAAGTAGGTAGCTGTTTGTTGACTTGATTTGTTTTTGATCAACAAAATATTCATTGCACAGCTGTTAGAAGAATTTGTGGAGTTTTAAAACTCCAAAGAATAATTCTTAAAAGCAAGTGTGATGTATCTGAGTGAGAAATACCCTGGTATTACTGAAAATTGAGAAAAATATTTAAAACATGTGCAGATTGTGCTGATCAAAAACATGTTATCAACTTAACCTTTGACTTGACAGTTTGCTTTAATGGCTATCAACTTCAAATGTTTGGCAACCAAACAAGTCATGTCTGCCACCCTATTTTAGAACATGTTTTTTGTCTCCTGTCCATGCTTTGATGCAACATGAGCGGTATTTTGAATAGTTATACCTATTATATGACCTTCAGTAAACTGAAGCATTGTTTTACCTATGTTACATTAATTCAAGGTTGGTTTTTGACTTCCTTTTCCCTTTTGCGAGACATCAACATGACACTTGTTCATTTGCTCCTTTCTGGTTCATGTGATGTAGGGGTGATTTTCTGGGTGTGTGGGCAAGGTTTTAGCCAGAAGGGTGTCCTGCCATCTTATGGACGGCTATTTTTTGAAGAAATGCAAGGAAAATTCACTCAATCTTTTATGGGAAAACATGCCTTCTGGAGGACCAGTTTTCAATGTCTGGCTAAAAGAATGTGTGTGGGAAATGTTACAGCTGAAAGTTCACCCTGCTTTGTTGTTATGCCATACTAAAAAGAACAAAACAGATGTGTTATACATCTTCAACTCTGCCCTGTTCTGTCTGTGTCATTGAATAGTTGCACTATCCTACATAGTATATTTAGCATCTTAGTGCTTTTTTTCTCATTTCCCATTTTATTCTAGGACCACAAAAGCCCTCTGCGCCCACCGCACCCACTCCAGCGCCTCGCTCATCAAAAGGACCCAGTTTTCCAGACCTCCCATCAGTACCAACAGACCTACCAAACATACCAGACAGCTTACCAGGGGCGAATAGTGCTGGCGGGGAGGATGTAGACTTCGATGATCTCACCAGAAGATTTGAGGATCTCAAAAAGAAAAAATAGCTCTAGGCAGATTTTTTTTACTGAAAAACACCGGTAAATGTAATTTTGTTGTTACTGTTGTTAATTGTAGCTTAAGCTTTTTCAGATAAACATTTTCCAAAGAGGCTTTTCTGCTGTCTGTTTTTCAGCTTTTCAGGTAGCTGTAGACCGCAGTGGTGGGGTGTAGCCATGGGCCCCGGGCGGCGCGGGGGGGCGGGGGGGTACTTCTTGGTAACGGGCTAATGGGGATATGCTGCTGAATAGCGTTGCATTGTAATGGATGGATTGACTAAACTGTGTTTCGAGAATCAGAATTGGCCGGACACTTTTGGATTTAGGTTTGAGAAATTCTGGCAAGTATGGATTTTGGTTAGAAAAGAAATGAGAAGATGTGCGTTAAAAAACTGTTACAACATTCAGTGCTGCAATAAATGACTTGGAAATAACTTGCCTAATAGTGAGTAAGACGAGTCTATACGTCATGATGGGATAGGGGTTCTTCGAGGCCAGCAGCACATACCCAGCAAAAATTGACCCAAGTACCCCACCCCGTGGGTTATAGGCTTAACTTCTGCGGTACTTTTTGCCAAACAAGGGATGGATATCAACCCCTTTCTTGTCAGTTGTGTAAGAACTGATTGCTGTCCGATATCTTATTACTTCTTTGCAACAAACTATTTGATAAGTGTATATACATAATAAAACATTTCCAGGTCATCATTAGTAGGTCATTGTTTGCGATCAGTTGTATATTCTGTAGTCCGGTTCTGGCCCCTCTCTTTATGTCACGCAATGCTCGGGACGGGGAGCCTTGTGTGACTGCGGCCCGAGCGGCTGCAAAGGACACTAGCAGGTTACTTGTATAATGCGTTGACAATTCTTTTAAAGCCCCAAGGAAATTTGTAACAAGGGGACTACTACTGAAGATTTATATTCCTGATAGGGTGGCAAGTTTTACTACAATTCCGATTTAGTTTATGCATTAAGGAAGACAAGCGAGAAGCTCTTTATCAATTTGCGGGCAAGCTTTCGGGGGAGGTGTGGGGACTGAAAACGCTTTTGAATGGTCTGGAGTTTCTTTTCCTTTTTTTCCTTCATCCCTCCAAAATAAGGCCAAGTCTTTTCAAATTTCCTCCTATAATCGCCGTGCTTGTTTAAGTTCATAATTCTCCTCTTCCCAAAATATTATTGAAACATTTTTTTTGTTTTCACTGGAAGCGCAAAATAATGTTAATAAAAGATGGCTCTTTCAAATGGGTGTTTGTGTCACAGCTTTATAGAGTGGCAAAAGCGCTATCTTTGTCCCATATTGTTAAACAACAAGCCAAGCAACCACTTCGACGACGACCTCGAAAAACGTCACTAAAATTGCTCGATAGCGTTCTTTCATACCCTGCGAGCCGTGGTTTCTCCAGGCCGGATGTAACGTAGCCTCCCCTGCACGCGTTTTTAGGGGAGCTCGTTTTTCATCCCTCCGTTCAGAATCTAAAATTTTTACTAAATGTTATTTTTGCCACTCAGAATCTAACATTTATTAGAGGTCAGAAAGATTTCCCAGTGTTTCATGCAGATCGAGTAATTATCAGATTACCCTGCGGTTAAGGTCAACTTTCCAGAATTTGGAAAGTAAAAAGTGATGGGCTAAGCTTGGGAAAGGAATGTTGTACCCGGCTGAGCAGGCGTTTGCGGGGAGGGACGAAAGACAAGCTCCGCTAAAAACACCTGCGTGGGAGGCTAGATGAAACGCTACGTCGCGTCCAACCTAGAGATAACACTGCTCGCAGGGTCTCTTTCAGACTTCATCGTGATTATTCTAACTTGCTCAGGTTGTTTATGTACAGGGAAACCTGTTTTAATCGGACCCCATTAAGCGGAGACCTTGAGCAAAATTCCACACGATTCTTTCTGTATTTATTTAAAACAAACCTGTATTAAGCGGTCAACCCTTATCTGCAAACACAAGCAAGGGTTTCGTTAGCCTGATTCTCGTGGCCTCGAGCGACTTGAAGCATCTGAGAATCAAGGTAGGGTAAGGTCTGCGTAACACAGGTTTCACTGGAGTTGAAAGGCTAGAATTGTTAGAGACCACATCCAAGTTCAGAACGAGTCATGAGATTTCCTCCTCATATGTTCACTTCCTCCACAAAACCTGACAAAAAGAAAATTAACGTCTTTCTTGCGAACGAAAGGTCGGTAAAGAAATGTATCACAAAGCGTGATGGAGGATGAACCAGATTACGGTTAGTGCTAGCCTCCCACGCACGCGTTTTTAGCGGAGCTCGTTTTTCGTCCAAGCTCCCCTAAAAACGCCTGCGCGGGAGGCTACAAATTGTAGGTTAGTGCAAACTGATCTTGATTCCTGAATTGATCACCACGGGACAGTCCTAGTTCAGCGCTAAGCTGGGTTCCCTTCCTAAGAGCATTATTTATTCAAGACAAGGTTTTAAACACCTGCAGAGATCAAGAAGTTTCTTTCGATTGCTCCTCTGTTAATCTAAATGTATGTACCCTTAGAACAACGGGTGGTATTTTGAGTCAAAAACGCGATACGACTTTATTACAGTCTGTTTTGGCGTTAATTTAATCTAATCTGAGCGTTGTTGTTCCCTAGTAATGACGAAAATTTTATTTTGAAATTTTATGAATGTTTTGACAAAGACACAGTTGATTCATAATACTTTTTTTTTAACAACAAAAAATCTCACGTTTTGGCTTTCGCGCGAATAACGGTACGGCGGAAAGTGTTGAGCGGAACGAACTATAAATAAAAAGGAAAACCCTCAATAATTATACTTCGGAACCAAAACACAAGATCGAATTCTAATTAAGGCGCAAGACAGTCTTGTTCATCTGGCCTTTGCAGATAACTGGACGGTAGATGAAAAGACCAGAATGGGTCATTACGGTTTCCTAGGTTTCGCGCATATTTCAGCTTGCGTGAAATTGACCAGTGAGCACTCGGAATGGCTTTCTTGCATACGTTATTAGTATTAAAAAAAGAAGACTTGATCGCTCATTGAACAGTCGCGAAGCAAAAAATAGCAACTTTGATTCAACTGAGTCTCATTTCAACACAATGAAGTACCAAGTCAGGTAAAAGAGCAATGTCCTCTATTTCCCATTGAAGGATTTCTACATTGTGAAGTGGACGGTATAATTTTTGCTGGTACCTGAAGAATTATACAATGAACCAATTAAAAGGGACAAGGTTTTTCAGGGTAAAAAATGTAGATTTTTTTCTCGAAATGACCTGTCGTATAATATTATTTGCCGACCCATTGGTTTGAAGAGTGCCACCTGTTTGTTGCTCTGTGATTGGTGTTGACAAGCCGATCAAGCGCACCACTCACGTGATATCGACGGCCATGTTCGATCACTAGCAAGATATAAACATCGGTTTTTCGGTTGAACAATTTGCGAGATTTCTACCACGGCAATATGAAATCTTTTTAAGTAAACGCGGTTTGATTTTAAAGCGGGTCACAGGGAACCTTCCGTCACCAAAAGCGATCGTATTCGTTATCAGTTACGGGATAGAAAATGACATTTTTAAAATTCATAGCCAGTCGAGCATGATGTCAGATGGCCGATCGCGAAATGAAGAGTGTCTATACGATGGCAAAACCACATTAGCCTCGGGCTGAAACAACCAGAATGGTGGGTAATTGAAGACAAAGAAGAGGATTATGGACGCAAACGATGAAGGTTTCCCGCAACATGCCACCAATTCGCTATCAAAAGATAGCGGGGTTTCCCCATCTAGCAAAACAGCGGGAAACTTCATCGATGGTGAAGCTTCGTCGAACAAGAATTTTTCAACAGACTCACCTTCCCTTAGCGGTATTTTACAGCGTTTATTAGGTTGTTTGAAGCCTGTATGGACGATATTAGGCAAGGCAACTAAAGAACAGAAGACCGATATCTGGATTATACCGTTTGACGAAATTAGTGAGTTAGAATGGTTAGGTTCGGGTGCCCAGGGGGCCGTTTTTCTTGGACAGTATGGCGGTCAACAAGTTGCCGTAAAAAAAGTTCGTCGCGAGGCTGACACTGATATCAAACATTTGAGAAACATAAATCACCCCAACATTGTGAAATTCAGGTAGGAATTTTTGTATTAAATGTTATTATCAATTGGCTTGCTCTGAATTTTTGCGATAACTGTTCTAGTTTATCAATCTGTTTTTTTTTTCAGTTTCTAAATCGAATATATCATCTTATGTTAGGAATAATAAATATCTTGTCCTGCAACAGAAAATGTATTTCTTTTTTTTGTTGTCATGAAATATTAGTCCACTTATTTTTTTTTCTGTCACTCAGTAGACTATTGACTGTTGCTATATTTTTTGTCTTAATTATGCTTATTAATGATGTATATATCCTTGATTTGGGTAAAAATCACACACCTCTCCCCCTTCAGTTGTTAACAAGCAGGCTAACTCAAGTAAGGAGAACTCAAAGAAATATTCCCAACACCACTGAAAAAACAATTTCCACATATTTTCCCAAAAATATTTTTACAAATTGATGGGATTCCTGTGTAGAACTATAAGCAAGAACAAACTGTCCAACAACCCTGATCTCATCAAGATTCTCCTGATTTTGCTTTAAAATCCCGAATCCCGACCAATATGCAATTGGGATAGTAAAAATCCTGATTTTGGCATCTGTTTGGATATTTCAAATTTATTCTTATGATACTTACACAAAAACACCAAACAAAGTATACATTTTAGACAGAAATTGTCCTCTCAGAACACTAGAAATGACTTTTCAGAGCATCAAGATTTCAGAATTTTCTGAAGGGGGCATGCCTGAAGACTCTCTTAAAGACTCGTTTGTTCGGTGCTTGCGTGATTAATTTTCTGAGATTAAAAACTATCCTAATTTTACATACTCAAAAGTTTTGATAGTCTGAAAAATATTATTTTAATGAAAACTGTTTATTTATATTTAATTATAGAGGGATATGCAATCAGGCTCCTGTGTACTGTATCATAATGGAGTTCTGCCCTAATGGCCAGCTGTATGAAGTTTTACGCAATGGTCGTCAAATTTCTCCTTCCCTACTGGTTAGGTGGTCTACGCAGATTGCAGATGGCATGCATTACCTCCATTCTCAGAAAATTATACACAGGGACTTAAAATCGCCTAAGTGAGTACAGTACTGACTGTGGTGCATATTCTTGGCTATTTAATGGGCTGGTACACTGATTGCCTGTAAATCAATTGGGTTTTTCATTAATGAAGTAATGTAGATCATAACAACTTAGGTGTCATAATCTCCTTAAGTCTGGGAGGGAGCACCCTTTCAGTAGAGCTTTCCTTTCACTTGCTCAATTTTGGCATACTCGTGAAAGACTCTGCATGAATCGGGGATGATCTTTGTTGATCTTTGTTTACTCTACTTTGTCTCTCTTCACCCAGGAGAGTAAATGGGTACTGGTGATATACTGCTGGGGGTTAACCCTGCAATGGACTAGCATCCCATCCAGGGGGGAGTAGCAATACTCCCAGGCATGCCTCATCATAAAGAAACTGGGATAAGCTTTGATCGTTGTGGCCTTCGGCTCTTGTGCACCTTTAACGTTTTTTTCCCTCGTCACAGTGTCCTGGTAGGTGCAGATGATATGCTCAAGATATCGGACTTTGGCACAAGTAAAGAATTTAGTGATAAGAGTGCCAAGATGACCTTTGCTGGGACAGTTGCATGGATGGCCCCTGAGGTGATTCGAAATGAACCCTGCTCTGAAAAGGTGGATGTGTGGTAAGCGATATTTGTAAAAGTGGCATTTTGTAATTCGTTTACCTACAGAACACTTAGGAGTTTTTAAGAACTTGTTGAAATGTCTCTGTGTGTTCTAAATTGAATTGGAATTTGGAAGTGCTGGTTTCTAAGGAGAAAGGAAAACCAGAAAAAACCTTGTAGAGCAAGGGAGAGAACCAGCAACAGACTCAACTCATATATACAGGCTTCAACGCTGGGGTTCAAACCCAGGTCACATTGGTGGGAGGTGAGTGCTCTCACCGCTGTGCTACCCTTGCATTCAGGCATGCACATTGTAATGGGTTGAGTTTTGTATTGCCTTTCCATGCCATATTATGGGATTCCAGGTAAAGTGAGAGTTTAGGCTATAATCTCCTTCCCAGTGGTTGTTAGGGTCATCACTCAACCCTCCTACCCTAATAATGGCTGTGATTGACACTAGCTAAAGTAGGGTGAGGCAGAAATTAACACAGGGGAGAGGGTGATTTGTTTTGGCTGGGGATTTAGCTGCTGTCCATTTTATCGAGGTGTCCAGTATAGCGGGGTGTCCGCAAGGCCAAAGTTGACTGTAGTTGCCAGTCTTGCCCTCTACTAGGGTTGGTTATGGGACAAATTCAGTAACAACATGTCAGCTTTCATGCTTGTCAATACCTGGCTTGCTGACTTGTGAAATGATCTCTCAATAGTGCATGTCAAACCATGTTCTAACAAGATACAACAAATTCTTATGCAGTAAATTAGTCAATATTTTGAAATTTCCAAGATATGTCTTGTCCAAATGTGTAAATGCTAGTAATTTCAGTTTATTAGTTTATGAGGCTTAGGTAATGTCTTTTTCTATACATTATAGGTCATTTGGAGTTCTTCTCTGGGAACTTCTTACTGGAGAGATGCCTTACAGGGTGTGAATTAGTGTATTTTCATTTTAAATAACAGTAATTAACAATTATTGTTGGTATTGGTATTACCATGAACTTTTATTTTGGCAGGGTTGTCACTAAGATTTCAAGTTTCCGGGTAAATACAACAAGTAGGCGGGGAATCAAACGGCTACGGATTTCTTTTGTTTCTATTTTTCTTCTATTTTCCAATAAAAGTAGCCCGGGTCCACTCTCTTAGTAGCCGGGGAAAATCCCCGGCCCCCGGCTCTTAATGACAACCCTGTTTGGGCTGCCAAAAAATATAATTCTGAATCTGTGACCTAATTTCCATGGTTTTTAACCCCAATTCAGTTAAACAAAGACTGATAATTTGCTTTTCATAACATACTGATTAAGGGCTAACCTGAGAAAATTGCTGTCTTTTTAAAATGCCAACACTGGTTCCCCTGTGAAATGACGTCCGCAGAACGAGCAGAGATATTTCTTACTGATGACATGTCACTACCCAGGTACGGTACTATGACTAGTGCTTCTGATTGGTTGAAGCAAATTCCTTCCTTGGCACAGCCAATCAGAAGTACGAGCTAGATCTAAGAGATGACACTTCAGTATGGAATTTATATATATGGAGTCTAATTCCAAACATCATTTTGTGCAGAAACCAACATTGGCATCTCAAAATGTTGGCTCCTTTATCAAGCAAATTCAAAGCTGGAAATTTTACATTTATCTGGTTGACATTTTTGTGTTACATTTAGGATGTTGACTCCTCAGCCATTATCTGGGGTGTTGGAAGCAACAGCTTGCATCTTCCTGTACCCACAACGTGTCCAGAGGGTTTCAAGCTACTCATGAAAATTTGCTGGTAGGTTGAAAATTAAACACATATGTTCTCTTTTTGAATGAATTTTGTTTGATTGTTTGTTAAAGTTATTTTGTTTTGTTGGTTATTTCTACTGAGATTGAAGTTTTTTAATACACAGCTGATTCCAAGAAAAATACGTAAATCTTTCATCAAAGTTTACCCACAAGAAAAAAGGCCCAAAAACGGAATCATCTGTGTAATAAAAGATATATAATTATATTTGCACGCACAGCGAAAGCAAGATTGGTGGTCAAGTCAAAAACAAATTTTTGAGGAGTTTTTTTTTCATTTTACTTTATTCGCCAGCAAGCAAACAGTTTGATTATTTTCTAACACCAGTTTTTATCCGGAAATGTGTTTTCTAGGAACAGCAAGCCCAAGAATCGTCCATCATTCCAACAAGTACTTCTTCATGTTGAGATTGCTGCAGGCGACGTTCTTAAAACACCGCGAGAAATTTACCTCAACCAGCAGGTAACAAACTCAATGATTTTTTGTTCTCATGCATTTAAAACTCATTTTCATGAGAAAGGTTTTGCACTTTAGCCCCGTTTTGAAAGTGAGAGTTTTTGGAACTCGGAAATGGTTTATTATTTCATTTGTTAAAGATAACATGGAGAGGTGAAATCAAGGAGGAATTTGAGAAAATGAAGAACAGAAGCAGTGCACACATGCAGAACCTTCATCAACTGCATCAACTGGACGAGGAACTCATAAGAAGAAGGAAAGAGGAATTGAGGTAACAATATTACCATTTACTACGAGCAAGAAAAAATCTATAAAACAAATACATACGGGCCGATGAAACACGAAGGAGTTTAAGCTCGTTAAGGGCTTATATGATAACGCAAACCCTGAACGAAAAAAAAAAACGAAAAAAGCAAAAACGCCAAAAATGATAGCAATAAGAAAATAAATAATAATGGACGACCACCGAAAATGGCGGAATACAAAGTTCAAAATGAGCAAATGAACAAATCTCGTTGCCTCGAATTATCAAAAAAGAACTATTCACGTCCTTGCGACTATTAAATCTCTGTAATAACTAAACATTTTCGCGCAAATGGACCGAAACGGGAGAACCGAAAACTGTAGCAAATGTATCGAAACCCAAACAAACCACAAAAGTCGGACGTTCATAAAATGAAAAAGCCGCCTAACAAGAACATAAAGGAAGAAGAACATTGAAGTTGAGAAACCGTAAATTTTAAGAGCGAAAAGCTGGAAACCGACATATGAAATGGCATAAAACGCAAAAAAGCCGACAAGCTAAAGCGCTCTCAATAGAAAAAGTAAAAAAACTATGAAACACACCCACAATAGACAGGATGTTTACCGTCATCGTTTTGGCACGCTTTTTCTGTATTTGCAGACATGCACGGGACATCCGAGTTCACTATGAGCAAAAGCTGGAAAGAGCGAACAGTTTATACCAGGAACTGAATGAATGCATGCAGCATTTGGAGGCGAGAGAAAAAGAACTTGTTAGGTAAGTAGTAAGGACTCCTAGAATCTGTTAAAACTGAGTATTAAAGATATGGTTATAAAATTATATTTGGCTGTTACTGCAGAAACTTTAAACCACTGTAATTGTATGTTGACCTTTCAGCAAATCGCCATTTTTTCACATAGAACCTCTGTTACATGTTAAAGTTGTCACGAAGACCTTTTTCGACTCGTGTCAAGTTTGTGTGAAATTGAGTTTTGCGTTTGTCTTCTCCCTTCGTGGTTAGAGCTCAAAATGACTCAGATGACATTGGACAGTTTTCATTGAAGTTTTCCAAATATGTAGTCTGCTACACAGCCGTTAGTGAGGAGGAGCGTTGCGTGACGGCACTAAAAACGGCTGTGTAGCAGACTACCAAATATGCAGAGCTAAAAAAAATCCTGAATTCCAGCTTTTTGGTGTAAGCAGCTCTCATATTTTTCTCGTTGACGCCCCCGTTAACAAACTAACCATGAGACTGACTAGCGACGGAAACAGAAACCCAAGCCAGAAAGAACCTCAGCTCGTAAGGTACTTCGTGCTCGTCAAGTTAATGATTTTGTTTGAAGATGAGCTGTCTGGACCAAGAGCCCAGAGCCAGACCCAAATCCTTGCTATGTTGGTTTTAGCGGGGCTGCTACGCTTTGTGACTGGAATAAAAATTTGGCGCGAATTTTGTCACAGACTTGCTTCCGTGCTTTTTCCCGCGCTTGGAACCCGCCTCGCATTTAAAACTATTTGGGAACGATTCTGATTGGCTTATCTTGTTGCCTGTGTTCAATAGTTGTAATTGGTCAGAGTCGAGTCAGAGAGTACTGATTACAGTAAAAGCGCAATATAACGAAGTCCCCGGTATAACAATCGATCTGTTCCGCGAAAATTCAGCCTCTGCTCGCAGGGTGTGTGCTTCGCCACTACAGTTACAGCAAATTATATGGGAAAGAACCCGGATATAAGGAAACCTCGTTTATATATTGAATATATTGTGCCTGTCCCTTGGCCCTTCGATATATCGAGGTTGCACTGTACGTGGTCTTTGGTTGCACAACACTGAAATAAAAGCCACTTTTTAGTACCGTCTTGATGACCCCGCTAAGTTATAGGTACCTTAAGATCCGACGACGGCGACGGCAACGAGAACGTAAAACAGTAGGTTTAAAAACCAAAACAACAATTTTGCACGTGCATCACCCTTTTTTGTACTTTTATTTGCCGTCACTGCACGACTTCGACGTGAAAATTCTATTCTCTTTCTCTTTCTGAAATGGGTTTTGCTTCTTAGGAATTCAACTCCAGAAGAGTTCACCTGCATTTGACAAAGTAATTGAGTGGGAATAATCGCGAAGACGATTGAAAGAACATGAATTCACTTTTTAAGCGACGTTTCCGCCGTCTTCGGATAAGGTCCCTTGTGCTAGAGGTTTAATACACAAGCAGGCTTGCTGGATAACCTTTCATTTTTCATTGATTGTTGTAGACGAGAACGTCAGCTTAAAGTTGTAAATAGCAAAAAGAGACCGATTAAACCAGAGCTGAAGTCACGCACTGCTGAGGTTGAAAAAGTCTTAAACAGTCAGCTTTCCCTCAAGAGGGAAACATCATCAAGTTGGTAAGTTCTAAAAATGAGATAACTCACCTTTTGAAACCGCAGATTTCACTAGTGTGTACGATACGCGTACGTTTGTGCGTATGTCACACGTCCTGCGGATCAAAAATGCCGATCACACACACACAGTAAAATTTCACACGCATAGCGCACTATTCCGAACTACTTTTTCCGTAACCATTAACGTGAAAAATCGACCAAATAGGTAATCTCGCCCAGACATGCGTGATCTCGGCAAGATCTTATGATATCTAGCCTCAGTAATCTTTGGAAATCTTCGGAGAATCTATGGTTATGTTCGGAAGGTCGTCGTGACGTCTTCGGTACCGTTCGGAAATCGTCGGATTTTGTAGGAAATTCGGACAAATGTGCATTTGACTTGGGAAAAGTTGGTAGGTTTATAGCGAAGAATGATAGAATGGTCCGTATTTTGGTGTTAATTGCATGTTTTTGTTTAGTCCTAACACCTCAAGTAGCTCCAGTAGTCCCACTGATCGCACTAGCTGGGCTCAGGAGGCCGACAGCGATGAACAAGACAAGCAAAGCTACACCAAAAGAATGAAAAGAGCCCGTAGCTGCCTCAGCAAATCAAAACGCCGTCGATCACCGGGGACACCATGGGCCGTTCCTAAGGACTTACACGAAAATACGAACGTTCATTCAAGTCGTACAAAGTGTTTTTATTACCAGGATGAGCCAACAAAGGATGTCCTGTCATGGCCCCATACTAAAGAAGTACCGTCATGTAGTTGTAGTGACAGTGACCAGGAAGTACCTCAGTGCAGGTGTCCTGTGGATGAGTGTCCGAACACCACAGGGACCCCTGTCAGTTTTCAAGGAAGGAAAGCGAAAAGAAAAAAACAATGGACTTCAAACTCAGATAGCTCAGACGAGATTAAGCGCATATCAATGCCGGGGATGTCTTCTGGTGAGATTTCGGATCTTGAGCCCCAGTTTATTCCCGATTTGACGAACGATTCTATGGAGTTCACGGACGAGGAGCGGTTTAAGAACGTCATCCTGCGATTCTCCCAATCTTCACTTGAAGAAGAGGTAAATGTAACTCACTTAGGGTTAAGGTGCTTGTCATTTGAATGAGACCTTTTCTGTACACCAGCAAAAACGTAAACAGGAATGACATGTTTTGCCAAGTACAATCCACTAAAATGGCCGCAATTTTAGATTGTATCCACAGACTCAAAAGTCAGAACCACCTTTTGCAGCATAATAAACAGTACCACAGAAAAGTACTGCTCAGTAGCTTTCATTTGAATGGTTAGACCATAGGACTTCATCCACAGACTCAAAAGTTAGAACCACCTTGTACAGCATACTAAACAGTACCAAAGGAAAGCACTGCTCAGTAGCTTTCATTTAAATGGTAACACCATAGGATTTCATCCACAGACTCGAAAGTTAGAACCACCTCGTACGGCATAATAAACAGTACCACAGGAAAGTACTGCTTAGTAGCTTTCATTTGAATGGTCACACCATAGGATTTCATCCACAGACTCAAAAGTTAGAACCACCTTGTACAGCATAATAAACAGTATCACAGGAAAGTACTGCTCAGTAGCTTTCATTTGAATGGTCACACCATAGGATTTCATCCACAGACTCAAAAGTTAGAACCACCTTGTACGGCATAATAAACAGTACCACAGGAAAGTACTGCTCAGTAGCTTTCATTTGAATGGTCACACCATAGGATTTCATCCACTGACTCAAAAGTTAGAACCACCTTGTACGGCATAATAAACAGTACCACAGGAAAGTACTGCTCAGTAGCTTTCATTTGAATGGTCACACCATAGGATTTCATCCGCAGACTCAAAAGTTAGAACCACCTTGTACGGCATAATAAACAGTACCACAGGAAAGTACTGCTTAGTAGCTTTCATTTGAATGGTCACACCATAGGATTTCATCCACTGACTCAAAAGTTAGAACCATCTTGTACAGCATAATAAACAGTACCACAGGAAAGTACTGCTCAGTAGCTTTCATTTGAATGGTCACACCATAGGATTTCATCCACTGACTCAAAAGTTAGAACCGCTTACTCTTCTCCAAGTTTGACGTAGCCTTTAATTGGGATTAAAAGGGTTAACAGTCGAGTTTATCTTCTCGTAATTTACCTTAATTACTTATGTTCGTACTTGTCTTTTTTATTCACAGTCTTGTGTTCAAGGAAATGATAACATAAAGGAAACAACAGTCGGTGATCAGAGGGGACCCTAAAAATATAATATAGTTTGTTACAAGGAATTATAGCAAGTTTATTGCTAGGCAAAGGATGGTCAACAATATTTCACTAGAAATTTCGTTTAATACTAATATTATTATATGGTTGTTGAGAATTATTTTCCCGTCAAATAAATCATTAACAATAGTGTGGGATCCCACACGAGGAAGTGTATAATATTCATTTATTCATTTATGGTACAAAGTTTATTATAAATTATTGATTCGCTGCTGGGCAGCGGTTGTGAATATAAGTCAGGTACAATACTTGTAAAGATCTCCCCGCAAGCCAAACCAAAAATCCAAGAGTACATTCCAGATATTCGAGTAAAGTGTCGTTTAGTTTAACCTTGGTAGTTGAAACACAATAGGAAAGAGAACTGTGACGTCAGGAAAAACTAAGTTTGCGAAATTATGGGATTGGTTGGCATATCCAGAAAAAAATACAAGATGAAAAATGTCCGCTCGCTAAAAATCAGCCGGTTGATACAAATTGGTGAGGAGATATAAGTACTTTTATGCTCCTATGACTCCATATAAATCCATTAAAATATCGTGAACATTACGATCCGAGCAAATCTTAGGAGTGGTTTGTATAGATTCATCAGGGCATAGCGGTGCTTATATCTCCTCACCAATTTGGACTCTAACAGGCTGATTTTTGGCAAGGGTTTTTCTTTGTTCCTGTTTTTTCTAAATATGCCAACCAATCCCATAATTTTACAAATTTGAATTTTTCTGACGTCACACTTCTCGCTTCTATAGCACGTAGTGTTCAGAGACCAAGTTTTCGTTATTGCTTAAGAATGGAACGCCTTTAAGTATAGTTAGTAGAATATGCACGCGCCAGAATCTATACATTTCTTTGCTGCTCATTATTTTTAGCTTACATCTCCTTTCTAGGACTCGCAAGGTTTTGTGTAAATTTATGTAAATTATACTGCTCTTTATCCAAATAAAATGCTGGGCTTTTTGTTATTGCTTGTCACTTGTTGTTGTTCATCTATGAATATTTGATTACGAAAGTTCGAGGAGCACAAGATGATGTTAAGTCTCAGTCTAAATTCTTTTTTCTATTCGTGCTAAAGGCACGTGTCGAGGAAATAATCAGCCTCGTACCCAGGCCAGTTCGCGCTATCTGAGTTACCAGAGGAGGCTTGGAACCGAGCGAATTTTCCCGACAAGCTTGACAGGTGACGTCACATCTGAAATCGCCGAGGACGACTGGGAACGAGGCTAGGAAATAATAAAATCTTAGCGTCGCCATTTGGTTTTCCTTTTTATTGCACACCCTGGCCAATAGAAGGTAAAATGATGTCATAAAATTAAAAAATGGCTGCATGTGGAGAAGAGGAGTGTGGAGGGTGAGGGACGCACAGACGACGTGTTCACGAATACACTTTGATTTAAAACGTCGTTTTAACAAAAGGACTCAACTCACGACGAGGCAAAAATAAGAGGAAAGAGAAAGACCGGTAGACCTCTGCAGGAACTAGTCTGAACTTCAGACAACTACTTCGAGTCGTCTTCACTCCCTCAGTTGCTGAGAGGAGAAAACGACTCGAAGTATCTCGTCTGAACTCCAGGCTAGTAGAGAACATGTTACACGGCACTTGGTAGCCTGCGAGCAAGCTCTTTGGGGCTCTCTGGCTCTCAGAGCGCCCCGGAGAGCTTGCTCGCAGGTTAGGCACTTGGAGAAAGCATCTCGCCGGTGGGGACCGGAGCACATGCAATTTGGCTCTCTGCCCTCTAAGGGCCCTGTTTACAAGGAGAGAGGGTTACCCTAGCAAGCGGGTTAAAGTCGGCTCTGGTTTACAAGCAAATTTCACAGGTAGGGTTACCCTATCACTCGGGTCAACTTCACGAGCTTTACTGAAGTGTTTCGTGATGTGTGACATTCTTTGTAAAGTTCTCTATGGAAAACAGGCGCGGATTTAATAATATAATATAATAATAATATACAATATTTATAGAGCGCTAATTCCCAATGGTCCAAAAGCGCTTTACATAATAAAAATAACAACAAAATCCTAAACCTACAAAAACTACAAAACTACATTGTCATCCTATAAAAACATCATCATTCTATACGACAACATCATAACCAATTTTAAAAAGCCAAGTCTTGAGCTCAGATTTAAAAGAAGAAAGGGAATTACAAGAACTAAGTTCGAATGGAAGTGCATTCCAAACAGAAGGTGCAGCAATAGTAAAAGACCGGCCACCATAAGTTTTAAGATTAAATTTAGATGTAGAAAGTAAAAATTGATAAGAGGATCTAAGAAGTCTACCAGGTGTATAAGGCTTGATGAGATCAGTGATATAGCTAGGTGCAGCACCATGAAGTGCCTTAAATGTAATTACTGCAATTTTGAAAGTCATCCTTTGTTCAATTGGTAGCCAAGGAAGTTGAATAAGCAACGGCGTAACATGCTCATATCTACTAGTAAGGTGAATAAGCCTAGCAGCACTATTTAGGACACTCTGTAAACGTTTCAAGATACATTTAGGCTGACCGTAGACCAATGAGTTACAATAGTCGATCCTTCCAGTAACAAAGGCATGAATGAGAGTTTTACATGTATCGTAAGAAAGAAACTTGCGAATCTTAAAAATATCGCGTAAATGAAAAAACGAAGACTTGCAAACAGCAGTAACGTGCGGCAACATCGATAGAGAGTTATTAAACCCCAACCCAATATTTTTAGCAGTAGTTGAACAGTCAACAGTGTCATGCAGAGGCAATCACCAGGTTTTTTAACACAGGACGTGGGCGATAGGAGGATGAAAAAACTATAATTTTAGGATGGATACCGGCCGATTTCCTAAATGAGCGCCGGAGGCGCAAGCTTCCCCCGGGGCATGCTCTGGCAGGAAATTGTTGGTTTTTACATGACGTCACTAAAATTCAAACTACAAAACTATCGATCCTACTGAAGTTTTACTTTCATGATGTATTAGAGCGGCTGAAAACTATTTTCATAACAAATTTCGCTTCGAAAGGGTTATTGGTTTTGTGGTAAACTACGATGAATTTCTAAGCTTTTGCGTGAAGCAGCATTTACATGACGGCCGAGAGAGCTGTAATGTAGGTTAAAAAAGTGACTTATTCCGGAGAATTTTGCTATCTAAACAGTTCATGAATTAGAAAAACTGTTACTTTAATGTTTGTGAGTTCCTCGAGGAATTAATTCACGCTTTTGTAGCAAAACTCGGTAACAAATGTTTCATGTGGTCCGTCCGCCATGTTGGTGCCCAAACAGGTGGGCACCAGCATGGCGTCTCCATAATTGAGTAAAACATTTCTTCGGATTTCTCGTATACGAAATATTCCTCTGACCTGAATCTTGGCCAGGGTCTTTGTATATGTACCTCCTTTCATTTCCCAGATTCTGGACTTTATCTATTGAACAGTTTTGATTTTTATTTTGATCTATTTTGAATGTCGTGACACTGAAAACCAGCAGTTTTTGGATTTTAACTCCTGAAAGTCCCCTTTCCTGGGTTTCCGAGTCATTCAGAAATTGTTTTTTTATTATTTTATTATTTTAATTTTTTATTCTGACCGATTTCCGTAAAACGGTGGAAGCCGGGGTGGATCCGCGCCTGGAAAACATGTTAAATTCACGAAAAAACGGGGACATATTATCATCGTAGTTTTCATATGTCGGGAAAACCCCAGACGATCGGGGATTTGACTGTTTCCCGACTGCCTCAGATTTCGCCGACTAATTAATGAAACTCGAAATCGAAGATATCCCCGATCATTCCCGACAAATGAAAACTCAAATTTGTACCGTCGGGTACGTCGGCGATGGATTTCGCTCATTCGGCATTCCTAGGAGGTACAGGAGGCTCTGGGGACGAAAGTAACTAATTTCCGCCCAGTTAATTCCTTTCGTTTTCTTTCATTGCTCAGATTGCGGAACTCAAAGTCTGGTGCAAAGCTAGCTTTGTCCTTTTTCTTTAATTTACGAGGTAAGTTTTGTAGTTCTCAACCTTTCAATCACACACTACTACTGATTAACTGATATTTAATCGTGCTGTAGTTAATGTCAGAGATGTAAGGGAACTCATGCTTGTTGTTGGGACCGCCAAGGAAAGTCACAGCACTAGTTGACGTGGTACTTCTGTACTTCCTTCTGGTATATTATCTGCGAAGCCTTCGAACCTAAGGTTGCCATTATTTTGCACGTTTAAATTTGAGCAACTACTCCTGTTTTAAAGGGGGTTCTGTTTTATAGCTTTTGAACGCAAGAAATTGTTTCTAAAAGGGGCTTTCTTCATCTGCATGCTGATGAAAATGAACTCAACGTTATGTACTCTTTGAGGGCAAACCCGTGGTGGGGTTGTAGTCTATATAAAAGAAAAACGAAAACCCGCTCAAACCGTAAAAGCGCAATAGATTTTGGTCAAAATCGAAACCGAAGGACATATTACGGAAGACACAATCCAGAATTTAACTGCGTGACCTACCATGACAATGAGCTACTTAAAACAAATTTAACTGTTGTGAAAGTGACCTCCCCGTCTGATTTACTGTGTAAACTACGAATGAAATATTCTAGCTCGTGTATCCTAGAGAACAGGCGTTATTTTTCTTGGGCGTTGATAAAACCCTGAAAACTGAACATTCCGGAACATGCCGGAACATGCCGGAACATGAAAAACTAAAAGTAAGCTCTTCACCTAAGCTCTTGACCGGCTTACGGTCGCAAAGCCGTAAATGGATAACCGGTAAACCGCATGTCAATTACAAGGCTGGGGTGGCTGAGTGAGGAAAGGTTGAAGTGAATCCCCCTCTTCGCGACCCATTGGAATATATTTTGAATTTAGAAGTAAACCTTCACTCATTATTGTCATTTGCATGGACCCTCGCCCCACAAATTATTTGCGACAAAATATTGTTTTCTCGTACCCGGAGATGATACGACTTTCTTTTTCTTTATTTCTTTCTTTTTCGGTTTTTTGTTTTTTTACGTTATTATTAGTTTTTACAAAAATTATTTTATTATTATTATTATTATTATTATTATTATTATATATTTTTTCATGAAAATTATTCTTATTGCATCTTCGGAAATGTTCCGTGTTCCGGGTTTTATCGACGCCCATTTTTTCTCGCATTTTTCATGCGGGAGAAGGCAAGCCCTTCCCTTCTCTCGCCCGGCTGAAAAATTCGAAAAAATAACGGGTGTTCTGCGGGCTACAAATCGTGCCTAATGCAAGTTCACCGCAAACTTGATCTTTAGTTGTGTATATAAGATCGGTGTTTACTATTTACAGCTGTTACATTCAATTTCAATTCACGCTCGCTACTAGACAAACTAAATGGAAAATTTAGACCCCACCTCCCCCCGCCCCAAATCAAAGTTGGAAAATGGCGCGTTTTGTCCTTTGCGCGGCTTCATCCTTGAATTTAAGGGGTGGGGGAATGGGGGTTTGCTGCTCCATTTTATTCTATCCAAGATTGTAGTATTACTTTCATGACATTTATTAAAATGAACCCCTAGATAACGTTCCCTTAACTGAAAAGAACACCCCAAAACCAATTAAGGTTTATAAAATGACACTCCCAGGGCCTTCTGATAGGTAATAAACGACCAGCCTCTCAGTTCGGCGAAGGTTACTCATGGCAACGTTTCTGCATTGTTTCTTGCAAAACATTACCTCTTTCGAGCGGTTTGAGAAAACAAAGGACCAGGGACATTTGTTAAAAGAGTGAGTGTTAAAAGATTCCTGGAAAAATCTAGGAAGTAGCAAATTTGGTGGGATAAAGTCCAGTCTTCAGTTTGCGCATTATTTATAATCTTCGCGTAGAAATTCCAAATATCTTGAGATTCCTCCAATCTATTTCTGCGAAGTCGCACAAGTCGTTATAGGTCAGCAAAGTTAACCGCAATTTTGCGTTCCGTGTGTGTTCCCTTTATTAACAGCTGTATTAATATGTATAGGGTTCGAGAAGACACCTCGCGTTGCCAGGTGATCGCTCCTCTTAGTCCTACGTTTTTCAGAGAAGTTCATACTGGGCTAAAGTTATACCTCCCGCGCAAACCTATAGGCAAAGTTTATTGTTTCTACTGTGGCTTAGGGAAGTGGAAGGCAAAAATTAACAGAAGAAAAGAAAGGACTCGTCACTGATTACGTTCTGGAGGAACGCACTTTTTCTCTACGTTATAATAATGGGTGACGTCATGGACTCGACCCTTGTACAGCGAACGCACAGGGAACGCAAAATTGTGGTTAACTTTGGTGACCTATAACTACTCGCGCAGCAGAAGGCAAGCACCCAAAATTCATAGAACGCAGAGTGGAGCATTTGCAGAGAAAACGCGAACAAGGGCTGCAATTCGATTAAGAGCTGATCAATTGTGACGTCATTGTCGCGTGATAATCATTGTGATAGCAAAAAAATAATATCAGTCTATTTGTAATCCATGTGTTATAAAAGATTTTCAATAAATACCAACCTATTTAGGTTTAAGAGGCCCAAAGATGGAAAATATGCCTACAAAAATACTGGGTCGAGCCACCTTTAATAACGGTTAACAGGATCGACTCCTGTGGTTAACAATCAGTACCCGTTCCTGTAAGAGAGCCCGGTAAATAGCACGGTATTCGGCGGGCCGAATGCCAGGGAAAAGAGGCCTCTGCTAGCAGGGAACAATAGCACATTCCTCTCCTGCATAAAGGAATGGATATTCACACGCAGTGAGAGAATAGGTCTTTTGCATTAGTTGATCAATTCATTTCAATTCAATTCAATTTTATTATTTACACTTTATAAAATATTAACATTATATATAATAAGGTAAGAATACACTAATAAAGTAGAAGAAGAAGGGAAAAAAAAGAAAATTAATGGCTTGGGTAGAAGTGTATGGTGGTCAAAGGAGCTCATCTTTCGAGCGAACCACCGCTATATTATGATTGGAAATACATAATAAACATGCGCTTGGTGCCATGGCAACTATGGACGATTATGCCAGCAGTCAGGTTATGTGAGACAGTCGTATTACAATTGTTATCTTTGGGAGTTAACTAGAATTCGCTTATATTCTTTTTTGATCTTATTGATCACGTGATCAACTTTCGGTAAACACGAAAAAAGTTCGCTCAGTCAAAAAATTTCGGACGGTCGAGCTGAAAGAGCATATTATAAAAATTAGGTAACCTGTACATTTTCAGCCGTATATCTCAAAAGTAGCGATTGCAACGGCCGCCGAAAATTAGAAGGATTTGTATGAGAATAACAACTCTTGTCTTCCATGCAACTCCTTCTAAATTCTGAAAATTTTAAACTGTCGTTAAATCTTTCCCTTTCGCATTTAGGGACCATTCATTATTTATGCCGGGGGTGGGCTGGTAAGATCCATCAGAAAGCACAACAAAACGTTTTGACCCCTTCCAAGTAAAACCAGGAGTCGATGAACGGCTCCTGTCCTGGAAAACTAAAAAAGGCATTACTCCTCTAAATGTTCTTTTAAAAACTGGCTCTCTCCTGTGCTGGAACTGTAATAAATAGACAGGGAACATATCACAAACGGTTTTTTGGATTCAGACAACGAAGTATTATCCTTGAGTCTTCAGGAATATGCAGAAATGGAAGAGAAGCGAATGCGAAAAAAATGCTTGAAAAGTGGCCAATGACTGTAGCCGCAAGGATCGATGACACGCCTGTTCTATTCAAATTTTTTTTGTACCAGAAAAACCAAGTGAGAGTTGTTTTTCATTCCAGAGTAAAGAGTATTGGTAAAAAATAAAGCGTTGGTAAAAAACGAACAAGGCTTATAGAACATAAAAAAGTACAGATTTCCGTGAAGCTCACTTCCAGCGAGTGGCAGCCCTCTACAGAATGTAAGTCAGACACCGGGGTAGATTAACTGGGAGACTCTATTTCCCGCTGGTGAAATCCAGCAGATAAAGGAAAACAACGGATGAAGCTTGACCTGGTTGTTGATCATTGCAGTAGTGAGAACTCCTCAGGGACCAAAACTAACGAGGAAGACCTCTGGACGTAGTCTTGGAACATATCATTTCGTAGAAAGTGTGACTGTTTTCTTTATTAGCTTTAAACTGCCAGTTATGAATTGTTAGCCTTTAGGAAGCTTGCAAACCATATACCGTTAGTCCCGAGAGCACTGTAAGTATTTGTTTGAAAAAAAAAAGACAAAAAAAAAAAATCAGGTAGCCCCCCCTCTTTGTGTGCAGATTTCTTGACCCCCCCCAATGACTGTCCTGAATTTAACGTGGCCCACCCCTCATTCTTGCCAGCTCACCTCCTAGCATAAATAATGAATGGTCCCTAAAGAGCTCAAAGCGCCTATTATGAATTAAAAGGAGATTTGAGCCCCGTAATGCTAAAGGAAATATTTCATGACAGTTTGAAAATTTCGGAATTTACAAGGATTTGTACCGAAAACCATTTAAGCGTGGCTGGTTGGCAAAAGTTGTTTTTCTCATACAAATCCTTCTTATTCTGGGCGGCCGTTGCAATCGCTACTTTTGAGATATACGGCTGAAAATTTACAGGTTACCTAATTGCGTTCGACGAAGGAAAACGCTTACTATTTGTGTACCGTAGATGAAGTAGTATAGCGTTCTGTATGCCATGCGATTTCACGGTTTGGACGCCATCTTGGACCGGCCTGGCACATTTTGCCTCGCTCTCATGAGTTCAGTTTTTCTAACCCGGGAGCTGGTATCTATTTTGTGACACTCGTTCACAGATGAAACGTTGGCGATTTTCTGTTTACTACAGGTTTGTTTATAGTTCAATTATAAGTTTTTTATATAGGAAAATTTCCATTCTAAGATAATCGGATATGTAGGTATTATGTTAACCGTGCGTTCTGCACATTGTATTTTTATGGATTCAAGCAAGATCAGCTTAGATTCTATTACAAATTACATCTTTTCTCTTTTAAAAGCTATTTACAGCATTGTATTTGCTTTTGTTTGTCACCATTTTTGAAAAATATACAAGAAGATGAACAGTGAAACGATGATCTTTTCATCTCACTAATTCCGGGTGCGTTGAATGAGGTGAGTCGTGTTAGCCTAGTGTCACGCAACAAGGGTTTAAAGTGACACTCGACGCTTAAACTTTTCAGATAACTTTAATTTTTCTGTTTCCCAATTTTTAGCCATTTTTATTGACCATCCTAGAGTGCAAAGGAATATCCTGAGGATCATAGTCAGTGTTCGACCCGTTGTTACAGACATGTACTTTACGTAGAGGTTTAGCCAAATAAATGTAAAAAGTACGGTACGCTCAGGAGTACGCTCTTGCATTTTTGAGGAAAAATGAAATAGTAACAAATTGTAAAGTGGGAGGATAAACAATAACACTGATAAAGACAGCTGCTGGTATTCGTATTGATAAAAGTGTTTGATTTTGATTTCTCAATATTACAAGCCCATCAGGTTTTGCACCCCACTCCCACTACCACTCACTACCCACCACCCCACCCCTCCCCTCTCCATCGAACGCACTCCCGTAATTTGCAATTATTACTAGTTCAGCTCGTGCTTTAAAAGCGAACTGTTTTCGTGTTTACCGAAAGTTGATCACGTGACCAAGTAATGCAAAAGGCCTACTGCAATGACAATTAAGCGGAGAGAGCTTTACATTCACATTTTGGGAGAGAAAACACTTATGAAACGGTTTAAACTTAAACATAAAGTGAAGGGAAACATCCTGAATGCTACTCATCCCATCATCTTTTGAGGATGGCATTGAAAAGAGCGCCACACGATAGCTTCAGAGACATTCTCATTCAATAGATGCGAACACCGACCGAAGATAAAGGGAATTCGCAATCATGTTTTGGAAAAGAAGGCGCTTTCTTTTGTGAAAGAAAGAAAGTGCTTTCTTTTGGAAAAGAAAGCACTTATCACCGTTTCGAGGCTCTCAGGGATATTTCGAAGACTTTTCATAAGGCGTACACAATTTTTTAAGTGGGAAGCGTATCGGAAGCCATATTGGAAGTGCCTCGTCAAATATTCAGCACATTTTGTGGCTTATTTCTTCTTTTAAACAACGCGATGTAGGCGAGATTTTGGTCGGTTTGCAAGGTAGATGAACAAGTATCTATTATTTTTTGTAGTCGAGGATTTTTGACGAAGTTCTAGATATTTTTCCTCGATTGTCATTTCGATTAACTTTTATCATGTTGAATGTGGGAATGGTAGACAACCTAGAATTTTGGTAGACAATTTTTTAATTCCGAGGTCCAAAACACGTGTTCCGCTTTCGGGTTTCACGCAGACATGGCAGAGCCTGGCCTGCGAGAGCATTCGCTTTTTTCGGCTCCAATTACTAGTTTCACCCGCCGAGAAAAACCGACGACCGGAAATACGTCTGCGGTTCGCAGGCTAGGCAGAGCCGTGTTATTACTCTTGTTTTGCCCATTAATACGAGCCTCTGCTTTTTTTATTTTCAACGTAAACGTTTAGTCTTATGGATACTCACGTTCAACATCTCAGCTCACTTTGCCGAATTTAAAGATCATAAGCGCAAGATAGATACTAACCGCCTTGTTTTTGAAATTCACCAAATGTGGAAAGATTTATTACTGTTGGATTCTCCAAATTCTCACCCACAGATAAAAAAAAATCAAAGAAAGAAGGCAAATTTTAACTGTAAATGATGTATTTCGCAACTCATTAAACACTGATAATCTGAGTTAAAATTAAAACCTTGCTGGTACTACAGTAAGCAAAGAAAGCACCAGATGCGTGAAGTCAACACGAAACAACACAAAAAAAACCAAACAAACAAGAAAAATGAATAAATTTGAACGACTTTTTATTCTTGTTATGATGACTGGCCTCTTTGATTCTTGTCCTTGGCTGTAGGTGGTACCACTCCTGTTTTGTACGATCTCAACAAAATTTTCATACACTGACTCTCTACGGCTATTTTTACACGGGGACAATTTGCTTCTATCAAAAATCTTGCAAGCCATGCCAGTCCAGTGAAGCCACGACCTCTGCGATCGGTCTGGAATATTCGAACATCCCCAAAATTCCTTGCAATGAATAATACTCTTATTCTCTTACATCAAATGTTTTCTTTGAAATAATATGAAACCTATTCGAGTACTGTAAGCTGATGTTAAAATCTGTCCGCCTCCGTCCGCTACTGTCGGAAAAATTTTTGGTAACTGCGGTTGATGTTTTTATTTCGCCCTGTCCTTAAATTTAGGGATATTCCGGACGGGTAAACGTATCGAGGTCCGATCTCGAAATGTATTTGCCGATTGTTGGGAAAGTATTTACTTTATCTTGCCTTATCGTGTAGCAAAGAACTAGAATAAATTTACTTTTGCGGTAAACAAGTCATCATAAAGCTAAATATTTTCCATTTATTATTTTTCCCATATAAACCCTGAAAACGCTACGCAGATGTATTAATTTTTAACATGCATTCACATATCGAGTTTTGGACACCTATATGATGCAAATCCCTTCGACTTCATGCCAAAACCGAGAATTTCATAATTTAAGTTAAACGCGAACTAAACACCCATTGCGGCGAACATTATTTTTAAACAGTTCAGCTATGAAGTAATCGGCAATAAAGACATGACTTTGGGCGTAATTATAATCTTGATTATAGTTCTGAATATATAACAGTTTTTGTTTTTCGGCCAAAGTAGCCATTATAAAAACTAAGAGTGCAACCATTGCTTTTGTCTCTTCTCCTCCTTTCTTCCTCTTCGTTCTTTCTTTTTCTCCTTTCCTTTTCCTTCGTTACTATGATTTTGGAGCTTATCGGGCCGAAAAAACCTGCCTTTTGAGGCCTTTTCAAGCATATGACTGCAAATTTCGTTAAGTTGGTTTTCAAAAAATCGGCTAGATATAGATTGGCCCTTTCTCCTATAATTCCCAGTATCAGGACCAACTCCTTCCCTTTCACTCAGTACATGTACCGCCACTAGATCCCAAGGAGAATGCATGGATAATGGGGAGCTTGAGAAACCACGACGACGGCGACATTGTCAAAAAACAATTGGTTTTTATGAACAAAACAACAGCTCTGCACGTGCATCACGTTTTTTAGTACATTTTTTTATGTCCACTGCACGACTACGACCTAAAACCATCTAATGCGACTTTTTATACAGGACGCAAACATACGACGACGGATTTTCCTTTCTCTTTTCGAACCTGGATAAAGTCCTTTAAGCAGTTCAACTCCGATGAAAATCACATACATTTGACAATGTGGAATGATCCAAATAGATGCGATAAAATTTGAAAGAACGCAAATTCGTTTTTTGGCGACGTGTTTACTGCCGTCCTCGTCGTCGTTGTTTTAGCTCAATAATATTGTCTGCGCATGCCCAAGATAAACCAATCACGGGAGTCTGCTTTTGTGTATTTACAGGCGTCTCAAGCATGGCCTACAGTGGTGAAGTCTTAAGGTACAACAGTTATGGTGGGAAATATGAAGTTCCAAGGAAACTTGTATCCTCCCTCGACGAACTTGAAAGCGGAGATCATATCGCCTTTCATCGGACTGGTGGTCGTTACTGGCATCACGCTATAGTAGAAGATGTTAACAAAAGAAGCAGCGAATTTTGTCTTATCGAGTATTCTAACGATGCTTCAGGGTTTTTGATGGATAACTTCTGCTCTCCGAGGAATCCAGGAATAGCTAAGGTGGTGAGAAAAACTTATCAATTCAGCAAAGGTACCATGGTATACCTGATGCTACACGAATGTTGCTATCCAGCTGATACTGTCGTAGAGAATGCGCGAAGTAAGATTGGGGAAAATAAGTACAGCCCTTTTACCAATAACTGCGAACACTTTGCCATGTGGTGTAAAACAGGAACATCATCTTCCGACCAAGTTAACAAGGCTGCTCAAATGGTCGGTAAAGAAATCGGGCAAGAGGTTGCAGGCAGAGCAGCTCGAGCAACGGCAGAACACGTCGGACGAACTGTTTCAAATGTTGTAACCCGTGCTGCAAACGAAATTCCGATTGCATATAATCATGTAACTGAAGGAATTGTAGGAGCAGCTACAAATCTTCACAAAGCTGGTGGTGAGTTATTCGCAAACTTGCCACCGCTGCGTCTTCCTTCAGGAGGTGAAATGGCTGCAAATCTTCCCACAATGAAAATTGGGAGCAGAATTGTAGGAGCAGCTACAAATCTTCAGAAAGCTGGTGGTGCGTTATTCGCAAAAATGCCACCGCTGCGTCTGCCCACAGGAGGTGGACTACCGCCACTTTTGTCCTCAGGAGCTGGAAGGGCTGCAAAACTTATATCCCGAGGTGGACAAGCGATCACGAGAACTGGGATTGGAGGAGTTCTTGCTGCAGGAGCACTTCCAGCGATTGTTGAGGGTATGTCAATGAATAATGATCTTAATAATCTACGAAGAGATCGGGATGAAGAAAGAATAGACGGAAAAGAATATGACAAAACTGTTACGAAACGAATTGTGACTGGCGCAGGTTACATAACGGGAGCTACTGCAGGAACCCTTATCGGGCAAGCGTTCATTCCTGTTCCAGTTGTGGGAGCCGCTGTAGGAGGCGTGGTTGGTGGCATAGCAGGACGATATTTTGGAAATATTGGGGGAAATCTAGCTGTCGACAAAAAAGATGGTGATGGTGCTAATTATGCAGAGAACAGTAAAGAGGACAGCGAAGAAGACCTTGGAGGTGGTGGCCAGTATTACTGCGATGGTGGTCCTGACTACGTCGAGGAGAGTGACGAAGAGAATGAAGACGTCCTTGGAGATGCTGGTTATTACAGTCTCTGTGGTAGGGCTGATTATGCCGACAACGATGACGTCGAAGACGAAGAGGACAACTTCCCTGAAAAAGATGGTGGTGCTGACGACTACGTCGGGGAGAGTGACGAAGACAACGAAGAGGGCCTTGGAGGTGGTGGTTATTACAGTCACTTTAGTAGGGCTGATTATGCCGACAGCAATTACGTCGAAGACAACGAAGACGAAGAAGTGTTGCAGGCTGATTCTGCCGATGAGAGTGACAAAGACAGCGAAGACGACCTTGGTAAGTCGGCTGTGCATGCATCTTCCTGTGCGAAGAAAAGCGGTTGCACCAAACGGTTGATGACACACAGGCTTAAGACTGTATCATTGAATAATTATGCTGTTATGTTAATTATGTTAATTATGTTGTTGACCGTTTTTACACGAGTCGTAAGTTAAAGTTAATTAAGAACGTTTAACAAGGTTTCATACGAGAGCGCGAATTTGCAAGGTTCAGTTCAGTTCAGTTCAGTTTATTTAGCCAAAAATAAATTACAAAAGAAGAATACATATTAGAATTGTAAGTTGGCAAGGGAGCCCTGAAGAAACCAGAAAATGCTTATGAAGCCTGGGCTCCTCAGTCACATAGAAATAAGCACAGTGAAAATTCGCGGACAGAAATGCTTTAAAAATACATGTAGTAAGAAAAACTAAACAAAGACTAATTTAAGTTAAGAATTCAATAACAGGAAAGAAGAAAGTTTTAAACCCTGGATTGGAAAGAATATAAGGAATGGGCATCACAAATGAAAGCATTCAGCTTATTAAAGAAAACAGGACCTTGATAAAAAAAAAAAGAAAACTTTCTTATGTTGGTACGGCGGAAAGGAATATAAAATTTTTTTGAACTACGCGTGTTGTAACCATGAACTTGATTAGTACTTAAAATGGATCTGGAAAAACTGGAAGGAACTGAGTTATTTTTTAAAAGAAGACATAAATTTCCCGAGATGCAGAGAATAGATGTCTTCTATTTCAAGGATCATAAGACTCTTAAATAGTGGATTAGTGTGAGCGTCGAAGCTCTTCTTGCTGATAATTCTAATAATGCGCTTTTGCAACAAGACTAGGCGCCTAAGGTGGGTAGGGTATGTCGAGCCCCACACTAAAATGCAATAGTGAAGATAAGAATAAACAACTGAATAGTATAAAGTAAACAAAGTAGTCGTAGTAAGGCAAAAACTGGATTTACGAGTAACGCCCACAGACTTGGAGACTGCGCTCGCAACCTGAGAAATATGGGTTTCCACGACAGTGTCTCATCTAGAATAACACCAAGAAAATTAACTTCCTTAACTTGGTTCATCTTAAAACCATCCATCTCAATACTTAGGGTGAGTTCATCTCTTCTCTGTCTGGGTTTAAAAATTATGCAATTTGACTTTTGCATATTAAGAGAGAGCTTGTTAGCTTTGAACCAATCAGATAACTTGATCGTTTCAGAATTAACCAAGTTCTTTAAAGTAGTAGTAAGAGTCAAAATTAGAAAAGAATAAGTTTGTATCATCAGCAAATGAAACCAGATCATATATATTTGAAATCTGACACAAATCATTGATATAAATTAAGACGAATAAGGGACCGAGGACAGAACCCTGGGGAACACCACACGAAATTTCATGAAATGAAGACGATATACCGTTAAATTCTACGTATTGATGCCTATTATAAAGGTAGCATTTAATCCACTCTAGGGCAATATCGCCAATCCCAAAGTGCTCGAGCTTATCGAGTAGAATACGATGGTTAACGGTAACAAAAGCTTTAGATATAAGTCAACAAAAATTCCTAGGGTATGTTTCCTCTCATCAATAGCTGAAGTGATCTTGTCATGCAGGTATAATAAGGCTAACGAAGTTGACTGTTTCTTTCTAAAACCATATTGATTATTGCATAAAATCTCATACTTATCAAAAAAGCGAATTAAGCGATTATAGACAACTTTTTCTAGAAACTTTGAAAAGACTGGTAAGAGTGATACAGGTCTAAAATTAGAAAGTAAACTTTTATCGCCAGACTTATATATATAAAGAAACCACACGAGCCAATTTCATTTGAGCAGGGATAATAACTGAGTTAATTGATAGATTCAAAACGTATGTCAAAGGCTCAGAAATATAGTTAATAGACTCTTCAACAGACCACATAGGTATCTTATCATGGCCAGCCGCAGTATTAAGACGGAGAGAATTAGCTGTTTCAACAATTTCAGATTGCGTAGTAGATTCAAGGAAAAAAGAATTATGTAAGCGATCTGGAAGAAAAGACTTATGTGTTCTAATTGAACTGGGTATTTTTTTAGCGAGTGTAGGCTCGAGATTGTTAATAGAGTTGCAAAACTGATTAGCTATTAGACTGGGATCTGAAATCTCCAGATTATTGATGGTGAATGTGGAGGGTAATTTACTAGAACGATGATTTTTATTTATTATCTGATTTAGAATCTTCCAGGTACCTTTGGCATTCTTTTTCAACGATTCAAGTTTTTCTTCATAGTAGAGAGATTTAGCTAGACGTGGAGGGTGGTGCGATTTGTTCCTGTATTTTTTGTAATTTTCCTCATTTGTTGGAGTAGGAAAGTTTAAGAATTTTTTATACAATTTATACTTCTTCTTAATGGATTTTAGCAGGCCCGCTGACAGCTACGGTCTTTTAAACGCATGCTTTGATGCCTTCACTTTTTAAGGGAAAGGAGGAATTGTAAATATCAAAGTATTTGCTAAGAAAACTATCATAAGCAATATTTGCATCGTTCTCATTATAAACACTTTGCTAATCAGTATTCTTTAAGGAATCATGGAAAGTTCAAAACAGTTGCACTGTATTACCGAGACAGTTAAAGCATAAGGCCATCTTCTTTTTTTTTTCCGTTTAGCGTCGTCCGACCGACCCAAATCTTTGGCATTTTCAAAACAAAAAAAAAAGTAACGAGGCAGTTAAACCATTTTTCACTTGAGATAATTCTTTTAATCTGAAAATGAGCATAGTAACAGCATAGAGAAAAACAGGAACAAAAACATTAACATTTTTTTACAGTATATTATGCATTTTGTTAATCCAAATATGTGAATGTTAACATTTAACGTCGTCCTGAGGTACCAGGGCCTCCTATTTTGAGACTTCTTGTGAATTTTTTTTTTGTTTGTTTTTTTTCAATCCGACCGACCGACCCAATATCAGGAAACGCATTCGATGCTAAACGGAAAAAAGGGGAGGGCCTAATAATGAACAACATAAGCAAAAGCGATGCATGTAGAACAGAATCGATCAACGACGGGTCGACGAGAGATGAGCAGGTTAAAAGAAATATATCCGTAGTGTCTCGATCAATCCGTGCTCATCATTTGCTAAAAGAAACTTTAGTGTGAATACTAAGCTATATTAATACGTCGAACGTTGTACAAAATAAATAAAGAAAATAAAAAGATAAGAAAAAAGAGGGGCTTTTATCTCCTGTGTTGGCGTGAAAGAAGGAAAATAACTTTTCTGTGGTCTTAAAAATTCTACCCGCTTATTAATAGGGACACTTTCTATGGCCTCCTAAATGTCCGTAGTAACGGGGTTTGACTGAACATCGCTGGTGAGTCCACATTAGAATATGCACGTGCAGCGTAGGACCCCCACTGGAAATACCAAAACATCCACGATAAAGGTATCAGCTCCGTTGCTTCACATTTGACCGAATCATTAAAAACTGAACGCCCTAAGCAAAGCGCGGACGAGTCCACACGCCAACAACTTGTTGTTTGCTCTCATAAAGAACGACATTTTACAAGCAATTAGCACTTAGAGTCTTCCTCTTTGTTATTTTCCAAATTTACAACGGAAATCTTCCTTGGAGCTGAAAATCAAAGAAACCGTAAATGAAGAATGCTTCGCGCGTTTGAGAAGTTCCCTATTGTACTTTGCCTTTATAACACTTAGAGTGTTTGTCGAATGCTGGCAGAAATCTTCCACTGTCAACCTCATTTCTTTAATCATCTTTTCTTTATGAATCGATACACCTGTATGAAGTTTCAGGGACAAGCAACAGCTGAAGCAAGCTCTCCTATTTGGGCGAGCGGCGAAGCCGCGAGGAGCCAAGGAGAGGAGAGCTTGCAACGATCTCTCATAAATTTTCATTTGTCATTCGCCCAGACAAATGGAATACCATTGGCTGAATAAAGGACGTTCCAGAAATCAAACTTGATTGATAGCAGTCCTGGATGGCATCCCCTAAATTTTCGCGAGAAACGTAGAAACACGATGCTCTTATCTCTAAAACCCGTGTAATGTAGGCGATCGCTGAACTCACTCCGAAAAGAAGACCGGCAGATAGACTACGAGCAGTCTCTTATTTTTCTTTGCAAAGTTACTGGACGAGAAACCCAGGCACGTGACGAGAGAAAAGGCAGACTGCAAGCAGTCTAACCGGCAGAGGAAGAAAATCGCTTTCTTCTTCTGTGGGAGATAACTGTCGTCTGTATGTCAAAATTGGTTCTCAGGGGGATCAGATATGAATCGAGAACTTGTTTCACCCCTCAAAGCAGGCGTTTGATGTGATCCTCGCATTTGAAAGCTGTACGTGTGAAAGTGTTGGATTGCCAGTAGAATATCCCAAGGACGAAGATAAGTCGGATCGAATTTTTAGTTGTTGTGAAAGGAAAATCAAAACCCTTCATCAGTTGTGTTCCTTTGTGTCAAGCGCCTTGTTTATTTCTGAAAAGGAGAAGGATGAAAGTGCCAACGTCGGTTTCTTCGCCCGATTGAATTCCACTGGGAAGAAAAATTCAGAAACATGTACATGACGGTGTAGCTGTGAAGCTTGACCGTCAAGAAGGACAAGAGAAAGAGTAGGAAGTAGCTGGAGTAAAACGTAAGAGAACCAAGTCCAGAAAAACGCTGTTCTCCAGTTCCGAAAAGGACAAACATATGATGTTGGTGATTGCCTCGGGGACCTTAGTCTTGTGATTGTATTGAGTTGTTATCCTAGCAGACACGTTGAAGTTCGATGTCCCGTGGTTAAAAAACATAATCAGTGATCAAAAACATCTGTGGCAAAAGCGATTTTAAATAAATAAATTCTACGCGCCCTCGGCTGTCTAAACTTGACAGGCGCTTGTCGCTTTACTAATCTGCGGCACGTTCGCGGTGACAGTTTTCACGCTTTGCAGTGTCCCGGGGTTTCTGGGGTGGAAATGAAAGTTTGTGAGTGATCGTTGCAAACTCTCCTTTCTCTCCCCCGGCCCCCGCTTTCGCGTCTCCTCTCGCGTGTCTCTTTCACGTCTACTTTTCACGATATCCCCCAAGTGGACAGCTTGCTCGCAGGCTATATAAAGTACTTCAATCTACCATAATGAGGTTATTCAAAGGAGAGTCACGAGTTTATCGATTGTAAATCGCAAGAAGTGGTGATGGTAATGATGATGATAATGACGATGACAGAGGGGAAGCCCAAGGGTGCGATCCATTCAACCAAAATTCAGACCGGTCCGAACGGAAAAAGTGGTCCACCTCAAATGGTGGACCAGTTTTTTCGAAACTTTTCTGGTTAGACCAAACCGATCCATTGAGTTTTGGACCGAAATTTCCGGAAATTTTGGTTGAATGGATCGCGCCCCAAGACTAAGCGAAATTTCGTATACCTATGATCCATCGATTTATGACATCACATCCGATTGCAGAGTTGCTGCTCTGTTTTGGCGCGAAGCACCAAAATGGATGCCCGATGCTATTTGGTTTCAATACCGAGAATGTTGAAAAGGTAAAAAGCTGACTTTTCCAGCAAATGTCATGACTAAACAGAGAAGACTTTAGTATGATAAATATCATGCAGTTGCGGGGAATGTTATGGCGAGTCTTGCGATGTTACAAAACGAGTGTAGTCATCAATCAAAATAGCCTTTCCTGAGCGGAATAGAATGGAGAAAACGTCGATGGCCACAGTTTAAAGTGTTCACCGCTGGAAGGCTTTATCACTCCCCGTAAAGTTGAAGAAACTTCCACTCAGCTGCATGGGTTTGAGGAATGTCATGGCTAGTCGTTCGCCGTTTCTAATCGAGCGTCACTCAAGATTTTGGTTTTTGCGGCTTCTGAAGTCACCAATCAAAATTGCCTATCCTGAGCGGAGTGGAATGGGGAAAACGCCAATGGTCACAGTTTTTAAAAATTGTCAGCTGCTTGAAGGCTTTCTCACTCGACGTTAAGTTGCTGAAAGCTCTACTCAACTGTCCTGTTTGAGCAATGTCACAGCGAGTCTTTCGCTGTTTCAAAACGAGTGTCCGCTCAAGATGTTGGCTGTTGTAGCTTCTGATTTACCGATATTGTCAATCAAAATAGCCTATCCTGAGCGGAATAGAATGGAGAAAACGCTGATGGTCACAGTTTAAAGTGTTAAGTGCTGGAAGGCTTTATCACTCGACGTAAAGTTGCTAAAAGCTCGTCTCAACTGGACGGCTTGAGCAATGTAATATAGAGTCTTTCTCTGTGTCTAATCGAGCGTTCCCTGCTAGCAGAGGTCTCTCCCCTTCCTCTCATTTTTGCGTCGTCGTGAGAGACCTGCTAGCAGGGAACGGATTAAAGCAGCGTAAGAATTTAAAGACATGCAGCCGACATTACACGCTTCCTAGTTTGTATCCCATAATAGTTCATATAACTTTCCCGGTATGCAGTACGTCAACAATAGATCTGGGTACGAGATTGGAAGTGTGAGAAGTCATCATGCGAGATTAAGTTTAATATACACTGAATTGAAAACATGAAGTTTATTTTTATAAAAAAATGTAAATGTCGTTTCTACTTTCATCGATGAGCTGCAGGAAACATGAGCTTTAGTACTCCATCGAAATCTAAGCGCCTTTTCATTGTTTAATTGTTTTATTTCTTTAAGCAAAAATTCAAAATGGCTGCTGTTATACGCAAGTATTTTAAAAGACTTAGTCTTGTAAATCGGTGGAATCCGTTAACGAGTACAGAGAGTAAAAAACATGGACACAGAGTAACAGAAATAAAGATGTGATGACTTGTTGATTAAAGTCTTACTAGGCCGTGTTTGAGACTAAGTAGGTGCTCTGTCTCATAGCACTATGATGCTGTTTTGGGACAGGAGTTTTGACTCCATTTCTTGCGTGGTCAGCAGCTACGCACATTTATTGCGACAAAAGAAATTTTTTGCATAAGAAAAAAGTTCGGCTATCAGGATTGGTTTGGGACACCAACATGGCTGCCGTTTCATTGTTTTGGCGGGAACACCAATATGGTGGACCTGACGTCACGTGAAAACGGTGGGTTCTCCAAAACATTTCCACGGTGCATTTCGACAAAATACCTAACCAGTCTCAACACAACCTCAAAATGACCAGCTGCTAACTGCGATTCGAACAAACTCTTTCATAAGGGTGCATTCGATTGATTGTATTCTAGAATAAAACTATACGCAGACATCTCTGACAAATTCCTTTGAACGCGAAATTTTGGACCATTCCAATGTTACATTCATCTTAATAGCTTATTCCCACCCAAATTCTTGATTTTACCATGCATCTGAAGCCAGACAAGGTTTTTTCAGAGTTTATTCCATCTTTTCTGATTCCGGAATACTTTCAATCGAACTTCGCGTTGGCTTCGAGCATTTAGTCCACTTATTCCCGTTCCGCCTGACAAAGGGAAAGCAGATTCCGATTGTGGAATACATGACCCTGTTTACGAGGTACCAGCGGCATAGGGACAAGTTTTTCTCGTACAAAAAATTCATTACAAATAAATTATATAATTTCGTGTCATCGCATGACAAAACTATCTCCAGCTAAACATCTGAACCATCTTGATCCATAGCCGGGCGCCTGCTTCTCCTAGGAGGACTAGGTCTGCTTGACCCAGGCTGCTCTCGTCTGTTTGAAGCCGCCTGTGTATCTTTCTCCTTGGACAAGAAGTGATAAGGTTGATGGTAATCTGAGAAAAGCATCGCTTTCTCTTTCATAAGAAGATCGTCGTCGTCAATCTCGTCTTCATGCCCTTCTTCTCTAGCGCGTCTTGCTTTTTCCTGAAGAGGAAAAAAAGGTAAGTTGTGCAAAGCGTGAATGAAATATTCCAACTGAGTTCGAGTGAGCCGACAGGTGAGAGTTTATCGTTAGCCGTCGCCCAATCCCACCCCTCCCTTAACCTTCCGGTATCATCAGGCTAAGAAGAACTATACCTGTTTGTCCTGGGCCATCCTGCGTCTCCTCGCTGCTATCATTTCGTCAAACTGGCTTGAGTGACTTGATGCTGGGCTGGCCGCCCCGTCACTCTGAAAGTAAAAAGTAGCGTGCATATAATTTCTGGGCGACTAAGACGGAAGAAATAGATGCTACGAGCTCCCGAAAGAAACCCAGCCAAATTTGTATAAATTTTTCATTATCCTCATGACATGGTTCTCTCAATCTAGAGTACCAAAGGTCAAAACATCGAACGTTCTAACTGTAGAAACTAATGATCAATTAATGTTGACGGCAATGAAAACGGGACAAATCAAGGAGTTTGGATTGGCAAAACAACAATTCTGCACGTGCATCACGCTTTTTTGTACATTTCGTTGCCGTCGTTGCACGACTACAACGTGAACCTCCTAATTTCCCATTTTAATTATGGACGACGTGAACACTAGACAACAGTTTTCTTTTTCTTCTTTTGAACTCAGATACAGTCCTTTAGAATTCAACTCCAGAAAAAATTTGTCAAAATTTGACGTATTGAAAGAGAAGGAATAAGGCTACAGTGAAACGGACTTTGACAAAAACGTGCAACGTGTTTTGCAAAATTGCTGCAAAACAAGTTGAAAAATGATGTCGCGGGTTTTATCACCCATGTTAAACCTGTCTTGCAACAAATCAGGCTGCTGCAAGTTGCTTAAAAATACTGACTTCTGATTGGATAGAATTACGCGGGAGTCATGCCGTACAGGGGAGTTACTTTGTCACTTGTTGTTAATAAAGTCTGGGTCGCTCAAACTCGCAACATGGACAGATTTTGTTGTAAAAAGTCGAACTACTTTGTACTGACTTTCTACTTTCTGCAGCTATTATTCACAGCCTGCAAAAACTATTCGTGGCTGGTAAAACGTGCAACAATGCTATTCAACTCGTTTTGTAGCAATGTTGCAAAACACTGATTTGCTCTTTTTTGGTTGCCCGTTTCACCGATTAAGTCCGAAACAGCACGAACTCACTTCTTAAGTGATGTTTTCGCCGCCGTGGTGACTGGTTAAACTCTGTGTAACATACCTTAGAACTACTTGATCGAGATTTCTTGGCAGTAGATCGGGACAAAGAACGAGATCTTCTTAAACCTGTGTTGTAGATTTAACAGTAAATTGAAGAACAGAATTTGTGTATAATGCGGCCAGTAAAGTTTTATTGGTTTACGCTAGAAGGTTCACACAAGCAATGTAAAATGTAGAGGGGTATTCCTAAATCATTTTGGTGGCGTTAAGACTGTGCTACTAAATGCTCCTAAATGATTTTCCCACCTTTTTCAGAACCAACCACGACTGTTGCCGTGTAAGCCACAATGACGACACAACCTTTGCGTGAAGTCTATAAATCTTGTTCCCACCTCAGTATCGTTTTGTCGGTTATTTTCTTCGTAACAAACCACAACAGTGTTTTTCAAACTTTCAAATAAACGCGACAACTTAGTTTAATTAGTACACCAAAGGCACTGACATCTTTACCTCCCGATCGCGATCGAGGCGTACTTTCTTGATCTTGGCTCCTTCTTTTTTTCCTGTTCATTTGATAAATTAAAAAAATTTTAGCTAGTTTCGTTTGCTTTTGATTAATTTTGAACCTATTTAACACTAATATAACATGGTGGAAATCCAAGATGGCGGTCATATAAAATCATGACGTAATATTGAGTCGATGACGTCATGTAAGATTATCATTTCAAGTGGACTAGTTTAGCTTAGATATCTGTTGACATGTTATGTATTCCAAGTATCACTGTTATAGCTTCCGTATTCGTGAAATTGCGAAGGAAAGGTTTTGAATCCTGCAATCAAGCTTCTTTCGTAGGAAAATAAAGATATGTGGTTATAAACTTGAATGACATACCTCCAGTAGAAGAGTAGCAAAAGAACTACTATGATAAACAGCAGCAAGAAAAGAATCCCCAGTAAAATTCCTATCCAGCTGCGGTCTTTACTCGACCCGGCGGAAGGTACTGCGGCAGACGGATGAGGAGCCCCTACACCCTGCATTAAAAAAATGTAACTTCACTTTCCTCATACACTGTATTGGAAAAGTGGATGTTGAGGTGGACTGGGTCGATGGGTTGCCGTGTCAAAACAAGGTCAACTCCAGCCTCGTTTCTACCTGTAACTATAAAATGGACTATTGAAGCGCGAGAAAAGAGCGAAACGTCAAGCATATCATGATGCAATCTACACTGATAACTTAGATCAGTGTGGATGTAAATCGTACGCGGATGCGCTCAGGACAAAAGTTAGAAATCGAGCAACAAATCATGCTCCACATAGGTTGATAAGTTTACACTTGAGGGTGTTGTGCATATTCGCTACCAATCCGGAATATTTTGGTATCGGATTCAGATTGTGATTTTTCGTTCTCTTTTCAGAAAACCTGAAACGTGAGAGTGTCTATACTTAATAACTGTCTTGTGATCTGAAGGTAAACATAAAAAAGTACCAACCATGCCCTGCTTGCTGTTCGCAAGTACAGCAAAGTCCGTCATGTGATTACACTCACACGTGGTATGAGTGGCGTTAGAAGCTGTTAGTTTACATCCTTCCGACGACCACTTCCCGCCCTCTGCTCCATGGCTGCAAAGTTGAGAAACATCATTAAAGTGGCATCATCAGTTGCAGGTGCATGACCGCGACATTTTTATCGGGAGTTCAATTCAGATAAAAGATTCAGATTTCACTATTCTTTAACCCTGTTTAGCAGGTGTCGTAAGGGAGAGGAAAAGGGGGAATGAGGGAGTAGGGGCGAGAGAAGAAGGGGACTCGAGGGAGAGAGGGAGGAAGTGCGCGCGAAAGAGGAAGGGAGAGGGCTTTAGGGAGACGGAAAGAGGGGCGTGCGAGGGATGGAGGAGCGCGAGCGAGGAAAAATGAACGGAACCTTTCCATTTCATCCTTTCTCGCGCGTTTTTTCGTTCTTTCCCTTTCAAACCAGTGCCACGTAGACTACTGTGATGGTCCACAGTATAGGATTTTCCTTCTTTGAAGCTCGGATTTCGGCATTTCGAGGCAAAATCGGGGCGATATTTGGGATTGAAAGAAAAATAACCATCAGGATTACGGGGTTGCACTAAATTTTGGGTCTGGATTACGGGATTAAAGATTGGGAACCCTCTGCTGTCACCTTTACTAACCTTCCTTTTGAATTCCATGCCACGCACTGCTGTTCAAACCTGACCAAACTGGACTGAAACGAGAGAAAATTTTGTTACCTCTTCGCGTTTCCACTGGTATTTAAATGAGATAAATTCTTCCTACCCACATCTCAAATCAACATGCCACTCTAGTTAACTTAAAGCACATCATCATGTGCTCCGGTATTTGCGATCAAGGATTAAAGAGATGATAATTTTGTGCAAAACGTCCAGTTTCAAAATAATTTAATTGGAAATCTTTGTTTTAGTTTGTATATTGCTGTACTTACGTTTAAAACTGACAGGACAATCTTCACAGGGGGGTTGAGATTATCCACCAAGTCTGGTTGTGCTGTACTCGACAAAATCTCACTGTTTAATACCAAACCGCTAAGGAAACAAGCGTAAAAAATGGAGAGAAATAAAAACCTTCTCTAGAGCATTATTCTTTTCAATGACTCAGGCGGTGATTGATTTACAGTTCTACCCTTTGTAACCTGATCAAAATACTGTGGTTCTTTCTCGATTTCATCAGAGTGAAATCCGAACTTATCGTGAGGTTTCTTAAGGTCGAGGTTACAATCTCCATTTTCCTACCCAAAATGTTCTCTGGATCCTAGTCTCATAAAAAGTTTGTCTCAAAGCCCCCTCCCACTGGCAATAATCCCCGCTCAATTGTGACTCGCTTTTACTTCCTGCACCATGTCACCGTCACGTTTAGCGACAGCTACATGTATGTGTTGAGTTCTGATTAGTTCAGATCCGTGGCTTTGGTATTTACGACTCTTCCTCAGTTATATACACCCACCGGCTTTTCTTATGTCTGATGATGAACTAAGATTGAATTTTAATTTTATATTAACAACTCTTTTACCTGTCGTTTTCGCCGGGAAGCAGCTGAGAAACGGTTTTGAAGCGCGACGTTAATAAACGAACATTAACACTGTTTCCTATCGAAAAAAATATGTAGTCTTAGTGATCAGGGGAAATGTAAGTGTCTTGTTCTCAATATTTTTTCTTGTTCAATTATACAGGCATATCATCAAAATCAACTAAGCTTTACCAAGCATACAAGCTGAAAGAGCGTAGCCGTTACTGCCGAAGGAAAACAGGAACGAAACGAATGAAGCAAAAAATATAAGGTTTCTATGAGGTTAGTCGTTTTAATCTTATTCGGGGTCAAATCTATGTCTATTTAGCGCTCCACTGAAACACAGTCAGATTTGATCACTAGGACTTAAAATGAGAACACTTCATTATCCATTCAGAGTCCTTTGCATGGATTGGTGTTCTTTGAAATAGCACTATTAATGAAACAGTTTGGGGAACGCTGTAGCTTTTTGCATTGGCTATTCGCCACTTTGGGGTTGCGAGAGAGACCAGATCAAGATGGTTGTCAAAGCGCATTCTGGGACTGTTTTGGGGGACGAATTTGCCGCCATGTCGAAAATGTGTCGCCTAAAACAGTCCCAGAATGCACTTTGACAACCATCTCGACCCGGTCTCTCGCACAGCCTCAAAGGTTTCACGGCAAAGTGAGTCAAAATTCGTCCCACAATACAGTCCCACAGTGCAGTTTGATACGACCTTGAATGGCCAATACGTACCTAGCAAAGCCGAGTCGAATATGCTGGGTGTCAGAGTAATAGAATCCCGCCCACTGCTCCAGTTTGCCACAAGTGGGTCGGAGTAGTTGGGAAATGACATTGGTCTCGAAGGGTTCGAGTTGTCTGGGCCAAACGTATGGACTCCAAGGACTACAAAAAAAGGTTTAGAAGATCATATTGTGAAGGTACATGCTGGGTTAAGGGAATTATGAGTCATTGTTGTAATGAACCTTGAAAGCGTTCGAATCGCATTTACTGCTCTTTTATTAACAATTCTTGGTCAAGACCAAAAGCATTTCTCTCAGGCTCTGGGAACTTAACTCCAATTTCATGGAGATTCTTCGAGAAAAAATATTCTATTGTATTAAATGACCAGCAACATGGCCGCCTTGTCACGTGCCTTTGAGATGTAAAGTTTTGGTAGGCTGTCCAACTAAGGTTGAATTTTTTAGTAAAGTTGTGTATTTCTAAATTTAACATGAAAATGAAGGGGTATTTTATTGGCGCAAGTTTAAAAGCAGGACGGCAAGGGACTGGGAGCCATGCTACACAACACCCGTCCCTGTTCTACAGCCGTTTTCAACTTTTCTCGCAGAAACGTTTTAATAAATTATTTCCTAGACAAAAAAGCTTCATAATCCTTTTCTTGAGATATTTTTCACTTCAAATTTTGTCCATACTTACGGATGTTTTTTGTCACAAGAGGCTTGTTAAGTGAAATACTATTTGACGCTTTCATGAAGTATGCTTGTACCGTTCCTACGAGATCCAACACAACTGGTCCGATAAAAGAGTCGTCTTGAGACTGTATAAGAAAGAAAACTGTCATTAACGCGTGTTTGCAATTTATCAAGCATTAGAAAAATAGCCTTTAATATCACTCCCATAGTCCTGAAAAGGACTTCAAAAAGATTCAAATGATTTTAAAGAGATGCCACTTCCAAACGTCAGGAGCATTTCACGAATTTTATCTCTTACAAGCCTTATTACTTTTAAAAGGCGCAGTTTCACTTACTAGACTACTGTCTTCTTAGTAGTATAGTAGGGAAGGAATAAATCTCTTTTTTGAAGTGGAATCTCATTAGTGTGAAGTGGAATAATCAAAGCCCATGACGTCATAGCCTTTTGTTTTTGTCTCATGTATAACATGCGGAGGAATCTCATTCTCATACGTTCATGTGCTATTTTAAGGTGGTTTAACCGGTTTTACAGCTCTTTCCAAAAGGAATAAAAAAGATCGTATCACAGTAGCGTAAAGTCATTTCCAGATATGATTAAGTACTTTTGTCAATATTATCAGTAAAGTCTCTACGAGGGAGTCTGACAGTCTTGTCCTCATAGCTGCGATCCTTGAGGTCAGTCTAATGGATAGAGTGCCCTGACTGGAGTCAAGATAATGCACAAGCCCAGTAGTTTTCCTTCTTTTTTAAAACCGATGGTAATCGTCATTGTTTAAAATTTCTGAGGCTGCACAGAATGCCATGAGTCCGTGTTTTGCGGACTTCCTACTTCGGCCCTAGCCAGAGCTATATTTAGCGCTGGCCAATAGGGTCGCAGCTCTGGGGACAAGAATGGTAGTTTACATTTAGTATTTACAATTTTGATTAGCAAAGCACTGAATGTGTGTCCTTCCGGCTTACCGCTAGTTGTTCAGACTCGTCCCAGTCCCAATTGCTGCTATCTTCCAGGACATTGATGCCCTTCTTGTAAAGAGCCTCTGCGTGCTGCGCAGGCGCAAAAAGTTAGGAAAGGTTTAAAATATAATTTAAACTAGTAATAACCAAAGGTTAGAGAGTGCGGGCGACAAAACGCTCTTACTCCATTGCTATGCTTTGCGTAAGTTTTACGAGGCAGATAGTCAAAACGCGCGTGATCAAATTGCCTTCTGTGCATTCCATTCATTCTTAGTGTTAGTCCAAACGGATGCTGGCTACATACATGCGACGCATGTGTAATAACAACCTGGAGATTAGGATTGCAGGCTCCTCTTGTCGCTCGCAAATATGTCATCGATTGCATGTCAATCTCCGAGTGAGCAATGAAGATGTGTAATGAAGCTCTAACTCTAGTTTTGAGAGTGTGAGCACAATCATTCGAATTAAGCCTCTTTCGAGTTACTGATGAAAGTTAACGTTTACTTTGTGTTATTTTGATAGAAATATTATATACAAAAAAATATAAAATATATAAAAAATATAAAAAAATATATTAAATATTTTGATTTCAAACATTCTTAATAACTGGAGAGTCTAAGCGTTCAGTTTGATTACCTTTTGTGCATTAATCCATTCTTGTTTGTTTTTTAGATCCAAGAGATGGCTACTGGCATTTACAAAGGTCTGTTGTATGAGGAGAATGAAATAAAAAAAGTTAACAGACGTCACTCTGCAAATAAGCATACGGCCTATATACTAATCCCGTCTCGGCAGAGTATGAGACCCGAATTATTTCCCGTACGCCCACATCAAATGAGCACTGATTGCAAATGGGTATGAAGTTCCCTGGTTGGATGAATGAAAGTAGAAAACTCGGTATCAATTGTGGTTTCTGGCTAACTGACCACCTACGGCTCCCCTAGGTCACAATTTCGCCCTAAGTGAGAAGTAAGCGACAGTGTTAATGTTGACTTAGGAGAAGAGTAGGTAACAGTTACCCAGAAACCTCAATTGATCAGAAAACTCGACTATTTTTATTACAAAATAAACTGGAAAGTTTCCTTTTCCCTTCCGAAATGTAGAATAACTAACTTGCTGTTTTTTGCTGTGTCATGAAAGAGATCGCGGCGAATCCTCTACCGCGGTGCAATGAAACTGCCAGTTGCGCAAGCTACTGAAAGCAAAATGACATTCTTAGAAATTCCCTGCCCTAATTTGTGAACGATACGTATGCAGGGGCGTTACCAGCTTTTCGACTATTTGTAGGCCTGGCTGACTTTCATTTCAACATATCTTGAAAATTGCACGCATGACCAGTACGCACTGTCCTCACCAAGACTTTGAGCTCTTAAGCTTTTTAGCTCAGCCCAACAACGCATAATTTATTACAAGCGGTAGAGTGATCAAACCAAAACTTTTATAGGCCCTGGCCTACAAGTCTATGGGCTGGCTACGCCCTCGGTATGTTAGTTGAATCTTTTTTCTCGTTTCACTTTCTAAATTTACGTCTATGAAATTCTGTTTTTGTTGTCACAGTAAGTAGAAGATGTCCTTACCTTTAACTCTGTTTCAGTGACCTTTGAGCCCGACAAACGCGCAAATTTCTGTAGTAATTGCAGCACTCCTGCCGACAGTAAAATGTCCCCGGCAAACATGGGCACCACGTGCTTTTCGTCGCTGTAAAGTGGAGAAACGGTTATGTTTTGACGCTTGTGAGTGATAGCTTGAGTCATTGTACGCGGATTAGGGTTTGAGAGATCTTGGAGCTTTTTTGAGAGATCCTTTCGAGGCCCTGCGTTTTTTGAGCCACTAACTTCTTGCTTCTTGTGAGCAAAAGACGTTTTTGAAGTGGTGGGGCTCACAACTTTACTGGTTTTCTCTGTCTGGTCGATTTGCACATTTTGATTTGGCTTTTGGTTTGTGTTCACTGCAATATTGGATTTGACAGAAGGGGAAACGGATTTTCCTCCGTTTTGAGGACGCAAAGGCTGCGTTGGTTTTTGAACTATGTTAGCGAGTGCAGGCCAACGCTCAACGGGCGCGGGATGACCGCCCGAGAGAATCCCGGGCTGTGTCCCGTATGACGCTTTCGCCTGAGTATCACTCCTCGAACCTGGTGCAACAACGATTGTTTGAGGCCGTCGTTGAGCAGCGGGTGAAAGTCTCATCCCGAGAGATTTCCCGTAAGGTGACCTTTGATATCCAGTTTGATACGTATTTGCAGCGGCTTGGTTTGGTGCGTTTTGGTAGTTGTTCTGTGGATAATAGTTTGTTGACGGTATATAGTTTGTTCTTGGTATCATCCCTGGCATTGCCGGGTAGTTGTATTGTGAAGGATACTGCCGAGTGTTATACCACACAGTGTTTTGACGTCGTTGCCTTTTACTGCCATCGTCAACGTCTCTCTTTCGTCTTCCAATGTCGAGTTGCTCACTAGAATAACTTGGCGGGGAATAACCTTGTCCCCAGCTTCTCTGATATCCTGCTGCTCGGTTACCTTGCCAGTTTTGATAACCCCGCAATTCATAAGGATTTGGTGATCTCCTGTAGCCAGGAGCAAGTCGTGGGTTTTGCGATTGATAAAGTTGAGCTTTCTGAAAAGTGTTACGCATCGCAGATAAGCTTTTATACTGCGCTTGATTCAAAACTCCTGGATTTTTCCTCTGACTTTCAATCGCTGCATTTGACTGAGCAATGCTCTGTATTTGCGACCTCGAAAAAGAATTCATGTTTTCAGTGGGGCCCAAAACTCTAGCCTGCTGCGGAAGAGAAGCTTGAGTGGGTATCCTGTTCATGTTACCACTGTTTTGCACAGGAAGACCTGAAACAGTGGTGGATGAAGCCCTTACTGGCGGAGTTGTTTCAAAGAGACGAGTAGGGGTGGGAAGGTTTAAATTTTTACTGCCTAAGCTACTCCTAGGATTTGATGCGAATAACTTTGTTTTTGCCGCAGAAAACCACACTGGATTGGGGTCTTTACTCTTATGCGCTGGCGTCGTTGGTAAAATTTCAGGAGGAGCTCTTGGAATTTCCGTAACTGGAACAGAATTCGGATCTTCTTTTTTGTCTCCCTTGATGGTATTTTTTAGAAAGGTTGGTTTGTCGTGTAGTTTTGAGCCCTTCTTCCCATTTTTTCTTTTCTTAGCTGCCATATTCTTCCTCTGATCCGCGAGGGAGCTCTTGTAAAGCTCTTCTCTAAAGGTATCTGTGAAAACCAGTTTCTCAAGGCGGGAGATGATCTGACCTGAGCTTACTGGGGCAAATGGAAGCTTTTTCTCCGCTCTGTCAGCGAGATCTTTGGTCTGACAAAAAGAAAAGAAAACAGAACAGAAATACTCAGATCAGGCTAATATCACAACTGTTACTTGAATAGCGTAGTAGTATAGTGCACACCGGTTTGGCCTTCCTCTAAAACGGAATCTCGTGTGAGATGGAATTAATTAACTTCGTGTATCACTAAAGATCACTAAAGGTTTGTTTCTTGCTTTCAGAAACATTCATTGTTCCCGCCACTACCACCATAGCTTGTTCCAGGCTTTCAGCTAGTGGTGAGTGGCACCAATTCATAGAGCGGGAAGAGGAAGCGAGGGAGAGGGGAGGGAGAGGGAGAGAAAGAGTTTCTACGCTCTCATCCCACCCCCTCCCTGTTTTTCCTGCTCACACTTCTTTGCGCTGTCCCCACAATCCCCGAACGCCTTAAACAGGCTACCACCACCACCGACCCCTTGATTGTACAATTTTTTCTAACAGCTACCCCCAAGTTGTTAAACGTTCTATGGCTTACCTCTTGACGTAGTGTTTTATAAGCTGGAGAGACGCATTCACTAAAATCTGGCGCCTGCCAAGTAGCATTCAAGGTTTCACTCCCAGCGCAAAACCTACTCGTTTTCCCTGCAACATGAACAAGAAATTTTTCCTCGTAGTTAACGTTTACTTGTGGTAGGCACGATGAAAGTATAACTTAAACGAGTTTCCGCGCTTCGACGCTTATTACTTCATCCATGTGGTGTTCTGCGTTTCTATATCTGTAATTCATCACTTTACAAGCGAGAAGGGAGGTAGCCGAGTACGGTTTTGCAAATGGGACTCGGGACCTGGGACTTTTACTAGGGGCAGGAAAAAAATTGGCCAATAGATGACCAGCGCATCCCCAGTAATTATCCCAGAAACAATTGTAGCACGCATTTGGGCTTCAATTTCCGTCTCATTTTTAAAGTGGCGGAATGTTGCCGTTTTTTAATATCTAAATTATGCTAACGGCAACCTCCTAGTCATTAAGAGTATACGTAGACCTCGTTTTACGATATATACCCATTAGATTCATGTAGGTACAATACCTTGCGCGTTACGAGGACATATTACGGTATCAGTCGAGTTGAACATCATAAGTTTCCAGCTTACGTCATAATCGTGTTCTGCACCACATACCAAGTTTACCCCTTTAAAGAGAGGTGATCAGCAAAAACATTTATCGAACAATATCTTGTAAGTCACTTGAGAGAATATATATCTTAAACACCTATTAAAAACTGTTGCTATGCTTTTTACCCCCAAAGGTTAAAATTTGTCAATGTTTTTAGCGAGAAGAAGAATTGAAAACACTGCCTTTACGTTCCCCTTTACGAGACAGCCATTTTACTAAGGGTCGTCCAGACTACTAATCTCGTCCCCAGGGTGGAAGTACTAGCCATTCACTGGGCAAAGGAGTCACATTCTTCCTCGTTATTAAGAGATTCTGAGTATTTTCCTGGCAGGGAAATCGAGCCTGCGATCTCTCACTCTACGGGCCAGCGCTTTTAGCCAACCCTGCCCGAGGTTACGTTGCACCACGGGTAAATCTCGTTCCCAGTTAACAGCAGCTCGGATCGGAAAATGATTGACAAGTTACGTTCAAGGCTAAAGGCCGACCTGAAGCTAGTTATTTTCAGGATGAAGAACTTTCTTGGTGAGCGATCAGTCATGGTGATTTAAAATACTTACCGTTGGACGTAAGAAAGCGAAAGCCAGTATTGCTCACTTTAAAACTAATTGGACTTCCGTCGATGGAGGAATTCAGCTGACCGGTTATGACAGCATCTATCAAAGGCTTGAGTACCTTGGATACTGACGTTTGTGCTGTCATGGCTAGTGTCAGCTGAGCGACCACTGGAGATGGCCTGGTGAGAGGGAAGAACGCTCAAAGAATTGTTTTCGCTTTAGAGTCGTTGCTATATGTGATTAGCTAAAAAAAATACCTCCTGCCAATGTTTCAATTGATCATGTAAAAATGAAGCCAAAATTAATCACCCCCGCCAGGTCAAAGGGCTGAGGTGTTTTCTGTTTTAGAGGGTTTTCATGTACCATTTATGAGAAATACTAGTAAGAATTGACCAAATAATGAAATTCTCCTTCAAAACTTTTTGCGCGCTTGACCAAGTGTTGGCCGGGCAATTCAGTTTCAAACCTATAGCGTTTTTGGTAAACAGTTAGGAATTTTACGTTGTATTGGTATAATTGAACTTTCAAAAGTATAGTAAAAATGACAAGATGACCTTTGATGTTCGGTTGTATTTTCTAGCGCTTCTCTTGAATAATTGATGAGGAAACAGACAACAGTAAATTCAAATAAATAGTAAATACAAAAATACTGAAAATAACTCACTGGAAAGAAACAACTTCATCTGTCTTGAATGATGGTTCATTGACAAATACTGACGAAACCTGATGGAAGAAAACAGCGATCAGATTTGTATTGGGTAGGTCACGTGATCAGGATATCGGAGCTGAGAGACTAATGGCGCGGTTACTCTGTTTTCTTGGTTTGTTCACACCTGATCATTTTGATCAGCTTTAACTACAGGGTTCCTTGTTATACCTAAGGTTGTGCCTGTTAATACAAATATCTCTTACCGCAACTTGAAGCTTCTCTGCAAGATTAAGAAATTCAAGGGATTCAATGTCCTTGAGTTGATCTCTAAACACTTGGTCAGTGAGAGTTAAAAACACTCTAAACACTTTGTCTGTCGAGAAAAAAAAATACAAACACATACATAAATACATTGTTTACAGGTAGCCATTACAACAGCTGAAGGAGGATCATGAGGTACGGTTGTCCCGAAATTGAGATCTCTCCCTACAGATAACCCACCCAACCCAGGAGAGGTTGACCACACCACCGGGATCTAAATCCCCTACTCTTTTCGAACATTGGTGTGGGATCATTTGCGTCCCACAAGAACCAAACGAGTGAAAGTGCTGTGAGACGGGACCTACAGTTTTTCGTCCTTATCCGAATAGAATGTCTGACTCTTTGCAGATGTCATTACTACAGAGACGGCACTTTCTTCTCAGTTATTTAAAGACCTTGAGTGTTGGTTCGTGCCAGGAATTGAACCCGCGGCCTCCCGCTCTGCAGACCGGCGCTTTTCTAACTAAGCTAACTTAGAAGACAACTAAGAAGACAACTGCAACAGTTACCTTTTGACGAGTTTCACTAACCTGTATTTCCTTTAGCTCCTGGTATGTCTTGTCGTTCTGAAAAAAATGTGAATGACAAAAGCTTTAAAAGACGTACAGTATGCATGCAAACGTGAGTGGAAACGTTGAATCCGGGTTCAATTGTCTTAGTGTAGTCTTTCACTTGCGTTAGTTCAATTCTCACAAGTTGCACCTTCTTAAAAATGATTTAGATGACAAGAGAGTTGTAAATCACCAGAGACTTGACTCGGCATCCTGTAATAGTTAACGAAACTTAGCTGCTGATAAAGCGTGCTTGGGAACTTCTCCCAGATGCAAAAATTAAGAAGCTCACAATCACAACAGCCTTGTTCCCAAAGGAAAAAATCGTTTGGAAAAAAAATTATATCTATTCTGATCGAACACCCGTTTTCTGCATACGCCCTTTTTTAATAATCCCCAATTTCGCCCGTACTGATTACTTTGTATTTACTGGCTAATACCAATGACGTCAACTTACTGTCGTTTTCAGTCTGTTGCGATTTTCTTGTTAGGAGTGTGAGCTGGGACCTAATATCACTGGAGCCCTTTTTAATTGTAATACATTTGTCGTAACAAGCCACTGAGTAACAGTAATCTCCAAGTAACCAGGCCACCTGACAGCTGGGGCTTGCGCAGCACTTCTGAATACAAGTGCGCATGTCACTAGTACGCGCCATGATTTGAAATTTTCCCGCCTTTTTGCCTCCTTTGAGACTAACGTCCCTGAAAATGGCGCCATGGGGACATACGCCTCTGTCTGAAGACGAGGTTTTCTTCTTAATTCGCGTATTTGATTGGTCATCTGTAACAGAACGAACAACGAATGCAAGTTGTGGGTCTAACTTCGAACCGTGCGCGGGTATGGTTTCACATAGCTCTGGTTTATGGCAGTGTAATGTGTAACAGTGATTTTTCAACAACAGAGATACGTCGCAAGTTTTTTGAGCACAGCAATGTCTCACGCATGCCTCGATGTCAGACACTTGACCGTAATCAGAAAAATCACCTGATTGGAGTCCAGAGCGTAAAGTTACTTTGCGAAGAATTTTTCTCGCACGACAAGATCCAGAACTAGCCGATTCTGCATCCTCACTGCCATCTTGCGAGAGTTTTGATTCTAAACGAACAACAGCTTTGGTTGGAAAGGAATTTTGCAATTCAAACCCAACGCCTGTATCCTTGCTTTCTAACGATGTAAAAGAATGGCTGTCAAATTTGTTATCAAACTCTTTCGAGCCTCCATCCTCATCCTGGGTTTGATTGAAAACATCTTTCCTTTCGCCAGCTGTTGATAAGTTATCAATCCCTTTATTAAAGACAGTTTGATGTGCATTAACTGCTTTATTCACGTGACGATCTTTAGTTCTACGTTGATGTTCTTTGTTTATTCTTGTTACCATAGTCACAGCAACTTGATGTCGTGAAAAATTCTTCTTTTTCAACCGACACATTTTCTTGTTGTAACACTCGACGTTATAACAAACGTTATCCACTGAAAAGGCAAGGTCGCACTTGTGATGTTGGCAGCACAGTTGACCACAACGATTGACGTCTTTGACTGGACCCAGTTTCCAGAAATTACCCGACGCGCTGCCGGCTCTCAGCGTTACATTGAATGATGGTTGGTTCGGTTGACAGGTTTGCGCCTGAGAAAAGGCACCCGCTGCAAGAAATAAAAAACGGTTATTGTCATTATCATATCATTAATTAGTAATAAATGAATGAGGCTGAGTAGGATATGAAGAATTAAGCAGATCGAGCAGGGTGTTATCTACTGAGGCCGAAGGCTGGGGTGGATAACACCTAGTTCCAGCTGTAGTTCTTATTCTTGAAACGAGTGAAATGTCCGCCATTTTTTTTTTTCACAACCAAAGCAACTCAACCTTGTCCCCAGGTCTTCTCGGTTAACGGTGCCTTAACCTGTAGAGGGCTGCATTTTTGACGTCATTTCCTCGTTAAACACAAAATTCTTCCAAATTTGATCATCAGTAACAGGTTATAGTGAATTATGCGTGTGCTTTTAGCCAATCAGAATTGGGAAAATATTTTAAATGAACAATAATTATCGTTATCATTATAATTATCGTTATCGCAATCGTTAGCGTTATCGTTATTGTTAACACTGTCATGTCGTTTTCATTATTGTCAATGAACCCGCGAGATACAAAGTCCTGTGAATACCCAGGCCTGCGAATTACTCATCAAATGAGTCTCCCATAGCTTAGTGGCTAGAGCGTTAAAAGTGGACAACTTTTTTTTCGCTTTAGGTTGCAATGTTTTTTTGCTCAAGGCGAGAAAAGTCCCACTATCTGCAAGGTGTTGCTGTCACCAGAAACAACAGAATTTTCTGCGCGACAATTTGCTTCCGTGAGTCACTTCACTCGCAGCATTGCTGTCCAACGTGTAAAAACAAAACAAAATTTAAAAATTGCGCAAGAGATGTAAGAATTGAGGTCCGCGCGCTTTCAAGACAGCAACTTTGAAGGTAAATCGTACTTATTACCTCAGAGACCTGTAGGCCTGAGTGCAAATACGTACATTACATTAGATTGAGTGCTGTGAAAGATTTAGAAATTTCAGTTTCTAGCTAGTTGTATGCCTAACACTGCTGTAACTGTTGCTTGCTAGCTTTAGCGAGGCTCATATAATAAAATTTGTTGTAAGTGTGGTTTTCTGAGCACATCAGGGGTGGAAAATCGCTTAGATGTTTAATCTGATAGTTTCCTCTCACTGTTCTCGAACGGCGTAGATTCCATGCAAAGGTTTCAGGAAAAATGTGACAAAGAGTATTCCACACCCTTCTTTCGTCATCAATAGTAATAGAATGTTGCTTCTCGCGATCGAATTGTTCAATAATAGCGTTTTAAAGCTTATACTTTCATAAAAAGTTATTTTAGTTACTGGAAATATTTCAAAGCTTAACAAAAATGACTTGAGCGATCTTCGTATATATAGAGCGCCGTTCGTCACCAATACTTCAACGATCAAGAGCGAACCACTTAATCCTTTACTCGACAGTGTTTAAAGTCAAATTGCAACAAAAATCTATTTAGGAAAGGAACAAAAAATAGTCATAAACGAAAAGAACCATGCAAGTGCCTCCAAAGGGGATTCATTGGAAAAAAACACCAAAGGGCTTCTCTCAGGGTTGAAAATGTTAGAACTACATCTCATTTCTCAATTGTTAAGCAAAAGGATAAAGTTAAACTTATGGCAGGTGGGTGTAAGTCAAATTCAAAACTGAAATAAGGTCACATACCATTTTTAATTTTAGAGACAGGAAAGGAACACTAAGTGCGAAAGAAACTCGATCTGTTTTTAATTACTGATTATTTTAGGACAGAAGACCTAGCATAGTTTTGTGTTTTCATTTGTCCTCTATAACATTTTGTTGACGTATTTTTCTGAAGACACACTTTTGTTTTGGGTGGTAAATACCCAGTGCGTCACTTACGCAACATGTGTAGGATTAAAAAAGGAAAAAAAACAAGCAGTATTCTTTGGATGAAACATATATATACTGCTAGACTACATTGTTTTTTTGCAAATTCTAGAACTGCGATTGCTGCTCAATTTCGAAATCAATATATAGTTGCCACAGTTATTGAAAGTTTCTATGCTACCGTGAATTTATTTTGTTGAGTAGCTATTTCACCTGAAATGTTTTTATATTGATTTCTTTTGTTGGCATTTTTCTAATAAATTATGATTTTGCTAAAATTAGTGAAACTGGTGAATGCATTCATTGAGCCCTAATATCCTTTTTATGCTTGACCAAATTGGCCTCTGGTACCCGTTTTGATTTTCAAACAATGGATACTGAATGGACGCCTATGTATTTCACACTGAGACTTCCGCTGCGAAAATCGATTAATCTGATTATGTCGTGTCTCAATAAGGCAAGTCAGTAGAATACATAAAAATAAATAAAGGTGTATTCGAAAGAGTTACTTACTTTGTAGTAAACACAGCTTTGGAATACCTCTAAGTGCTTTCCAAAATTAATAAGCAACTTATCTACCAGTCTGTAAATATGGTATTTTGACAACCAATAACGCTACGTTCAAGCATGCGACTAGCCCGATCCACGAGTGGAACTCCAAAGAGTTTTGTCAATAAACAGTATTGTTCTTTTCTTTATAAATTTGCGCAGTTTTAAGTGAGATTGAAAGGCTATCGTGTTTCTGCCTATTCTCTTTCCTTTATCATAGAAATCGATTCTTTCAACGATAGGTAAACCGCATATAGTTTGCGCAAATTCCTACCAGCTACAATACAGCCAAAAAAATTGTCGGGTAGTTTAGCACTTATTCTATTTACATGTACTTTAGTTGCGAGTAGTGATAGTGACGAGGTTAATTGCGCTATGGGAATCTACAAGCTTGTGATCACCTAAGTGAACATGCTCAGCGAGGCAAAGCGAAGCTGGTCTATTCAGGATCGCGTTGCGGAAGAGTCAATAAGTTCAATCACAGTATGATCAACAAATTACCTGAGAGCCAACCAAGCACGGTGACGATGAAAAGTAATTCTTTAAGGGTTTTCAAGTAACTGCGGAGAACAGGGATCCAAAATATCTTGCTCCTTACAGGCATAGAGCACGGGAGCCCGGCCAGCACAGATGCCAGCACCCGGACATCAAAACTAATTTCTATTCGGGACCACCCTGTTTAAAGCGATGGCTATGATGGCGCGCTGTTCACAACTTTGTTTCCATTAAATATATCCACCATTGTGCGCCAGATATCCTGGAGTTTATCCTGGTAAAACTTTATAAAGTCCATTTATATCGTAGTTTCAGTGCTACGCGCAGTTAAGAGCAGGCTACGGGCTCCATTGGTGGCATTAAATTTTCATTTTGCCCAGTGAAGGGAAGCGCATATGATGTCATTGGCCAAACACGGTCATGAGCAATCGAAAAGGATATTTCACCGTTGCTCAGACAAGTAAAGTAAACGAGTCCGCCCATATAGTTTTTACCTTTGCTTTTCATACATAGACGGTATACTAAGAGGCTATAAGCCTCATGAGATATTCGGAAAACCCTTCATTTCCACGTCGAATTTTCCCGCCTCTATCTGTCAAGTTTGATCTAAAAGTCAAAACTATGGTCAAATTCAACACTGGTGGTATATGAGCCTAGATACTTGTTGCTAGTCTACAAAGTCTATTTTCCCGGGAAAGTTCCGCAACTCCTTTTTTGTTTCCTAGCAACCAAACTAAAAGCAAGGCTTCTCCTTATCGTTCAAAATAACTGCTTACAGCTCTGCTCCAAAAAAGTGTTGTCTACAAAAAAACAAACGCCGGCCCACACAGTACGCTTTGGTAGCCTTCATGGCAGGTTCTTGAAGCGAAGGAAACATGAGAATTAAGAATACAATAGCGAATGTCCTAGCGCCCCTAATTACCTCTTTTTTCCCCCTAAATGCAAATGCTTACCCTGGGGGCTCGCGCTCTAGCCTGTTAAGAAAACCGGTAGTTGCTGTTTAGAGATTGTCGAGAGCGCTTATGGCAATAAAACCTGCGGGGGTTTATTGACTGCTAGCGCGAGGGGGGGGAAGGGGGTGACTTCGCTCTCCTTCCCGTGCTCGGCGCTTGCTCGCTTCACTCACTCCATGGAAAAAAGCAGCACGCGCAAATTCCAAGATTCCAACAAACACTAAGAAGCAACACAAAAAGTGGTTTTATCACCTGAGGTTTCTTCCCTTACCCTAAAATTAGGCCCCGATATTTAGATAAAATTTCTCCAAGCTGATCTCAATACATTCTTTTAAAGAATTCCCTGAGAGAATTTAACAAAATTTAAAGCATTTTCCCTTTGACTGAACGTAGACTTCACATTTTGTACCTGATTGATTCGTTTTTGTTTTTTAACACAAACTCACGGAGTGTTCACTTCTCACCATCAATTCGCGGATGACGAAAACTTTTCTAGAAAAAAAAAGAAAAATTACAGCTCTCGAGGAATTAGACATTTAGTTCTTCTAAGCTAAAATTGATTTCCAAACCCGTAAGAGATGGACAAGGGGCTCTGGGGAAGAGCGTAACTCCAGTCCACTCACGGCCAGTTTAATCAGCGAGGCTACAAAGCAATATGTCTGCATTTTCTCTCGGCTTCAAGTCATATGTTTGATAAATCTTTTCATTGCTTCTGAAGGCGTCACAGACCATTTGAAGGTCTGTTTCACACTTGGAATAATGGTGAAGACAATTTCAATGTCCAACACGAAGAGGATATTCTTCTGTATTTTGGGCATCTCGTCTACGTTTTTCTCTGCAACTCTTTTCCTTGCGTTGTTGTCGATGTTCCGACCACCTTTTAACGCGGTAAATGTTGCTACAGGCACGAACGTAAGCGAAAGGTACGATGAAGCCCCTTTTCTGAAAGATGTATATTATTAAGCAAAATTTTAATTTAACTGGGAAAATTGAAAGAGGGTTATTGAACGGGCGCTTTATTGAGATGACGATGACGTCATCATGCGTGACAAACGAACCCCAAAGGACGTCTGCGGGGAGGCTACCCTTTTCGCTGAACAGCTCAAAGTCACGGCGAGTTGAAAGGAAATATTTTAATGTAGAATACTCTGCTATATTGAGTAGACCTAGTGTGGTCAATCAATAAAAACCGATATAATTGGAAAACCAATTGATAAATCGATAACTGGTATCAATCAACTGGTATTAATGTTATCGATCAATCAATAGAATTTGATGTTCACACTCTAAGAAGTGCTACTTTCATAACTTTTATTGTTTGTATTGGATTTATTCATTGTTGGACAATTGATTGAAATAACTTGAGTACTTTATTAGTTGACCAAGTAGGGAGTAGAGTGTACATTCTTAACAGCCATCACATGAGTCATTTGAACCCTCCTTCTGTTTTTCCTGGCTTTGGCTATGATATGGACACCTCTATAGTGCGGACAGTTTTCTTGGTTCGAAGGTTACTAAACTTCATATCGTTCCTTCCTTGATAATGTGGA